ACTTAGCATTAAATTAATTGCTGCGAAATGCATTTGTACTGCGCTCTAAAAATAGCGTGCAGCAAATTATGGGAAAAGCAATAAAAGATGTCAAAGCGAAAAAAACACAAATGAACTAAAATAAACTTAAGTAAAACAAAGAGAGACACACAGAGAGAGAGAGAGGACAACAGAAATTGTGTAAAATTAGTAGCGATTTAAATTACATTAAGTAGGGGCTGTGAAATGTAGAATTTCAGGCATTTAAAACGCTTCAAGGAAAGTTAAGGGTGTTACAATATGGAACACAGCGAGTAATTAATAGTTTTTATAGCAGTTAGTCTTTTTTTATGGCAAGGTTAAATGCTCCTAAACATTGTTATTAAAATTATTACAAAATTGAATACTAAAAATATTACAATTAATTTTAAAGTGTCGTTGAACAATCGAATTGCAAGGTCGCTCAATTAATATTAGAATAATTAAAGTTAGAAGATTGGTTTATTTATAATATTTACTGTATTAAAATGACCAGCCATATTTAAGATTCGAATTAGTAGATGAGGTTACACTAATCAAATGTCATTTATTAATATAAAGGTGCCAAAATATAAAATTAAAGCAGAATACCGGGGTGTTAAAGTTAATCCAGGGAATAAAGCACAAACTTAAGGCGGAGGATTAGGTGACAAAAATAGCTTACGTATGGGCCGGCGGCGCATGCGGGTCTCATTTTTCTCGCCGCCACTGTTGGCGCCGCTACTGTTAATCGGCTGCATCTTGCGACTGACACAACAACAAGTGGCAAGTGGTATTTTACCGATTCGATTGGCAAAGCAAATATGTGAAAAGAAAAAGAGAACCAAAAGAAAAGCAAAAATTTAAGTAAAGGAAAACTATCAAAACTAAGATTGTAAATTTAGTACTGAGGCAGCATTACACTTGATGTTTCTTATTGAGGCAATATAAAAATGTTTTTTTCTTTTGAATTAAGAGATCCATTATATTTAGATTATTTTTTTAAATCGCTTAAAAATATTTTACTCTGTACTCTACTTGTAACTTTTTAATAGAAATCCTTCTTGGAATGAAAGTTTTTTGTAAATATATTTTTTTGAGAGATAAATAATCAAAGTGTAATACTGCCCTAATGGCCTTATTCGTGATCTGAAAACCAGACAATCACTGAGAAATGGGTGTTCCAAATTTATGGGACCACCACTGTGGTGTGCGGTTCAATCGAGTGGAGATAATAAATAACCGGTTCGCTGCGGGCAAACAAAAAAAAGATATTTCACATGCACAATCCACAATTGGCAAACGTTTTTCGGGTTCTCTTGGTCAGCGAATTCTCTTTGTTTTGTTTGGATTGATGATTCTGCTCTATTCAGTACCTTTCTCCCTTTTTTTCAGCAAAGACGCGACGAGCTAAAATGTTCGAAGGCAACTAAAAGCAGCAAACGGAAATTCTTTGCCGCCGACCGGCAAACAATCGCATCAGAAAAAAAAGAACAAAAGCAGAGCTGAAGGAAACATTCGAGATGTTCCCAATTTCGGAAACTCACGAAATCAGGGTTAGAAGGTGTCTAGTTGAGTAGATGTTAACTAAATATTGTAACTTTTTTAATAACTAGTAATTATAGAAAAAACTTATTTCCACAGAATGAATGTTTTCATTTAGTTTTTTCTTAATTTTCTGATTTAAGATGATTATGATGTTTTAATTTATAAATATTTTAAATATAATATTAAATTATTTTTACTTTAGAAAAATATTGTAATTGGCAAACAAATATTTCACCATATCGGCAATAAATTTCATTGTGAAATTCTACATTTACTTGGAGTATCCCATTAACCTACTGAAAGTTAAACCAAAATTACAGTTTTGGTGTTATTTCGCAGATATTTTGGAATGGAGCGAGTAGATTTTTTTTTATCACATAAGTCGTTAAGTCGCGTTTGAGCGACACATGTCAAGACCCCCGAGCGAGCGAGACGGGGCTAATGGAGCACTTATCTGCAGACCCGGCAACTCCGGTTCCAGTGCCCCCCTTTCGATGATAAGATAGGCGCGACAACAGGATAGTTGTATAAGCGGCATATTGATAAGGCGGCCGACGATATATTGGCCGAATTTAATCAATTAATTGTTGGCCGAACGAGCCGAACTTCGAAGGTCAGCAGACGGCTTTGCAAAAGTGTCCGTGACATTGACCTCGGCCACCTGACAAACGAATATCACCCGAAAAACAGAAAAAAAAAACAGAAAGTTGACCCAGTTAATCGAAATCCGTCGAATTAAAGAAAAGGACTACGATAATTTCATTCAGATTCAGACGGGCGTGGGAAAGAGAGGTGGCGCAAACAAAGACAGAGACAGCGCGAGGGGGACACGCGTTCAACAAACTTGATTAACTGTTTATCGATTTGCCATCGCTTTCGCACAAACACGTGCTTTGTCGCTCCTATTGATTTTAACGGCTTGGAAAACGAATAACTGCACATTCTCCGTCTCCTTTTTGCGCACTCCTTCCAATTTCATAACGGACCCGTCCCGTTCCGTTCCTTGCATGTGTGTACTCAGGTGTGTGTGTGTGTGTGTTTCTGAGCCGAGTCCACGTGTTGTTGTTTTTGTTAATGATTGCGATTTATATATTACTCTTGTTATTATTGGTCGGTGGAAGGGGGAAGAACACAAGATAATGGCTTAAAGTTGATGAAACACCGAGAGAGAACAGAAATCATAGTCGTTGCGTTTGCACACTCGCCAGATAACCAAATAACGACATTTACTAACAATAAACAAAAGGGAACTCAACACAGGAAAAAAAAGAAGAACACAAGACACACACTCACACACTCACATCTCTTCCAGACAACTTTTGTCGCGGTAACTGCGCGAACTGGAAGTTTGCTCCTGGCTTCATTGACTCGCAATTTCGAACTGAGACGAGCCGCCACGGGCAACAACAACGCGTCGCGTGGAAAGCGGCATTTTCCACCCCCTAAAAAGCCAGCCAGCCAGCAACAACAACAACAATAACGGGAAACGCTTTTAGGGATGACACGGAACAGATGGTGCTGCTATCGGTGTCATCGATAGACAGCGATAAGGGAGTTTTCTAGCCGCTAAGAGAACATAAGATTTTAGGGGGATTCCCTAAACTGTTGAATTGCTGAATTGTTGAATTTTGGCCAGCTGTTAATCAGCTGTTCCATACAAAGTCAACTTTCAGAAATTTCAGCAATTCAACAGCCTCGGGGCTGATGAAAATTTTGTTGAATTGCTGAAAAGCCAGAGTTGTCACCTTTTTTTAAAAGTCGTGGCAACTCTGTAACATTTTAGTATCACCAGTACGCATTATTTATTTTAAAATGAACTTAGAAAGCATATTTGTGGTTCTTTTTACCTCGGTAACACTTTTAGACAGTCACTAGTAGGGATGTCGAAATATTTAAAAATATCGTATCGATGATATTTTTTATTGAAAAAAAAAATCAAAATGATATTTGATATATCAGAAAAAAAATATCTAAATATCGGATATTTTTGATATTTAAAAAAAAATTTTTTTTAATTTTTAATTAAAAAGAACTAAGAATTAACCCACATACGATCTTACATTATATTTTTAATGTTTTTAGTTTATATTTATTAAAAAATGAAAGAAAACAATATTTATTTTTGGTTTTATTTATCAAATCAAGACAAAAATGTAGGTTTCAATTTTACCTTAGAGTATCTTAAATAAAAGATAACAAAACATTTGCTTAAATATATAAGGCTTTTTCGTTTCAGTTTCAGTTTGATTTTGTGAGCCGAACTAAGGCTTTAAGAGTATCTTAAATAAAAGATAACAAAACATTTGCTTAAATATATAAGACTTTTTTCATTTCAGTTGGGTAAGAATTTCCCAACTGCGCATATGAAATTTTAGATTTTCTTCAAACTCGGGTACCTCGTAGAGTTTGGCTTGGATATCATCTGTGATTTTTTGAAATTTTTTGGTGTCCATTTGTGGGCGCTATGAATTTTTGAAGTTAAGAATGTTTTCCCTATAAAAAGTGTGACCGCCTAAAAATATCAAAAAAATGTGCAAAAAATATCGATGATAACTGATAATTATTCAAAAAAAATATCACGATAAAAATATTTATTTTTTCGCAAAAAATATCGATATTTTGATATTTTGATATATTTTCGACATCCCTAGTCACTAGCAATAATAAATCAAATTTTACGTGCTTTAAGTTTCGTGAAATTTTTCAACAAATAACAGCTGTTTGAAAATTCAACAGGAACCATTTTGGGTCGTTCCCTTAATTGCTGAAATTTTTTGTTGAATTTTCAACAATTCAGCAATTCAACAGTTTAGGGAATCCCCCTTTTATCTACTTCAAACACACATTTGCAATGCAGCAAGAAGCTTTGGTAGCGTTTAAAATTTAAAATTCAATCGTATATGCACAGAGTTTTATTTTAGTAGATTATCCCTAATCAAACCATACTCAAAGCCTACTTGAAATCAATACAATTAATTTCAAATTCTTTGGCCATTTATACTATAGTGAAAACTTTGATATAATTAAGAGACACTAGTAAGAATATTACTCACTAAATCGTGACTCCCTGTGACTTGCACATCACTAATGGTCTATTCCCTTTCGCTGCATCCTTCCAACCGCTGGAAGCTTCTCGCTCTTTCTGTTGGCATTCAAATTCGCGGTTCTGGAAGCTAAGATCATTGGCATTTGCCTCATTTCTTCGAGTAACGGTGCTAGGTGCGGTTGCCACAGTATTATTTATATTTCTATATTGCCTATAAAAAGTGATCGTGATAAATAGGAAAGCAGTAACGAGTCGGTTTTTTATTTAATTTTAGCTCACATATTTTTTAGTACTAATTTATAGTTGTTTTCTAACGCTAAGTCGACGAAATCACGCAGTCTGTTTTACTAATTGATTAAGAAACATTTAAATTTTTTATCTTTGACTTGGATATTTATTGCATTTCCCTCTTGCATTTGTATTCGTTTGGCTTCGCATGACGCCATCTTGAATTGATTGGTGACTATGGTCATCTCGCTCTAATCTTCGGTGGAACAGAGCCGGTGAAAAAGTTAGAATATTTCGAAGAATTTGCCTTAAATCTAACCAAATCTATTATTACACCTCAAAGTAGCCATTCTAAAATCGAGTATTTAGATCTACTTATTAGATTAAGTTAGTTTTGTGGTTCTTGTGTGTGAAGAATAAGCAATTCGCCAATCGTCAAGGTCGTAGAGGTCAGAGGGCCTCTAGTAACCTCGGATTGTGTAAAACTGATAACTTTATTAGTTAATAATTGTGCCTTCGAATTTTTTCAGAGGAGTCGCCATGGACATGCAAGTGCAGCGCCCCATAACATCCGGCAGCAGACAGGCCCCGGATCCGTACGACCAGTACTTGGAGAGCCGCGGACTCTACCGGAAGCATACGGCCCGGGACGCATCCAGTTTGTTCCGGGTGATCGCCGAGCAGATGTACGACACCCAGATGCTGCACTACGAAATTCGGCTGGAGTGCGTACGCTTCATGACCCTAAAGCGGCGAATTTTTGAGAAGGTAAGGATTGTACCAATCTGTCGGGATCTTTAGTATTAGTCTACATAAATCTAAAAAATTTCTTTAGATTTTTATCCGATAAAAAAGTGTATTGCAATTTAATCTTTCCTCTAAAAACTTTAATTAAAGGTTTTTCTAAGTGTCTTAGTAAAAATTATCTTAAGTTCCTTTTACGGCAAGAAAAGTACCTATCATACATCATATATTTTTTAGTTCTTATTTTTCTATATTTAGTTTTTGTTTTACTTAATAATAACTTAATAATTTCTTATTCTCCAGGACATCCCCGGTGATTTTGACAGCTATATGCAGGACATGTCTAAGCCCAAGACCTATGGAACCATGACAGAACTTCGCGCTATGTCCTGCTTGTATCGGTAAATGTTAAAATTTAATTTTTAAGTTAGTTAATTTAAGACCTGAAATTTTCCCATCTTCAACCATTTTCCAGTCGCAATGTAATCTTGTACGAGCCCTACAACATGGGAACCAGCGTCATTTTCAATCGACGCTATCCGGAAAACTTCCGTCTCTTCTTCAACAACGAGAACCACTTTGATTCGGTGTACAAAGTGAACTATATAGAATCTGCTGCCATTTGCCAGTGTAGGTGGTAGCTTATCGATATAAGATTGCTTTTATATGTGCTGCTCTGTTCGTTTGCAGCGATCGCCTTCAAGTTGCTATACCAGCAGCTCTTCAAGCTGCCCGATGTATCGTTTGCTGTGGAGATCATGTTGCATCCGCATTCTTTCAATTGGGAAAAGTTCGACGTGCAGTTCGATGACAGGGGCTATATGGTTCGCATTCAGTGCTCCGATGGTCGAGTCTTCGCCCTTGATCTGCCCGAGAACACCAACTGCATATTGGAGAACTATATGCTGTGCAATTTTCACAGCACCTGTGGAAATCAGAGCATTATTAGTCGAAAGGCGGCACGGCGGGAGTTAAAAAACCAGGACGATCGAAAGCAGGCTGTCAGTAATGGGCACGAATCAAGCGAACAGATGCCCATGTGTCCCAACCGACTGGAATCCTGTGTGCGCCAGCTTCTGGATGATGGTTAGTATAAGAAGTTTATAAAGGTAAAAAGATTAAGAGTCTTAAAAAAAAACATCCTTCTTTTCAGGCATCACACCGTTTCCGTACAAGGTGGCCAAATCCATGGACCCCTACATGTATCGGAATATCGAATTCGATTGCTGGAACGATATGCGCAAGGAGGCCAAGCGCTATAATGTCTACGTCAATGACTATAACTTTAAGGTAAACTTGGGAGGAATTTGGATAATCGACCATAGCACATACGCATGTTTCATGTCAACCCATCCGACTTTGCACACACTTTCATCCTCCATCTGCACACACTATTTTACACTTCGTTATATGTCCAGCCCTGTTTTATCCCCGCCCGTCTCGTTGCCGTGTTGTTTGTCTTCCAGGTAGGCGCCAAGTGCAAGGTGGAATCGGAGCACGACTCGGAGATGTACACGTGCCACATCCAAAGCATCTCCAAAGACAAGACCTACTGCGTCGTCTTTGTGGAGGCGATTGGCAAGAAGCTAGGGGTACCGCTTTTCTTACCTGTTTTCGTAGGCCCTTGCAGAGAAATGTTATAATTTTATGTTAAATTATTCCGAAAATACTTACAAATTTAGTAGAAATTCAAATATATGCAGTTATGAGTGTTTTTAATTTCAATTGTCCGATTTAAACATTCAAATTGATAGTGATCTTAACTTTTATATTCCATAAATTTAGTAAAAACAAGAAAATTCTTGTAAATTTTTAATCTTTAATCAAAGATTTTAGACTTAAAAAAAAACAAAATACTATATATTAATTTAAAATATATGATATATGCATTTAATATGATAGATAACATTTATCTGCAAGGGTGCTCTTAGTTTCGGCATTCGAAGCTAGTCTTTCTTAGATGTTAACATATAACCACTTTGCCAATTAAAAGAGACAACTTACTGATCTAGAAATCCTTTGTTGGCCCAGGTTCCCTACGAGTCGCTGCATCCCCTGCCCCCAGAAGAGTACCGTCCATGGGCGCTGCCCTTCCGCTATCAGCGCCACATGAATCGCATGCCGTTGCCCAAGTTTACCGGCAAAACAAACAAGACCTCTTCCAAGTGGAAGAAGAACAAGGTGTTCGAAATGGGCCAGTACTTTGAGCCCGGCAAATGTGACTTGATGCCGATGCAGGGCTACATCCCAGTGGAGAATTGCTATCAGGAGATGCACCACCACCAGGAAGAACTGCAGCAGCGCGATCAAAGAGATCCCGATCAGAGTGACCACAATCCGGTGGCGGAGCAGCGTGATCGTGAGGAGCCGCAGAAGCAGCAGCAACTGCAGCGCTCCAAGGGATCGAGGGTTCAGCGGCAGAACTCGAATTCCAGCCAAATCCCAGAGTCTCCGGTTTCGACTGTTCCACCACCGACTCAGTACATGAACTATGTGCCCCTGTTGGCGGGTCGTCCTGGCCAGGTTCCGCCGCCTTGGCCCTCGTCTCCGCTGGCGCTCACCGAGGAGTTCCAGTTTCCCATGTCCGGACAACCGCATCCGCCGCCAGCCGAGAGCTGTGTCTATATGCCCTTCGGTGGTTATGGTCCGCCACCACCGGGAGCCCTCGCTTTGCCGGGACCGCATCCGTTCATGCCGCTGCCTCCGCCGCCGCTGAATGCTCCCGGAGTTGGAGAACCACGTCGTTCCCTTCACCTGAACGGTGAGGACTTGCCAATGGATATGGTCACCTTGAGATATTTCTACAATATGGGCGTGGATATGCATTGGCGCATGGCCCATCACCCACCGCCTGAGGAGCTATCGTTAATTGGCTACAGTCATCAGAACAACACGGACCAACAGTCGCCGGGAAGGAACTCTGGCGGAGAGGAGCATTTGGCCGCCGAGGCCACGCCACCGCCTTCGCCAGAGGTGGAAAATGGCACGGTGCAGCAGTCGCCGCTGGAGAAGGCCGGCGGCTACTCCAAGCGCAATTTGACTCCGGCTAAGGGACGCGGTAAACGGCCGGAGCATCTTCAAGATCTAAAGGATCCGCTAGGGCCGGCGGCCTTCTTACCCACGCCCACACCATCGCCCAGCTCGAATGGCAGTCAGTTTAGTTTCTACACTTCCACACCACCGCCTCATCATCTGATGTCGCCGCCGAGGCTGCTCCAACCACCGCCGCCGCCGCCGCCGATATTCTTCCACAAGGCGGGACCACCTCAGTTACCGGGAACAGCACCTGGACAGGTATGAGAACTATGTTAGATCTATCTTTAAATTGCTATAAATATGTTAAAAGCTGTGAAATGGAAAGTAATCGTTACGTTTATTATTTAGTTACGATTTCCAGTTACATTTAAATGGGTATTACATTTAAATAATCTTACATATATGGGCAATTCTCTGAAGATGTCAACCAGGCCAAAAAGCTTGAAACTTGCTAAAAACATATTTCTATATGATTTTGCACTGATATTTTATTCTAGTTAGATGGATCCTCAACTAAGCTAAGTAATTTGAGTTTCCTTGAATAATTTTCCAGAACAATACCTATAATATGGACAAAAAAGTAATTTTTTGATATTTAAGGCTAACGAAAAACCACCTAAGAAAACGACGGAAAAAACTGTCGCGTGCGACATGCGACATTTGCACTTCAATGCAAATAAAAAATAACTACTACATATTTTTTAACCAAACCAAATACATTTTTAAGAAGAAAGAATAAGTAACACTATAAAATGAACTGCATTAAAATATTCCTTTACAATTCGCTACAATCGAAAGTTGAGCTGGTAGTAAAAAAAAGACACTTCAATTGGTGTCGCATGCGAAAGCCTTGTTTTCTTTACATATCTTAAAAATGAATAGTGGTTTCAAAGTCAGCCCTAGCACGTATTTTAGTGCTAATCCAGACCTTTAATGGGAGCCTAGTGAAAAAAGCGTACGATCGTCGCGTGCGACAGCAGAGAATTGCCCATATGTATGAAACTAAGTTAATAACATAAACTTATATTAGAAAAAAATACTTTAACCATTCTGTTAAAATAACCAAGAGTACACAACCGTATTTTTAGAATCCCTATGCCTGGGGCATGGCTACTCCTGTGGTGGCCCCCTACGAGGTGATCAACAACTACAACATGGAGTCGGCGGCACAGTCACCACAACAACATCAGCAGCAGCAGCAGACGTCGCCCTTGCCACCAACTCCCGTGCCCGTCCAATCCCAGCCAGCAGCCGTCTATGCTGCACCGCGTCATCACTAAAACGGGGAAAAAAATCAGATCAGATCAGATCACTTCGAAGAGAGAGGCCATTCCCGTTCCCGTTCCCATTCGCATTGAGTGCATTCCAATCCAACCAATGACTTTTAAAATTTAAACTCATTTTTAAATTTGTAGTCAACTTTTTATAGGCCACCTGCTCGATGGCGCTTTTCAATTACCGTTCAGCTTCTGTACAACAATCGATTGCATAATTTAACGCAAATGTCAACACAACTTCATTTTAAACTTGTAACTTAACGTAATTTTATGCGATTTTTTTTAAAGTTAACAAAGGTAGCCGGCAAGAAAACAAAGAACCACCTATTTATATGATTTATTTAAAACCCTTCCAAACTAACACTATATAATCTTATATATTTATGTACTCGCTGATCGGCTAGAGACTCACCTATGTAAAGTGTACCAGAAAATTAACCATAAATAAAACAAGATTCGAGTATAACGCACAAGACAATATACGAAAGACTTCTGCAAGTGCTGCACTTACGTGGTATTCTCGTGTTTTGGCCCGATTTGAGATAGTAAACGAAAGGTGTGGATTGTTTCGATTCACACGTGTGATCCGAATGTGATCTTAAATAAGATCTGATTGACATCTGATTAAGTCCTTAAACTATAATTTTGTATTTACTATCTGAAAGAAGGCGAAGATTTTGTATGTTTCAAACTAAAGAAAACACGTATGTTTTTTGTATACTTTAGTTGTTTTATTTAATGCGTAGTTCTGCATTCTAGCACATTACTAACAAACCCATAAAATTATTGAACCATAACCATTGTGCTTCGTAACGTAAAAAAAAAAAACAAAAAAAATGGACTTATAGATAACAAAATAAGATCAGAGATTTGGAAATTCAAACCAACTCATTCTATGAATACTTTGCAATTTATGATAGTACAATACATTAGAAATTATGTTTTTCTTTAGGGAATAAATATTGTTGAATCTAGCCTATATTCAAGCCATCAAATATGCTAAAGAAGAGCTGAGTTAGGGATTGCAAAGCGTCCATGCTGGTCTCCGTTGTCCTTCTATGGGAGGGCTAAATGAAAGAAATTACAGAAAGAATATATAAATAAGTAAAATATCATAGTTTCGTGCCGTCTTACAATAAAATAATGAAAGTAGTTTTATAAAAAAACATTTTATAAGATGTGAATAACACTACGGTATCACAGAAATCAGGGGGCCACAAATGTTTCTAGATATTCATTTTTATAGTTAAATAATTTTCTCGCAGACGTACCTGATTTTTATTTTTGGTTTTTAAGGATCGTCATGTAAACAATATATATTTCTGTGACAATCTCGGTTGTAAGGATTCTCTGTGATACCCTGTTCATTTAGTACATTTATTTTATTAGTTGATATTATTATTTTGTTAAAAATACTAACTTGTGCCGAACAGAAAGCGAAGAGCCCGAAACACAGAACCATCAAAAGGAAGTAAACTTGACTCATTTTGCCTGTCATTTTTGTTTTGTTCTTAAACTCTGCACAAAAACGTTGAACTTGAAACCGAACTGTTTTCGCTGGCTTGATTAATTCTGTTTAGTTGGTTATTTTATTAATGCTCTCAATTTATTTCTGCTTACAGACTGAAATCGCTGTGCAAAAGTATCGCATTTTTATGCTGAATTTTCAAACTGCCAAATGGGCGGCACCGGGCGACCTACATTGCGATTCCACCTGTCATCAACCGATCTCTTCTTTACATTACCTATTATTATCGCTGTTGTTGCCGTTTGTTTGTTATTGAACATTGCGTGGGATTGTGAATTTGATCGCCAGAACAATGGGAAGGACAACTGATGTGTGTAATGACAGCTCGCACTTACAATTTGTGATTATATGCGACACTTGCGGGTCAAATCAAATTTGTGGGGTAAGTCATTTTTCCATCAATAACGCAACTATTTTAAGATACTGGTTATCCGATAATAATACGGTTAATATAATTATTGTATCCAAAGAAAACCTACATACTTTCTGTATTGAATTCATATTTCTGATGAAAATATTTTAATATTTTATTCTTTTACCTTGTTTATCATTAAATGTAAAATAAGATTTAAGAACTTCTTAAAAGAATGTCTAAACATATCAAAATCTATATTTTTTATCATATAATTATATTTATTTTACTAAGCTGAAAACCCATTTTCATAAAATAATCTATTTAATTTTTATTCTTTTACCTTGACTATCGTTAAATGTACAAAAAGGTTTTAAGAACTTTTTGAAAGATAGATTAAAAATATTAAAATCTATATCATATGATAACCGATATATGATCCCTCTAAAAACCCATTTTCATACTTAACCCTTCGCTCTCAAAAGTAATAGAGTTTTTGTAATATTTTTTTTTTTTCAAATTTTTTATTTGTTTGCAAAGAAACCTGAATGCCACGCCCCCTCCCTGGGCCGTTGAATGGGTGGGTGGATTTGGGTGCGGATTTGTGTGCATGAGTGGGCGTGAGCGTAGGTGTGGGCGCTGGGCGATCAGGCTGTGTTTTCATTTTAAAACATAGTAACTAATCAGCCGGATAACCGGGTGACTGGACAGCCGCTTCAGGGGATCCGCAGAGCCGCAGCAGTCACTCCTCAGCAGTTATCCGTGACTCCTCCGCAGGCTTAAATTAATAAGAGGGAGCAGCATAGCCGCCATGACCGGCCGGACCAGCGCTATAGTGCTGGTGTCCATGGCTGGGTCCGGATCCATAGGGACCCTCGCGCTCGCCAGCGATGTTGGCGAGGGCGGACAGGCCCTGGTTTCCGCTCTGGAGCAGCTGGTAGCCGGCACTGGCGGCGGCGGAATCGGCTCCCGACGCGTAGGCGGGCAGGCCGCGACCACCCTCGTGCTGGCCAGGACCATGGGGTCCCGAGCCGTGTCCGCCGTGTCCGTGACCGCCGTGACCGCCGTGTCCGCCGTGTCCGTGACCACCATGTCCGTGTCCGTGCGACTGCGAGCCCTGTCCGTAGCCCTGCTTGTTCTCGTTGACGAAGTACTTCTCTGCCGGCGGCTTGACCACATTCACGAACACGGGCTCAACCTTGACGCGACGTGGATGGTGCTTGACGTAGACCTTGCGCAGGACAATTGCTGGGGGCTTGTGCAGCACCACGGGAGCGGGCTTCACCACCAGTGGGGGATGGTTGACCAGCACCTTGGTGGGCGGACGCTTGACAATGATGGGGGCGGGACGATGGATCAGGATCTCGCCCTTGTTCTGCGGGTAGGTGATCGACGAGGTGAGGGTGTTGCCCTTGGTGTTCACCGGCTTGTAGGGGATGTTCTGGTCGGAGCCGTAGCTGCTCTGTCCAGCCTGGGCCACTCCGGCGGCATCGGCTCCGGACTCCAGAGCACCGGCACCGGCGCCAGCACCGCCGTACTCGCCGCCAGCTCCACCGGCACCGCCGGCAGCAGCTGCGGCCGCTGAAGCGGCATCGGCGCCGCCCTCAGAGCCACCGCCATGGCCACCGGATTCGGGACCATAGCCCTGGGAACTGCCGTAATTGGCGCTCGCACAGGCCTGAAAAATACAGAGGGTTAAAGTGTGAATAAAATAATATTTTTAAAATATTTTTCCAGCTCTATATGAATATTCTTTATATAGTGATTTTAAGAACCTTTTGGGAACCGATATAATACAATAAAAAAGATTTCGAAATTCAGTATAGAATATTGCTAGTAGAATGAAAATTAAAAAGTATTTCCATTTCTACTTTCAGAAACAAGCTTTGAAAGGACTGTTTTTTTTCGAGTGAGATTTTAACAAAAATCCTCGATGAAGTAATCCAAGTAGCGGGATGATATTAATCCTACGATTTCGATTTCGATTTAAACACTTACGATCAGGCAGGCGGCCAGCGCCCAAATGTAGGTCGATCTCGTCATCTTGTCTCCCAGTTGCAGTTCCAGTTGCTCTTCGGCCTCTGGTGTGCTCCCACTTGGACTGACTGCTTTCTTCTGCTGCCCTCCATTGGTGGCCGACTACTTTAAATATGCTCCGGACGCGTCTCCGGCTCCGGCTACGTGACATTTGGATCGATGGCGACTCCGGTGCCGGCTGTTCCGCTCCCAGCCCACGCGATGCGAGCGAAACATGGCCAAATGCTGATAGATCGCACGCATCGCATCGCGGCCAGCGCATATCACGGCGTCTCTTCCACTTACGTAGAAGCCACTGTCCAAAAAGCCCCAGTGCCCCATTACAATAACAATGGGTATCGAAATCAACAGCCGGGCTTTGAATCTCCGCTGCATATCGAGGTCCGAACGTCTGCTCAGATAGCGAAAACAGTTCCGCATTGGCAGACACAAGACACGGGAGTCAGAAAGAGAGAAATCGAGTGGTAAATGGAAATGGAAATGCAAATGGAAATGGATAGGGGAAAAATGATCTCCACAGATTTCCATATCATTACGTGGCTGGCCATGTAAAATCCTTGAATTCAATGTGATATACAGGTTAGTTACAGTTAGGATTGTAAAAGTGGTTGGCGGAAATGGTATTTATACAAAATCCTTTAATCTTAAAATGTGATAAGATAGTCAAATAGTTAGATAGCCCAAATACATATCTTATAATTGACCCCCATTCTAATTTTGATACTTTTTATAAAGTGAGCTTTATGGCTTTAAAACATCACATTAAAAAATTATGTGTATTCAAGACATAAGGTTTAATATGTGAATAGGAGCTTAATTACAGTAACAGCTTTGTAAATGTTTCAAAACTATCCATTCAATAGTTTTTGGTGAATCCCATACTTTCTTTGTTCATCATCCTTCAAAATTTAAAGATTAATAACAAACTTAAAAGATACTTTTCCGCAATATTGACATGCTTTATTAATTTAATGATTTTAAGTGGAATATTTATTTATTATCGCCAATAGATTAATGCTATTCTTACAATTAAAAAGAAGGAATATCCACTTAATTATTCTTTAATAACATGTCTTTTTGGGAAGCAATTGGGAAACAAATATTTTCGAGCATAGGAATAAAGTATTTCTTTGAAATAAAATAGTAAAGAATTTACTACCCTAAATATGAGCTGTAAGAAACTTGTTGTAAGAATATAATATCTATTCAATATCCTTTTATAGCAGAGACAAAATCTATAAAAAGAAAATTAACTCATGATAATGTGTTCTAGATCGCTATTTTCTTAAATGCTCAATCCATTTTTCATTTATATGATAATGGTAAACATACGATAACAAGAGTGTGAAATATTTTCATTCAAGATCGTGATAGGAAATATCGCTAAAATAATCTATCGTTAAATATGTAAGAGGTGCAGATCATATCTATAAAGATTCTTCTCTTGAAACAATTTTGGAGTTACAAATATTTATTTTTCATTTTATATGATATGATGTTATATTATATGGTATACAAAAACCTAATATTATCGGATCTACTTTTTTCTGTCAGCTTTATAAACTGCAAAAGACCTTGAATACATTTCAACTATTATTCTCTTGATATTGTTACCCATTTTTGCTGATGATTAAGAGCTTTGTAATCGCTTTGTAATCACTTCGTAACCCTCCCAAATATTCTCCACAACACAACTCGTTTACGTTTTGGGTATTTTTTTCATTTATTTGCGCTCAGCAGTCGGCAAAGAAAAAAAAACAAAAATTTAAATTAAACCAGCTGTCGCAGCTGAGGAGTAGGCGAGTAGGATGAGCACCTAGTAGTTGGGCTGGCCATAGGGCGCGGGACTGTTGTACAGTGGGGCCTCGTTGCCGTAGCCATTGCCATCGGCAGATGACGCGGCACCGGCGGCGGAGGAAGCTGCTCCGGCACTACCATAGCCCTGCGGCTGGCTGTACTCCCTGGGTTGGCTGTACTCCCTCGGCTGGCTGTAGACGGGGGCCACCACCGGGGCCAGCGGGGCCTCGATCTTCTTGCCGGGCTTGTAGACCTTCACGTAGACAGGGTTGAGGCTCAGCGGAGTGGGCACCTTGTTGATCACCTCCTGCTGGTAGATGACCGAGGGCTTGATCTTGTAGATCACCGGATTGCCGCGCACCACCGTCGGTGGGCCGCTGTTCACATGGGCCGGCGGTGCACCTGGCTGGTGGACAATGATTGGAGGCAGGGGCTGGGTGGCAATCACCTGGTGGTTGTTGTGGCCCGAAGGCACCAGCAGGGAGCGGAACAGATGCTGATCGACGAACTGCGGGGAGACCACCTTGATCTTGCCCTGCCGAATGTTGCTGGCCAAATTGGTCTCCGCGAGAGACTCGGCAATATCCTCGGAGTTCTTCAGCTTCTGGTAGTTGGGATCGGCGTTGAGGGCCTGCAATTGGGCCTGGACGCGACCCAGACGACGGGCCTCCTCCGGCGAGGGCTGGATTTCGGCCTGGGAGGCGATCTGGTTGGCAGCCGGCTGGTTGCCGCCCGTCGCCACATTCACGTACTCCTCGAGTCCGGCATTGGGACCCGCCAGATACTGACCGTGTCCACCATGTCCATGACCGTGTCCATGTCCAGCGGGGGGACCATAGTTAGCGCTCACCAGCTAAAAGAGAGATTAGAGGGATGAGCGATTGCCATGGATGGATGGATCTGATGGACTACTAACCGGCGCCGCGGCGATGGCTAAGATGCCAAACCAGAGACCGAGTTGCATGTTGCCGTTTACGTGTGGATCGTCTACTGCTCGCTGTCTGGCGATGACTCCGGCTCTTTATAGCGCCTATAATCGCTGCCCGCCACGGCCGGCTACGTGATGCATCTCCATTTCCGATTTTGCGCCGCATCTTTGTCTCGCCATCGTGCCGAGATCTGTGGAAGACAACCTCCTAACCACCAGAGTGCCAGAGTGGTGCAGCAGCGGTCTGCCTTCCGCCCGTCGCAATCTTCTCTTTGTGGCGGTACCATCGCCTTGGCTTGAATCATAGCTCTTCTAGATCTTCGTTTCGCATCTCAGTTGAGGGTTCTTCATAGAGTTCTGCGAAGAGAAATATATGAAGTTTAGGGAGTGGCTTTTGGGTATACTCTCTGAAAAGGTTTTCGATTCATAATGATGTATCATTGTGATGCATCTCTTATTTAAAAGATATTTATTTAATTAAAACAAAATAACTAGTTTATGTTGAAATCTGAAGTAATCCTTTCTTTAAATGTGTTTTGTATTCTAAAGATAGATTTAACCTGAGGTTATAAAGTTCTCTTCGATTTAATAATATCTTAATCTTGATAAAATCTTAATGAACTGATAAACTTTGTAAAGATTTCCACGTAAGATATTACAGATAAAATGCTGTTACATATAAATATAGTTATAAATGCTTTATGTAGTTCAAGAGATTATTTAGTCTTAAATTCTCTTTAGTTAAAATTGATTCAGTGCTTGCATTACCCATTTTAAAGTAAGTTGTTGTATACTCTATTTAAAAAATAAGAAAATACTTACATTTACAATGTTTTGTGTAATGATCGGCTAAAATTTTTATTATCTTTCAACACTCACAGGGTAATTATAAATTCTTATTAGACTTTGTTAAATTTAAATCACTATGGACGGCAGTCCATGTAGTGACGAAGCGCACCAGGAGAGTGTGCGAAGGCGACTACTATTATATAGCCGCAAAATTGAAAATCTGCTGTGATAGTCCGATCGTAATGAGTAATACACCAATCGAAAGGTATTGCAAAAACTTAAAGGATTGCATACCAAGACTTTAAGAAAATCAATTGGCTTGGGAGAGAGAGCGGTGAAAGTGAAAAAGTGAATATTTCGAAATTTGGAGCTGTCGGGGCCGGTGGGGATAATTGCCCCCTCTCAATGCTTTATTTGTATTCCTTTTGAAAATACCCGTCGAATGAGGGGTCATTTGTCAAAATCCGACGCTCCGTTCAAAAGTTATAGCCAAAATAAGATTTTCTTCGTCTTCCCAAAATGAAAATTTAATTCTGTTTGTCAGTTTGTCAGTTTGTCAGTTTGTCAGTTTGTCCAAAACATGTTTTCTAAGTTTTGAAAATTTGATATGACGTTCATCACATCGATATAAAAAACTTTTGTTCTACCACTTTTGGAAAAACTCGCTAGTTTAGCGGGAAAACAGCTATAAGTAGCTAAAATTCGGAAAGCCGTAACTTCTATACTACTAAAGCTACAGACTTGTGCTGCATCTCGTTTGAAAGGTATTTTTAAAGGCTATAAACGCCATTTATATGCAATTTGTGTAAATGTAATAGTTAAAAAAATATGAACAAAAGAAAATTTTTTAAAACTTTTTTTTTAGCTTTTTTTTATTTTTCTCAAAAACGGCTCTAACGATTTTCTTTAAAACTTTAAACTGTATAGCACTTGAGATTCCTTAAATTTTGGTATATAACACATTACTGTAAAAAGTCACGTTTAAAAGTTATTTTTATACGAAAATAGCCACTTTTGCAAGCTCGAACTACTAACGCTCCCTGAGTATTGAATTTTGTGTGAGGGTATCCGAACTGTATTTTAGGGTCATGGAATCAGTAAATTTGCACTTTAGAGTTCCATATAGGAATCTTTTGTTCTACGACTTTTGGAAAAAGCCGCTACTTTAGCGGGAAAAGGCTAAAAATAGCTACATTTCGTTAGTTTGTAAGTTCTACACTACTAAAGGTACAGACATGTGCTATACCTCGTTTAAAAGGTATTTTGAATTACTTCAACGCCTTTTTAACTGAATTCGTTAAAATACAATAGTTTAAAAATTATGATTTATGACCAATTTAAATTTAAATGTTTATATTAGCACCTATGAGAGCAAAAGTAAACAAACAAAAACTTCTGATATCAAATAAAAACACCTCTTAACGAGGTAAAAAACTAGTGACGATCGCACCTTCAACATACAAAAGTTCTGATATCAACATTTGTGACGAAAAATTATTACACTCGTCATTAAATAGACTTTCTAATATTTTCTCATTCGGCACGCTGCAATAGAAAATGCCTGTGAAGGGAAAAAGGCTGGAATAGTTTGCTAGGGCGGGCCGAATGAGAAAATATTAGAAAGTCTATTTAATGACGAGTGTAATAATTTTTCGTCACAAATGTTGATATCAGAACTTTTGTATGTTGAAGGTGCGATCGTCACTAGTTTTTTACCTCGTTAAGAGGTGTTTTTATTTGATATATTTAATTGAAACAGGATTTCTTTTAATAGCATTAAATTTGAGTTAATAGGGTTTAATATTATTAAACATTACCTTCTTCATACATGTTTCATAATTTTCTAGTATGTAGATTTTATATCTTGTTTACTTATGTTTGGAAGCATAGAACCTAAGCTTAAACTGTAACTAAAATTTAAGAGGTGGATATTTTCGTCTCAATTGTATTTGAAGATCTTTGAAAGGACCCAATGATCATATCTAAAAAAGTCTTAAGAATAAGGCAACAACTACCAATTTTGTAAATTGTTAATACAAATGAGTCACTGAAATTGTTTTTTTTTTTGATAAGCCTAAATGATTTTATCGTTTAAAATCGAAACACAACCACTTTGTTTGTATTTTTCGTTTTATTCTTGTAGTAATTTCCTTAATCTCAGTGTTTGTGTGGTTTGTGTTGTGTTGTTTTGTGTGTAAAGTGTGTGTTTTTTTGGGTGGGTGTGGCTCAGGCCCATTTATAGAACTCAATGGACGGAAGACCGCAAGTCTTTTTGCTATACATATATTTTCAGAGACCCCGTTTGTAGAGAAGGTAGGTGAGATCTCGGGTGGGTCGACTGCCGTAGTCGTTGAAGGGCGACTTAAAGTTGAGCTGGCCGCCAAAGGAGTCGACCTCCTCGTCGTGATTAGGTCGATCCTCGCCAGCGGTTCGCACTGCCGGTGGATTGGATTGGGCGGCGTGCAGCTGATCCTCGCTAGAGTTGATGATATAACTCTGGGGCTTTGCCTTGTAGGTGTTTCTGTGCTGCAGTGTTTGTTGTTGTGGATATTGGTGGGTGTGGCTTTGTGGGTGTGGTCGTGGTGCATAGTGTTGTGCGTGTTGTTGGGCGTAGTTATAGCGCTGCTGGGGAGGATGTGCCCGCTGCTGTTGGCTGAGATACTGCTGTTTCATGGTCATGGCTCGGCTGTCGAAGCCCTGCCGATAGGCTGGTCGAGATTGCTGAGGCGCGGCAGCTCCACCGCCGGGTCGCTCGGCACCCGGCAAGTACTCATGATGCACCTCCTCGTGGACTCCATTCTGGGTCTGGTTAACCAGACGATTGTACTCCTCGTTGGTGCCGCCCACCTGCAGATGGATGGCATGCTTGAAGTCATCGCCCAGGTGCTTCAGCCAGAAGCTCTCGTCCACCTCGCCGGTGGTGTAGATCCTGGTGGTCTGGCCGCTCTTGGGCCGACCCACCGCCGTGCCCGTGGAGGCCAAGACATCGATTACATCGTACTGCTCCGGAGTGCCCTGCTTATAGGGTTCCACCCGGGCAGCCGAGCGATCGGTGGTCTCTTCGAGCGGCGGACCCGAAGTTGTGCTCCCATTGTAATCCTCTTCGACGCTGGGCGTGGACTCAATTGGATTCTAAAGGCATAACAACTATTTATTATAATATAAATTTAGTGAGTTTATTTTAAACCCACCTCTGCGTTAATAACGACCTGCGTTGTGACCAGCAAAAGCAGCATGGGCCATCTGCCGACGGCTGCCATTTCGACTGAGGGCCCCGGCTCCCATGGATTCCATTTAAATACTCCCAAAAGCAGCTCAATTCGACCAAAAAATAAAAGACGTGCCGGGACGTGATCTATAACCAGATATGCCATATTCACTAGATGTCTCATCCACGAATCTCCAGCGATCTTGATGCGTCAGAGCCAAAAAAAAATAATATGTGAGAGAAATAGTGAGCCAGGGTCATTTGAATTCTTTAGTTCTACTCAATGGGTTCCGAATAATCTTTGGGTGGGTAAGATGGGTGTATGTGCCATTAATTGGATGCTGTAGAACATTTTTGACATGTCCAAGTACAAGGTCATTTAAGGTATCATTCTAGAAAGTTCAGACCAAGACTCCTATTTTACATCTTTCCCACTTAACTAATTTATTTCTTTGAAAAAGTTTTACCAATCTTTACTCGTATGTGTGATATTAAATACTCTCCTTGTTTTAAAAGTTTTTCTAATGAGTAATATTTTATTCCTGTATTAATTCTTTATTTTAACCAATTAAATTCAAAATGTAAAATTGTAAACATCTTAATAAGAAAAATAATTAACAATTTTTACTCTTTACCTCTTTATATTGACATTAATGGCCATTGTTTCTTTAAAAAAATAAATCATTTTTATAGATCGAAGTAATTCTGTGTTTTAATCAATTAAATTATTAAAATTCAGCTCCAAAATACCAAATGTAAAATCGTGTAGATCTTAATAAGAAAGAAAATTAACCATTGAATTACTCTTTACCTGTTAATATTGACATTAATGGTCATGGTTTCCTAAAAAAAGAAAATCATTTCTATAGATCGGAGTAGTTCTCATTTTTAATCATAATTTATTATTTATTTACATCGAATGAGTCTTAAAAACGCGTCTGGAACTATTTTGCTTATGTGATCACGAAGCTTATAGTGTTTTTTGCCGCTTTTAACCACGAGTCTCTTTTGGCGTCTCAATAGTATGCAATCACAAGAATTTTGTCGCTGAATGATGAACCATTTGTTTATATGGAGCAAAAAATATTTAGCCATTGACAGATCGTGATAAATGCGGGTAAACAAGCGTTAACTGTTTTATTTTTGGTAATATACACATAGTTGATGCAGAGACTTTAATGATAAGAAAATATCTTAATTTCCACCGTACATTCACTTTATAAGAAGAATTGTAACTGCGTGTGGACTTAAAATAATTGTATAATTATTTATTTTGTTTATAAATTAATGAGCAGTTTTATGAGAAGTCCCATAAGACAGTTTTTATTTTTTTTTTATGTAATATGTTAATATGAAATATTTATTATGACTTGCAAAATACATTAAAGACATTACAAAGTGGTATAATGACATTAAAGCCCTTACAAAATTGTAATCATAATAACAAGAGTTCATGGTTGTAAGAATTAATGTGACAAAGATAGGTTTTTGTTGAATTCACTAATAATGTTTAAGGAAATTATTGTAAAAATCGAATAGAAGTCGTTCAAGTGAATGGTAAAATAGTTTTTTATTAAATAAACATGAATATGAACGTGCCAGCAAATTGTTAGGATTAACCACCTAGCAAAAATAGTATTACAAATGGCAGAGCATACTTTCAGGGGCATCAAATAGAGTAAAATAATCCCTCCCCATGATTATAAATCAATTGTGGATCCGTAAAATCATTGAATCGAGCATTATTCAAGCAAACACTTTATTAACCTGTTAAATGGGGCAACTTCTTGAAGTGCCGACAAAAGCGGAAGACGTAAACAGAAATCGGAGGTTGGAATCGGTTGAGAATATAGTATAGGTAGGTACATATATATACAAGCGAATGGAGACCCGAAAGCAGAGTGCTCCACTGGCCTACTTTCGGCTGGATTTTAAGCCGAGCTCAGCAGATCGACGGGTTGAGTTGGTTTTGGCTTTGGGTTTTGGGTTTGGAGTTCGGTTTTCGCTGTACGTAAGACCTCTCTTCTCAGTAGCCGTAGCCCGCGTCTTCGCCGCAGCTGCAAAGAGAAGAAAGACGAAGACGGTGAAAGAAACGCCACAATGTTTTTTCAATTTATTATATTCTGTTTTTTGTTATGTTTTTTTGTTTTTAAATACTAAAGCTAGGTTTTTTTTGGGGGTTGGGGTGTTCTAGAACCAGGCCCTCAGGTAATCCGTTATGGGCGGCGCACTATAGGTGTCCACACTGTAGCCATTTTGGGTGTGGCTATTATAGCCATACGTTTTGGCCGGCTGCCTGGAGTAATCCTCCCGTAGGCTCTGCTCGGGCTCAGCGGCCTGATCGAATCCCCAGCCGCCCAGGCGGCCATCGATGAGCTTCTTGAGGAAATCCGTTGTCTGCTGCCTCTGGACCGGCTCCGGATCCACCAGGCTGCCCTCGGTGGAGTAGTGACTGTAGGCCGGATGATTGTACACTATGCCGGAGATAATGCTGTCCAGCTGCGAGTCGGTTACGTGCTCCACGGGATAGCCACCGCCGAGACCCAGGAGCGGTGTGCCATAGGATCTCCTCGTGACCGATTCCAGGTCACCGGCAAACTGCAGCGGCGTCGAGCTGTACTCCTGCGGATCCGGCACCGAGGTGGTGGACAGGAGGCTGCGCAGCTGCGAGTCATCCACGAACTTGTAGTCCTCCTGACGCGACGCCAGCGGCGAGGGAATCTGCAGCGGATAGTAGCCGAAGGCGGCCCGCTTGGAGGGAATCGAATTGTGCTGCTGCTGCTGCTCTGGGGCCTCCGTGTGCTCGGTGGGCAACTGGGTGGAGTGCTCCTCCTCTTTAGGCAGTGGTGGTGCCGCCGCTTCCATCGCCCCACAGCCCATGTGGCACTGGCCGGGCTTAAAGTCCGGATTCAGGGTCTCCGGCATGAACTGGATTATCTCGGGCGCCGTGAGATCTACCTGGGAGCGCTCCTGCTCGAGAAGATCGTACTCGCCCTTGATATCGCGCTTGCGCAAACGACGACTCATCCAGCTGGGCTGGGTTTTCTTGGTCTTCCGCTTGGATTTCGGCGAGGCAGCCGCCGGCTGTGCGGACTCCAAGGGTATGAGCCCGAAGAGCTTCAGCTGCTGCTTCTGCTGGGCCGGAGTCAAGTCCTTGTGGTAGAGCTTCACGAAGCGCGGCGGACGCTCCTGGATCTGCTGCTGGCGCATCAGTCGCCGGCGGAGCAGGGAACCCGGTGGTCGGAGATCGCGGCGACGACGAATCGCGTTTGGCGACCTGATCGGTGGAGCTACTACGTACCTGGGCTTTTGGCTGGAGCAACTGGAGCAGCTGCAGGTCGACTTGTCCTTGGCCTGGCAATCTGGAAGGAGAGGGGAGGCATTATATTTAAGATATTATAACTAAACCATAATTAAATGTAAATAACTATAAGCGTAATTAAGAAAAAATTAAAATATTTATAGTTGAGTTTTTATACTTTTACTTTTCAATGATATTTATTTATATTGATAATGATAGAAATACATTTAAATCCTTCTTACTTTTATTTAATATCTAAGTTTTTTATTAAGGTTTTGGTCAAATAAAAATAATAACCATTAATGATTTAAATATTATCATATTAATGTATTTATTTGATTAATTATTCTCTGGTTAAGAAAAAATATTCCATATTGTAAATGTAAATTATTAAAAGAAAAGTCTCAAATATTATAAAGAAGGATTTAAAAAGAAAGTATATATAAATTATATACATTAAAGACGCAAACAAAGACTAAATAAGATAGATTAGGCAAAGGGAGGATTTATTTATATATTACTTAATTAGAAAACTATCTAACTTATTTACTTATTTACATTTAAGACAAAAACAAAGTCTAAAAAAATAGATTAGGCCAAAAGAAGGTATATTCCATATTATATATTTTATTAATTAAGAAAATATCTAACTTATTTATTTATAAGATCAATATAAGGCTTCCCACTTACCCGCTTTGTTGACTGTGATCCGGTCCACCTTGGCGTACAGCTTGGAGGGATTGCTCTTGGGCGGTGCGGGAGTCCTGGGCTGCTCCACGGTGAAGTCGAAGCTGTAGCTGATCTTGGCCTTCGTCTGGACGGGCTTCTCCACCCGATAGCCGTACTCGCCGCCCCCGTACTTCTTGGGCTTGGCGGGACTGGGCACATTCAGTTGGTAGCCCAGCTGCGTGGGACAGGCGCAGCTCTCGCCCGTGTAGACCACCTCCACGGGAGTGGGAGCGGGAGCAGGAGCGGCGTGGAGCTGGGCGACGAGGGCCAGGCCCAGAAGAAGGCTCATCATCATGGCTATTGGGTGTCGCATCTTTTAGATCTTCTCGGTTGTCTGCCTTGCTGGCTACTAGCCGCAGATCGTTCCGCCGCATTCTTTATATCATCTCGCCCAGCTCGGACCCCAATGCACTTGACTTTGGGCAAGGTCTTCTTCCCCAGAGACGCCGGCTGGCCACTCTTTGGTTTGTTTTTGTTTTCGCTGACCTTTTCAAATAGTTCGCGGGTCATGTTTTCCGTCAAAAGTCATGTTCCCGACGTTCGCCGCTTTCTTCAGTGTCGAGTGTCTCGAAAAGTCGAGATCCAAACGCCAAACCCGCAATTATCCACAGTGGAACCTCGCTGAAGAGTGCTGCCATCTTAGCCATCATATATTAATTTGTTTTTTTCAATGGTAAAAATATTTACATATAAATAATACTTTTATTTTTGTATAATCCTCTAAATTAGTTGAAAATGATATGGTTTAACCTAAAAAATATTTTCCAAGTGAAAATCTATTGTTCATGTTAGATTTAGCCAACTGTATTTATGTAATTCATAAAAAATAAAAAAAAAATATGTCGTGGGAATATTTTAAAGGCCTAATGGTGCTGTAATACTTTTCTGATACAGCTAATAGTTTAATTTATAATTTAAATTTGTTTTTAATTTTTTTAGGCTTTCTTTACATGGTAAAAATTCTGTAATATTTTGTAAGCAAATTACCTTGTTTTTTATCTAATTTATTCGTAAGAATGTGAAGCCACTTAAGCGACAATTAAAACGTGTCTTAGTGCTTTGTTTACACAAGTGGGGTAATCCACAGATAGGTAAATAAATTAAATACCTATATTAAGAAAAAGATCATTTACAAACCGTTTATGTTTTAGTCTTACAAATATTTTCTCAGTTGAGGCTGAAAGATAATCATCCTAAGCACGAAACACTTCCCATTATATTTAATTTCATTTTTATATGATACCCCAAGCCTGTAATATTCCTGATAAATATTTTTTAACGATAGCTCTTTAAAATCTAATTTAAAGATTCACAAGAAAACCTACTTGGCCACGCACTTTGTATAAATATATATTTGTAACACTAACTTAGACAGACATCCATTCATTCCCCAGCGTATATACACATATTTACAGACGGAAGGATCGGTGTTAGATGGTATTAGTTTGTGGTTCAGTAGTAGCCCTCAGCGGACTCCTCTCGTTTGGCCTTCCGGTACGAGGTGATCCTGCCGGGCTTGAAGCCGCAATCTACGGACACTTTGCCGGCCACCTTGCCGTAACCCTCGTCGGAATCCTTGGAGTCCTTGGAGTAGGCGTAACTGGAGCGGTGGGAACTGGTGATCTTCTTGAACTTGGGGTTCTTGTACTGCTCGGTTATGTAGCCCAGCTGCTTGTAGGTGAGCTGCGGCGCCTCCTCATCATCGCTGGACGCCTCCTGCTCCTCCTCGGCATACTCCTCCTCCTCCTCCTCCTGCTGCTTGGTCACATAGTTGCGCTTCTTCAGCGTGATCACCTCGCTCTTCAGCTTGAAGAGATTCTCCTCGGGCACGTTGGAGAATACCACCTTCTTCTCGCCGTCGACGGGCTTCTGGGCGAAACCGTAGGCCAACTTGGCCTCCGGCACATTGATGGCCTTGCCGGCCTGGGCGGCCAGACTCACGCTGATGGGATCTGCAGCGGGACTGTTGTCCTCTTTCTTCTCCGCATAGTCAATTCTGCAAGAAGTTTGGGATTAATTAGATTATATCATACACAGAAAAAAAACCGATATGAAATAGGGTTGTTTCTACCTTATTTCATATCAATAAAAGATTCAAACATATCAACATGATATTTTATCATATCATAAAAATACAAAATTTAGTATTTTTTGAGCAAATAATATAAAAAAGAGATTAACATAATCTTTGTTCATATCAAAATGATAACTTGATCTTTTAAAAATATTCCTACTAAGGGGTATACTACTCACTTTCCGTAGTATCCAGATCCCGAGACCGAAGAGGAGGCGTAGCTGCTGTCCGAGCTCACCTGCTGGCACGAACAGGTGGGCTTGCACGGCGTGGTCTGTGTGGATTGATCAAATCGAGAGGGAGAGAGTTCAGTTTCGGTTCGGGTAGCTTTGGGGGTATCTATCTAGGGTTCTATCGCTTCGCATAGCTCGGCTTCTTGGCAGCACGTACGCGGCGATATATGAGGCGGTGTATATATGTTTGGATGACGATGCTGTGGACTGATGGATGGTGACGCAAAGTTGGGGCGGTGATGATAGTGCCGCCCGATGCGGAAATTATGGTTACTGCAGCTGACGGGGGGGATGACGATGGATGATTATAACTGTCGAAACTAATGCTAGGTCTTATGATATCTAAAGTTATGATGGGTATACTATCGATACAAAAATATTGCCATTTATACAATGCTCTTAGTTAGAGGCTTCTCCTTATGATTGATTTAAACGATTATCGTATAAAAATAATGTAACTAATAGAACAATTACAATTGAATTTACATCATATAAGGTGTATCTTATTGGTAATCATTAACATTCAGATTTCTTTAAGGTGTGGAAGCGAAAGGAAAAATTATATCACTAAAATCCAAAAGATATGATCTAGAAGTAAGGCTTAAAAACCTACTGTCTTCTTATTTTATGTTCTTTTTTTAGAATCCTTATTTGGAAATCATTATAGAGATTGTGAGCATACTAGCTTTGTAGTTTAGATAAAGTTAAGATCTGTGTAAAGACAGATCTTTTCCCTTCTTGTTAGATGATAAGTTGAGTGAATTAACGATCTGGTTAGGCGTCACTGGCTATGGGTATGTGGTATGGGTTGTCTATGCGGATTAGTCACTGGTTACTGGTTATAGCTGATAGCGATGGCCCGAGGGGCCCCTCTTGAAGCAGTCGATCCGCTCCAGACGCTGCAGCCGCTCGGCCAGACGCTGGGCCGCCAGCGTCTTGGCTTCGATGGCGCCCTCGAGCATCCGACGGCCCAAGAGGTTGTTGAAGGCGTTCATATACTGGAACAGCTCACGTACTTTTCCGCAGGTCTTGGGCAATTGGGCCGGTTCGATTAGCTGCTTGCTGCACCAGCAGTTGTCGCCGATCGGCGAGAGGTTCACGTCACTGGGCTCGTAGTACCGGGGCTTCGGACGGATCACCGTGGATCCCTGGCAGCTCTGGCAGTAGTCCGTTCCCTTCTCGGAGCACACACATGCTGCCATTATCTGGAAGATTAAGGGGAATTGTTAAGCAAAAAATTGATTTACAAATATTTAATAAAAATAAAATGTAATCTTTGTAAAGCATTTACACTCTTTCTAAGTATACTTGTCTTGACTTTATTTCCAGCTTTCAGCTTTTTATCTGAGCTGAATAACATCTCAGGAAACTTCCTTCATCCTTTTGATTTCACCATAACAAAAGCAGTGTTGAACAGTCCATTAGAAAGCTTGCTTCATCCTGAGCAACCCTTACACTTGAGCAGTGTTGATTAACTTCTTAGGAGTTGCCTCATTCACCTTTGCACTTTCACTCTTTTTTCCACTCATTCTTATTTATTTTTCTTATTCTTACCAGCTGAATGCAGTGCATTCCCATCACCAGCGAGAGAAGAAGCTTGCAGGCTAGCATTTTGTAAATGTTCTTATCGGATCTGTGGGCTCACTCTGTTCTTGGCTCGTTAAAAGTTTGGACTGACTGTGGGAGCGGTCCACACGGCTTATATAACCGTGATAAAAGCGAGAAGATCGCCGAAAGCTGTGCTCTTGCATTAGTTTTCCGCAGCTGTTGCTCTCGATTTGCCTCGAGGTGAATGAAATCTTTGCTCTTCATTCGCGCTAAATGAAATCTTCTTGGGGTCACTTTCCCGTTGAACGACCTTGATCGGATGACAGGGTCAGGTTCAGGTATAGCCTGTCTTTGGACACTTTCCATTGGGTCCCCACCCGCTCACTAAAGCTGCGCTGCCCTACGTGCTTCGGTTTGAAAGACCCACTTGGTTTTGATAATACCCCTAAATCAACATAAGCAAACAGATGTGATGCCATTCCCACTGCTGAATTCCACGAACTTTGGGCGATACGATGTGAATAGCCAACAATGAAATTGGTATTAAGTATAAAATTGCAAACTTCTTGAACCTAAAAAATATTAGTCATTCAAGATGTTCTTATCAATTTGTACAAACTTAAAGCTATCATGATGATTTAAGATTTTTGTTGTTGATTTTTTAATGATTTTTTAATTAAATTATAAAATATTAGGAAATATCTGCTAAACAAATTTAAAAAAATGAAATGTAACTTTTTACCATCTTAACTATATTTATCAATTTAAGATTAATATAGTTAGGAAATATATTTTAAACAAATTAAAAAAAAAATGAAATTTTACCTTTTACGATCCTAACCATATTTATCAATTATTTAATTGGAAGATCTATTTAATAGACCTGGTCAAGTTAAATAATATTCTTAAATTAATATTCTTCATACTTCGTTCCCGAAATTTCGATTTGGGGAATTTTAGCTGTATAAATAAAATTGCGATTAGAGGTCCGTTCCGTTCCCGATTTTTAAATAGGTCAGCGTCATCTCGAAACGACCCGGGAATCGGGAGCAGACTTCACAGAAATAAATTTAGGCCATTAACCTAATTAGCGGCTTGTTATTGTTGCGGTTTTTTAGTCAAAACAAAAAATTTTGGCAAAAAACTCAATCTATGGAAAGCGAATCGTAGAGGCACTTCCACTTCCTTTCCGACCGATAACCGTCAAAACAATCAGTAGTACATTCCTGTCCAAAAAACCCACATGACACATCGAATTAACCACGTTTTCGATTCGTATCTTTAGCCATGCGATTTACTTGATGTTTATAAACGACTTTTCCCCGAATAAACACGTGTTACACTAATCGATTAGCTGCCCATCGAAACATTTACAAACACAGATTCACAAGCAATATTATGTAATTGCAAATTCAAATGCATTTCATTTTTCTATGGAAGTTCAACGACTGAGTGCGATAACCTGTTGCGCGATTCGAAAAATACATACGAGTATTTCTTCATATGTATAAACATTTTATTAGACGATGGACTTACGAGCAAAATGTGTATTGTTGAATATTAATTTAATTAGATTTTTTAAGAACTGGGAAAATTGCTGGGAAAGTTTCCATAAGCTTTTATAGTTTTTACAGTTGTGGTTAATATTTTAGCACAAGAAACATTGAACCTTTATAAGAAAATGCTTAGTAAAATGATATGAAACAAAGTTATTTACTATGAAAATTACAAAATTTTAAAATAATAATTTCTTTTTAATATGGTTATGTGGGTGATGTATAATATATTATCATTCAATATTAAATTTTCTTACCGATGGCTATGAACATTTTTGTCTTATAATATTTCCCGCGTCTGTTTTGATGATTCCTCACTATTTATTGTTGCCAACTGATTTGTTTACAAAAATCTATGGTTAATCTCTTCCACCGAAAAAATAACCTTGGCTAGACGCCATATCAGAAGAACTTTCTCAACCCCAGATGACGATCGATCAGCTTTTCGTCTCATGGAAAGCAGGGGCAAAGCAAGGGGGGGCTTAAAATAAAGCTTAAAAATCTTGGTAAGTTTGCTATTTCTCGACTTTTAATATGTGGTTTTGTGGAACATATAAAAAATATCCATCATTTTCAAGCCCTAGCTTGAATAGTTACAAAGAATATGATTATATTGAAAATGCTGCCGCAAAAAATATATATATTACTATTGTATTCGAGTTAGATATATTATATTGTATTTTTTCCAGGGACCGTAAATAACAGTTATTTGTGATTTTTATTTTAAAAGGCCTACTGAGATTTGTACAAGGTTTTATCAACAATTTAACTGGTTTTTATGCACTTTATAGACATGAACAAATAACAATTAATTTGCTTTCCAGATTTGTTGAAATGCATATACTTTGTGGACAAGAGTAAAAAGAACGTTATTTTTGACGTTTAAAACTTTTTCTTTTTAAAATAAAAATCACAAATAACTGTTATTTACGTTCCCTGATTTTTTCTGAAAATATCGTTTTATATTTCGCTCAAAATAGAGATAGAATTTCCTTATTGTTTTGATGTTAATAATAAATAGGTTTCCGAAGTTCTGAGGCTAAATAATTTCCTCATTATACGTATATTCATCAGGTTCGCCCCTGCCGTAATATTTGGACTCCACTCCCCTCCGGAGGTCTACCGACGTGGGTCTGGTTTACGGTGCCGAAATCCCACCCATTACAGATGGTTAATGGCTCGGCAACAAGTCCAGACGCCTGAACCCGGGCTTATCAGCCGGTTGGGTTGTATAAAAGCCCCGGACTGACATCCCCACGAGCTCAGAGCGTTTCTATATACGGAATCGGAACCCCAGTTGCCCAGCCGAGTATATATGTATACTTGGCCCATCGGAATCTAGCTTATCAGTCGTTCGAAACCAAGTCCAGCTGGCAAGGTCCGCTGAAAATTCGGCAATAGTACAGTCGTACGCCTCCAAGTGATCGCAAGTGGAAAGTTCCTCAGTTCTAAATATCCCTAAGGAGCCTTAAAGTCGAAATAATGGCAGCAAAGAGAATGGATTTAAATAGACGCACCTTTTTGGTGCTCAGCGGCAGCTCGAATCCCCTGGGTCAATCCCTGGCCCTGGAGTTCTGCCGGCGCCTGGCCTCGGGATCCGTGGCCCTGATCCTGGACGAAGATCAGGAGCAGCTGCGCAAGCTGGAGAATCAACTCCAGAACGAGCTGAAGTCGGAGAACGTACGGGTGACGACTGGCCAGCTGGACAAGAGTCAATCGAACGGAGTGCAGCTAATGGAGCAGGCTCTGAAGGACCATTTCGGAGGTCAGCAGGCCGACCAACGATTCGAGCGTTCGATAATCCTGCACAACGAGGGCCAGGCGGCCACCCATGTGCTCCTGGAGCCCCAGAGCACCGGCGACTGGAAGGCCTATGTCCAGCAGCAACTGTACGCCCCGGTGGCCCTCAATCAGATGTGGCTGCAGTCCAAGTATCTGGAGAAGGTGGAGAAGCTGGCCGTGAATGTGACCTCCTCCCTGATGGTCCGTCCTCTGGTCCACTCTGGACTCCTGTGCTCCTGCAAGCGGGCCAGGGACATGTACTTCCGGGCCATGGCCGCCGAGGAGCATCGCTTCGGTGTCCACGTCCTCAGCTTTTCGCCCGGTCTGATGGCCACCCACGAGAGCCAGTGCGATGTGAACGGCAACCGGATCAATCCCGGCGAACTCGTGGCCTCGAAGCAGCTGCTCCAGCTGCCCAGGATCCAGCCGCACCAGGCCACGCTCAAGCTGATCAACATCCTGGAGGAGATCTCCTTCGTTTCCGGTCACGATGTCGACTACTACGACACCTTCGTTTTATGAGTAGCACCGTGGCGGTGGGCTGCGTCCCCGATGGACTCGGTTCTGAGTTTGGCTGACGATTCGGATGCTGTTTTTGATTTGATCGCCTTGGAAATGAATAAAATCTGGCCAATGACCCTGAATTTAAACCTGAAAGTGCAAGAAAACCCAGCACATGAACAGGAAAACGAAAAACAAACCTATACTTTTTATTTGGGGAAATGGGTAAAGAATGGGGAAAAATGGGGAGTTATGATCTCGGAGATTAGATTGAAATAGAAATTTACTTTTTCATATTATTCTTTAGGATAATTAGAATATTTTTTACTATTTCTATTGATTAAAAATAGTTAAAAAAAATATAAAGTTAAAGCAATATTCCTGCTTTAAATGTTTTATTATACTTTATTTCCTAAAATTAAATTATGAAATCAATGTTTAAATACGCTCAATTAAACAACTTAACAACGTTAATGATCTGACAAGCATACATTTTGAAATACAAGTTTTAAATATATATAAGTTTTAAAATATATACAAATGTTCATTTGAAAATATTCAGGCAATTCAGTAAACAGGCAATTTTATTTAATTCAGTTGATGAATCAGCTATATATATTTATATAGGGAATACATTTGTCATAGCTCGCCACACAAAATGATTTTCAACCAACCGCCTCAGAGATAAGGAATCGAATTATACGGATAGACACGTGTCCATGAATATGTACGTATGTATTATGGAGTGTTGGTGTTGCCGGGTCGGAATCGAAAAAGAATTCTTTATGGGATGCCTTTTGATCCAGGATTTCACTTTACGATGTGTTTTTTAGTGTAAATATGTACTGGTCCTGCTTAAATTTCGTTTAATGTTTTAAATAAATCATTGAAAAATATAAATGGAAAATAGGGGAAATCTTTCAGATGGTTAGATAAAATATTTTCTGTTTTTTCAAGGCAATCCTGATAAACTGCTGATACGCATATGGAAAAACCTATTGCTATGAAAACTACCATTATCATTTATTATCATTATTTGTAATTATGCAAATATTTATTTGTTTCATATTCAAGGCATACTTTTGGGTATTCCTTTTGGCTACAAATGTTGCAAAGCTTTCACAATCAGTTTAAAAACTATTAAAAATAATAATCTTTTGTAATTGAACCTTCCCTACAATGTCGTGAAGCTCTCTAATCAATATGTGTTCATCAAATAATAATATTACGCAAGAATTTTAAAATGTATTTATTTTACAATGTTAAACCAAATACATTAGAATAATAGATTATATTGGACTTTGGTTAAACCGAATATATAATTCTGCTCCCGTAAAAATGAAAAACAAGTAAAGTAATATTTAAAATGGAACTGATCTACATATTTGTGGTTTTATATGGTTTATAAACTACTTTAATATAATTTAAAAAACTCCCTTTAATTTCTTTGAATAAATACTATGTACAATTTATTTAAATAAATATTTAGTTAGCCTAGTGTAGTCAGGGGAATAGCAAATACAAATTAAATTTTATTGACGATTTGAAAGCTTGAACTTTGTTACAAAGTTGCCGAGCTTTCCAGAGAAGATTACGAGAATCGAGAATCTCAGTCCAGTCTCAACCCTTTTGGCTAACTTGCCGACCTTGACATTGACTTGGTGCATTCTCCAACTTAAATGCATCGCTTGAGTATTACGATAAAGCCTGTACTTTTTGATATAATAAGTTGAGTGTAGCGATGCGATTAATAAAACATAGCCAATTAATTAAATTAAATCGTTAAGCAAGAGCCGGCGATAACCTTTCCACTTCAAGTAGAGCTTAAAGCGTGAGAGATTAAATGTGGGAATCGAGAGCATAAGAGGCTGAGAGAGAGGGTAAGACAGGGGCGGAAATAAGGGGGTTCCGACCTATGCAAGTCCCCTGGAAATATTTGATCCTCAAAACCCCAAACCTTTTTATCTCAAGCGTTTCTTGTATTTGATAGAAACAAAACAATCTATTATTTGAGCTCTTTACAAATAAAAAACAAATTATCTTGTAAATATAAGACAAGGAAAACTTTAAATAATCATTAGATTAAAAAAAAATATAAATAATAAAAATCTGTTTTAATATTATATAGATCAGTTTTGGTAAAATATTCAAAATATTACCATTACAAAATGTTGAAAAATTATAAAATTTAATTTTGAAAATTACCTGAAAAATGTTCAATATTTTAAACGAATATATGTTCAACCAATATTCGCTATAAAATGAGATCAGTTTTGGTAAAATATTCAAAATATTACCATTATAAAATGTTGAAAGTTTTTAAAATTTAATTTTGAAAATTACCCAAATAATATTTAATACTTTAAGTAAATATATGTTTAACCAATATTCGCTGTAAAATTAGTTAACGAACGTATAATTCCAATTACCCCTCCTGAAAGGTAGTTGCTGCCCACCTTACGCTCCTGGACCTGAAAACAGTGAGCTTTAGTCAGCTGTGGAAAAGCTGCCAAATCAGCCAAAAGCCAAAGCGAGTTAAAAGAAGAAAAGGCAGCCAACTGTTGCCGCCGGTTTGTGGAAAATAGAAAGTAATTTAGTCTGGTTTTTCCTGCAACTATGGACCTGAAACAGCGCACTTACCTCCTGGTGACCGGGGCCTCTCGTGGAATTGGCCGGGAGTTTGCCCAGCAGCTGGCCAAGCGGATAGCGGCCGAGGGATCCGTGGTCGTCCTCCTGGGACGCAATCAGCCGCTTCTGGAGGAGGCCAGGGCACAGATCGTGGCCTCGGTGCCGGAACTACCCGTACACACGTACTCCCTGGAGCTGGAATCGGCCAAAACGGAGGACTTTGCCCAGATTCTGGAGAGTTCCGCCGCCCAGAAGTCGTTCCAGCGAGCCATAGTCATCCACAATGCCGGCACCGTGGGCGATACCTCCAAGAGGGCCAAGGAAATCGGGGATACCAGCTTCCTGCAGAGCTACTACCACACCAATGTCTTCTCGGCCATATCCCTGAACTGCGAGTTCATGCGAGTCTTCCGGGGCATCCCCAAATTGGTGGTCAACCTGAGCACCTTGGCCGCCATTGCCCCGATCTCATCGATGGCCCACTACTGCACGGTGAAGGCGGCCCGCGAGATGTACTTCCGTGTGCTGGCCACCGAGGAGTCCGCCGAGGAGACCCTGGTGCTGAACTACGCGCCCGGCGTCATAGACACCCAGATGACCGTCCAGGTGCAGCGGGAGGCCCACGATCCCGCCGTCGTTGCCATGTTCCGGGAGCAGCGGGAGGCCAAGACCATGCTGACCACCGCCCAGACCACGGAGCGCTTCATCCAGATCCTCGAGGCCCGCAAGTTCAAGTCCGGCGATCATGTGGACTACAGGGATGGACAGACTTAGGTTCATTATGTATTGTGTGATGTTTGGTAATGGGTTCTTGTATTAAAACATTAAAAAGATAACAACTTTGAAAAATCCGACTAGCTGATAACAGACTTGCTAGTGCTACGCTTGTGATTTCGTTGTGTATTCCTTCAAAAGTATGTAGCAGCTAGCTACCCCATAAGGGATATATATATATATGTCTGTCTATATGAACGCTGAGATCTCGGAAACTACAAAAGCTAGAAGGTTGGGATTTACCACACATATTCTTGGGGTTCCTACGCTGCGCAAGTTTATTTCAGCCGAGCGCCACGCCCCCTCTAACGCCCACAATCGCCCACTAACGATTTTAAAATGTGTGTAAAGATTTCCGAGAAGTATAAATGCAATTTTGTTGTGTATATTTATACCTATCGAAATGTAGAAGACATTTTTTCAATCGGACCATTCATTAAAAAGTTATGCGCAATCAAAAAAATGTTATATATCTATCTCCCTCGAAATCCTTTTAGCTGAGACACCCACCCGACTATAGCGTTCTCTCTTATTTTCTTATCAGCTTTCCAACAACTTCTTCTGATGGGCTAAATAACTAGCAACAGTTTAAGATTAAGAGGTATTGTATTGAAACTAAACACAAACAGGATTCTTTAGACAGTGCTATTTGCTAAAAGAAATCGGCTGCCGAGCGTCGCTTGGTGGGTATCTTGAGCAGATCGTCCGTGAGTGTGGAGCCCGTGTCGATGGCGGAGCCCTTGGCCGGTGTGCCGACCTTGCCTGGCTGCTGTTTCGGCGGCCCCAGTGGCGTGTTGGTGCTCCTCACCACGCCGGGCGTTATCTTGCGCTTCCTGGCGCTCAACGGTGACGGGGTGTGCAATAACCGGGGCGTTCCGCGGAGGCCCAGCTTCCCAGTGGCCAGTAGTTGGGCCGCTGGCGACATGCTGGCCAGGCGCTCCATATTGGTGCGTATCAGCGGGGAGCCAATGTTTCGACGCGCCGTATCCAGGGCCATTTGCTTCTGATTGCGCATCTTCTCGCTGACCTTCTCGGCCAGAGCGATAGCAATGTTTTCGCGCCGCGAGTTTTCGTTGATCCGGAACGAAGGTCCCTGGGTGGGCCGCAGCGGGGTATCGCCGCCGTCCAGGCGAAAGGGAGTGCCGTCGATCTCGCCCCAGGTCATGATGGGCGAGAAGGCCTCGCCGGGCCGCGGCGAGGGTGACCGCAGCAGATCGAATCCGCGTATCTTCGGCGTGGCCGTCGCCTCACTGGCCCCATTCGCCGGCACCTCGTCGGACTTCTTGCCCTCCGTTTCCCGGTGTTGCGCCTCATCCGGCAGCCTGGTGGCATTGTGCTGAATGCTCTGCTTACGCTCCGCCAGCTGGACACGCTCCTCCTCCGTATATTCCACGCCATCGGGCACATACATGACCGAGTTCATGTTGGTGTAGTTCCACGTTTCGATCTTTCGCAGCGGATCTGGCTCTTCGAACTGCTTCTCTATGCTGGGCAGCATTAAAGCGCGCTGCAGTTGCTCCGCGGAGAGTTTCTCGTGGTTGTACAGCACGGCGTATTTCTGGCGCAGCTTGGCCTCCGCCGTCTCGATGATCTCCTGGAAACTCTGGTTATCCTCGCTGGTGTAGTTCTGCAGGAAGGCGTCGAGGGAGAGCTTCGAGGTGGTGGTGTCCCCGCCCTCGGCCAAGCTCTTCTCGGAATTGGTGGTTGAAAAAGGGGTGTCGGTGGCCCGGGAATTGGGCAATGGTGTGTTGCTGCCGCCGGCGTGGCTAACTGGCGTCTCAAATGTGGCCGGGGACATGGCTGAAATGAGGGAAATAATAGGTTATTCTTTGAACTAGTAAGGGGGAATTACGAGTCTAGTAATATGGAGAATTTGGGGATATTCAATATTGTATTACCCAACATCGAATGGATGTATATTTTCATCATATTTTGAAATACTTAAGTATTCTTTGTATTACATATGTAGTTCAAATTTCTAATTTTAAAAGACTGAAATAGCATTAATCCTTCTCTTAGGGTCGTTTTCTCGTCCCTATGTTAAATTTAAGTTAGGGTTTAAGCCTTGAAATATTATGGAAAATTACAGTTTAAAGCTTCCTTTAAATTTAAACGGCACTTAGTCTCGTCTTCTAGTCTTAATAGTAAACTGAAAGTACGTTTTAAACTCCAAAATTCTATTGATATTTGAAGTTTATAACCTAGTTTTAGTTTAACATGAGGATGCTAACTAACTTTGACCTTGTGAAGGTTTTTTTTAAACATTTTATGTGGTTTACTTTTGAGATATAGCAGTTTAAAAGTAAAAATAATTTCCTTACAAACTAAATTTCAAAGTTTTAGACCAGAAATCTGTTCTTTGGTAAGATAGTAATTAAAAATACATCACTATTTTTGTAAGGTCTTAAGGTTTAAGATATAGCACTTCAAAAGTAATAATACTTTTTTTTAAATCAACATTTCAGAGTTTTAGATCAGAAATCTGTTCTTTGGTAAGATAGTAATTAAAAATACATGATAATTTTTGTAAGATCTTATCGTACTTAACAAATAGATGATGTATGTTGTATATTTAGGTAGCTCCCAAAAATACCCACCATTATTGCGCTGATTGTTCCTTCGGCTGGCGCTTCTGCCCGTTCCGGGAATCCTGCCCAGACTGTAGCGCTCCCGGATCTCGGCCATTTGGACAAAGTCCCGCCGCGACTCCGCGTCCAGGTAGTCGTTCTGGGCCCGCAGCCTCTCCAGATCCGGAAAGAAGTCGCGCTGGATGATCTTGGACATCTCCTCGATGTACTTCTCCTCGGTGAGGATCTTCGGCTTGTTCTTCTGGCGCACCATCGTCGTGGGCTTCTTGAACTCGGCCAGCGCCGAATTCTGCACGCGGGCCACTTCCATGGCCAAACTGCCGGGTGTTCCCGGTGTCCTTGGTGTCCTTGGTGTCCCAGGTGTGCTTGGCGTCGCGTTCATTGCCGTGCAATATCGTTTTTCCTTAGAAAATTGTTTTGTTTTGTTATGGAAAAAAACTATTTTGTTTCTTGCAGTGTGGTGTGACCGTTTCCTGTTCCGCGCAGAATGACAAAACCACTTAGCTTCTAGGTTATCGGTTGCACCCGAATTTTTCTTTGAATTCTGAAATTTTCCGTGTGTTAAATGTGGAATAAGTACTCCCCGATTTATGGTTAGTGCAATAAATAATTGAAAAATATGAAAAATGTAAAATTAAATTAGAAAATAAACAATGCAGCGTTGCCAGACCAGGTACATCTATCGATAAGTTATTGTGGAACGTGGAACGCATTCGAAGGAGCGCGTGTATTTGAAATGCTAATTATTCTAGGTGAGTATTAAGCAAACAAAGTTGATCACAAAACAAGCAATTTCATATAAAAACCTTTCCTTAACAGGGTTTTCCATTTAGGTAGTTACATTGAAAGCATTTTAAACGAAACAAAAAGTATAAAAATCATGAAATAAAATAAAGTTTGAGTAATGTTATTAAATATTTAATATTCTATTTATTTATAATATGTATTACGAGCTTTCTGTCACACGTTTGACATTTTTCTTTGTACCCACCAATGTCTGTAGCGATGTAAAGTGCGCTAATCAGTTGGCCAAACATTTTTGCCTTCCCCAAAGGGTTACAAAAATGTCCAAAAGGTGTACAAAATGCCAACTATTTGCCCTGTGAATCACTGGCCATAACTTTGGTTCGGCCACCATATCAGTTTCGATTACGGCTGTCGGGGGGCCTTATCTCTTTCTACGAGCTTTCCGAGCCTCAAATCCCCATACGAACCGTGGATACTCCCGTCAGTCTTTATTCAGCTCTACTGCCCGTCGCTTCATCGATCGCCGTGAAATTAGCAATTGATTTAACCACATTCGTTCGAGATCGAATATCCAGAGAGTCATTATGAAGTTCTACTTGTTGGTGATCGCTGCCGTGGCGTTTCTGACCTACATCAGTGGTGGTAATTGTTTTTTTTTATCCCTGATTTTAATCAGAATCTTTCTTTTTTTTTTTACCTGTTTCAAATAATTGATTTATTGAGTGTATTATATAAGAAGGCTTTGCGATAAGCTATGGTCTCATGGACACGGAAAGAAACTCACGATAAGATATCAATAGCCGATTTCTAATAGAAACTTCAAAGGTTTTGCAACATTTTTTTGTTTTGTGAGTGTGTTTTCAGCCGGTGATAAATTTGATATGAAGTTTGTAATAATAACATATGGCCATATGTCAGCATTTGTTTTATTGCTCTTTATGATGAAATGCATTGTAGATGTGCAGCAGCCGCAGGCGGAAATGTCTCGAATTTGATGTGTTCTTATCACATAGGAAACCATATCTCCGAGCCGCAAAACATCTTATGAATCACCAAATTATTTTCATGCAGTTTTGCAATTTTTACAGATCCTCAATTTTAATTCCCTTTAGATAATTTCATAATTTATATGCAAACTTTGTGAGGTGCTGTAAATTTACTTTTCTTATCTTGTTTGGGGACCTGAATATGTGTGTTTGTTGACTCATTTTGGAGCCTATGTGGACACACCGCCGATAAGAATCGATTATGGCAACAGGGAAAATGAGATAATAATAGCTGCCAGCGATTGTATATACAGTGCGCGCCATGAGCATAGGAAAGAGCAGGTTGCTAAGATAAAATAGACTGTTATTTTTGCACCGAGTTAGAGTGGACCTTGCACCGAAGTTACCAGTTTAAGTCGCTTTATTTTGGTGTGTTTCAAAGACATTGATCTAATCTAATCAGGCTTGGCCAAGACTCAATCGAAACGCTCCGTTCCCCTCGCTCAATTCGCAGATGGCTGCATCCAGTGCAACTCCAAGGACAACGAACGCTGCGCCACCGATCCGCTGAGCCTGCTAAACCGCAACTGCTCCGATGGAACCTCCAACTGCTACTCCCGCGTCCTGAGTGAGTAATCTATCCATTGGGGTGCTTTAATTTTACAATGTCAAAATATCACAGAAAACTTTCCTAAAGAAACAAATATTTCCTAGGTCAAAGTACTCAGCAACATTTTTTTAAGTCAAAAATTCTTTTTATTACCTTAAATTAAAACGCCTATTCAGATGAAAAAATTTCTCATTTTTCTTTTAAATCACATTCTTATGAACTTATTTTTATTTAAATATCCAAACTAGTCAACAAAATGTTATTTAAAAGTTTTTTTTTTTTTTAGATAACAAAAACACGATTTTTAATGAAATCACTTAAAATATTTTTTTGTTAGAATTTCATAAAATATGTGTAATATAAAAAACATTTTTAAAGATAAGAGAATACGATTTTTAGTTAAATTATTTAATACTCTAACACAAATTTAAAAAAATCTAATTTTTTCCCGTTTTATTTTTTAGGGTTCTTAAATTACGCAAATATTTTTTGTAAATTATCATTGAAATTTAGCCTCCTAAATACTTATTTAGAATAGTCGGCGTACCAATTTCTTAACTCTACTATCTTGCATAGCAACAATCGTTATAAATTTTTTGATGCAGTGAATTTTACTCTTGCTATTGCCTTAACAATAAAAATATTATAATATTAAATAAAATCAAAACAAAATGCTATAAAATATCTCGTAATTCCAATAAATAGTTAAATAATTACATTACATATTGTAAACTTTTTTGCCTCGCCCGCAGATGGCAACACGATCCGTGGCTGTGCCGTTGACCTGGACAACGCCACCCGGAACTCGTGCAACAGCGAGATGGAGTGCCAGTTGTGCACCTACACGGAGGGCTGCAACCGCAACACCTTCCCGCTGAGCCGGCTGCAGTGCCTCCAGTGCAGCGGCAACTCGACGTCCTCGCCCTGCGCCGCGGAGACCTACGCGTCGGCGAAGATCTGCCCGATCTACAAGTTCGGCGACAAGTGCTACATCCGCAACAGCAACCGCACCGTGGACGGGTCCTTCCAGCGCGGCTGCCTCTCCTCGGCCACCGCCAAGAAGCAGTGCGTCAAGGAGGAGAACTGCTACATCTGCGATGGTCGCGCCTGCAACTTCCTCCACTCCAACGACACCAACATTCCGCTGGCCCGCGACTCCGGCGCCCAGTTGGCTCTGTCCGTGTCCCTGATGGTCGGCGGACTCCTGGCCGCCTGGAGGCTCTAAGGAGCCGCTCTAGGGACAATGGATGAAAGCCAATCCTCCCACCTTTCCCTACTGCCTGGGCTCCATCTTCTGAATCATCCTTTTCTTTCCGCAGCATTATAATTGATATGTATATCATTTTCTTCTTTTTTTTTTGCCTTGAACAAAAATAAAAATAAATCTACAAGTAACAAGTAATGATGGTATTTTCTTTTTGATTATTTTTATATTCTATTGCTTTATATTTTAATATTAATTTATTTTATATTACGTCTATATAAACCGTAATAAACATTTTTCGGCTAGCAGCATTAAGTTGGTTGATCAACGCTATAAATAAAAATATGCTATATAAAAAAAAAAAAAAACAGCATTATATTATAATTGTTACGTATAGCATTTTTTTGGTTGCCTTAAACGAAAATAAAAAAATACTAGTTTAAAAAAATGACTGGTTTTGTATTGAAATTATTTAAGACATTTGGGTGCATTTTTTAAAGATATTAAAAGGCTGGAAATACAATCTAGATATTTTGAATATGAATCTTGAATCATTTTTCTTAAAGTTGTGTTACTTAAATTAACATGATAAAAAATATAAATTCTTTAAACGTTTGCATATATTTCTGAAAAAACATAAATATGAAAAGTAATGACGAGCTTTTAATGTTTAATTTGATTTATTAAAAACTTTTTTGAAGTGATTAAAAGACTGGAAATCCCATTGAAAGATTTTTAAAAATTAAAAGTATGATAATAAAAAATATTTTAATTTTTAATAATTATTTTTTTGTTTGGTCTGAACAAAGATAAATATGAAAATGAAATGGAGGAAAACTGCGTATATTTCTGAAAAAACATAAATATGAAAAGTAATGACGATTTTTTTTAATGTTTAATTTGATTTATTAAAAAATTTGTTAAAGTGATTAAAAGGCTGGAAATCCCATGGAAAGATTTTAAAAAGTTAAAAGTATGATAATAAAAAATATTTTCATTTTTAACAATCTTTTTTTGTTTGGTCTAAACAAACATAAATATGAAAATGAAATGGAAATGGAGGGCAAATATTGATCAAAAATTTTGTTTTAATTTGGCTTTTTACGAGCTGTCAACGGTCGGCACTTGATGGCCCGAACTGCAGTTGACATTATACTACCCCTCCATCCATACCACTCCGTTCCTCCTTATAGATCCCGAGATCCCGATCCCGAACCCGGTCCCGAACCAGAACCACAAGCAGTACCAAAACCGGAAGCTCTCTCCGCCAATGAGGGGTGCATAAATGTGTCGACGCCTCCGAATGTTTGTCAATTACTTTTCACGGCTCGCTTTTCCGGGGCCATTTCCAATCGAACTGGATGTGCGGAAATAGATCAGTTCGTGGATGGTTCTCAGATCGAAGGAAGCCAAAATTTAGATATATATTTAAATTTCTTAGTACAACACATTGTACACTTAAAAATTTTAAATATTTATTTAATACCTTTTTCCGATGAAAAATAAATAAATTCGTAATCCTAAATTTCCTTTAAAAAAATTAGTATTTTGTCCAAAGCAAAGCAAACAATTTTCCAAATATCTAATGTTATGAATTCGTACACACAAAAAAAACTTGGTAAAATCAACTGTAATAATTGTCAAACAGGCCCCAACCAGCAAAATTGTCAATTCTACTAAGTAAATAGTTATTTCACAACAACAAAATGCACAGAATTAGCAAAGACACACACCCAAAGCAAAAACAAAATACACGTAACTATTTTAATAGTTACGTAACTATCTTTGTTGGTCAATTTTACCAAGCAATTTTTTTTGTGTGTAATAAAGTCTCGATCCATTGGCGTTCAAATTTGAAAAATTTTATTTTTGAGAATTTAAAAAAAAAAGAAGATGCCACCCTTAAAAAAAACTAGCAAAATTTGTGAAAACGTATATATTTTTAAATATTTCCAAAAGTAGTGTGGATCGTTTGCTTATATTATTAACTGAGCAAAGCACTCGATCTATACGACGAAAAAACGTGGAAACATTTCCTGTATTTGTTTCAACAAATCCTTGATCCCAATTTTCCTAAAAAAAATAGAATTCTTTTTACAAAAAAAGTACCAAAAATGTAATGTTTTTATCGATATATACCAGTATATAATACTTTTTCCAAGTGATTAAAGTTTCTCAGGATGCCATGACTTAGTAGTCACATTGCGATGATGATGACAGTTCGGCGAGGCATTCAAATGCAAACTTTTCCTTGACCAGACTAGACCCCAAAAAACACAGGACAACCCGGGGATAGAAAACAACGGAGATTGTATAGATAAAACGTGCTGTTGTTTGAAACCGGGCAGAAGTCAACCGACTCGGGAGATTCAAGATGAGGAAGATGCAACTGCTGGTTCAGACCCGAGACGGGCGGAAGAACATCTACGAGGTGGATCGCTTCGGAACGGTGGGCCATCTCAAGGCCCGGATTGGACGCGCCATGTGCGTGCCCATGGGCTTCAGTCGGCTGACCTACAAGGGTCGCGTCCTGTCCAATCAGAGCGTCCTGGAGGACGTGGGCGTCAAGAGGATGTCCACCCTGGATCTCTGCTGGCAGCCGGTTGTCCTGACGCCCAAGCAGCTGAGCGAGAAGGAGGGGGATCTGGACAAGCTGGAGCAGAAGCAGAACGTCGTGCAGTCGGGCATGATTGAGAGCTATGGCGGGATGGTCAAGGCATCGAGCAGTTTTCAAGATGTCGAGCCACCGGCTGGTGACATCCCCAAGCCGGCGAACAGCTCCAATTCACTGATCCACGTGGAGGAGGAGGAGGAGGACGATCTGGAGGACCCGGGCCTCGTAACCCCATCATCCGATGGCCTCGAGTTCCTGGCCACCAACAGAAGTCCCCTGAAGTGCGATGATCTCGATGAAAAGAAGATGGCAGTGGATCTGGTGCCTCTTATAAGTCTGACCCCAGATCCATTGGTTCCACCAAAGATTCCGGAGACCAGCGGTCCCAGCAAGTCCTCAAATCCCAAGAAGAAGGGCAAGAAGAACCGCAAAAAGTAGACAGTTCTATATATTTTGAATTCCGTCTTTCCGCATTGAAGTTCGAAATTCTTTCCAAGCCACTTTTCAACCGACATTTGGAAATCCAAATTTGCGTTACTAGCAAAACTAATAAACCTTCGATAACTCGAGTTGTAAAATGAATTTTATTCAAGTTTAATTGGCTTATAAATATAAATAAATATAAAGAAAAATATAAATAGTATATAAATAAAATAATAATAAGAATATAAGTTGTTTTGCTAAAAATTAAATATAAAATAATAATTTACATCTAGAAATCTAGTTTTCAACCGGAATTTCAAATTGCAAATTACCAGCAAAACTAATAAACCCTCGATACCTCGAGTTCTAAAATGAATTTTATATAAGTTAAATGGTTTATAAATATTAAATCATTTATAATGCCTTATTTTCATACAAAAAATGTAATTTAAAATTAAATAATGGGAAATATGAAATAAATAAGAATTTACCTTTAGAGATATTACTCATTTTAGTTAGTCCTAACCAAGTGCAAAACGATTAGAATGTATTTTTCATCTTTTAAAGCCATTTATTCCAAGCAGTAACCATTTTATTCCCAATTGTTTACACTCAAACAAATAATTAAGAATTAATGGCATGGCCAATGCCATAACAATTTTTAAAATTTATGAATTATTTATGGACTGCATGGTAGGATTCAGTGCGATCGAGAAATGGCTTCTGAAAATGCCAAAATATAAACGAGAAGCCCGAGAAAGAAACCACTTAACTCAAAATAATTGTAAACAGAGCGGCAAACGAAACACGAACGAAAATTAAGGAAAAACAATAACAAGCAGTTCCGTAAATGGATAATGGATAAATCCTGGGCGCAACTGGATGCGTAGATTTATATACACGAATAAGGAAGGTAAACAAATCGCATCGGGTGGAGGAGAAGACCCGGCCAGGTACCAGGTTCCAGATACCAAACACCAAATACCAAATACCAGGTACCGCTAATTGAACGCCCGTGGCTGATGGAAAGCAGACGCCCCCGGCTAATCGGGGGTGTTCACTTTGATCGGTCCAGTTTTTCGGATTTCGGGTTCCCCGGATCTCCGGATCGGATCGGATCGGATCAGATCCCGGGGTCTAATGGCCAACAGACGCCATTTTTGTGGAGCTCTACCACGTCTTCTATCTTGCTCTTTCTCTCTCTCTCTCTCCCTCTCTCTCTCGTTGGCCCCCAGTTTACCGCGTCCCTCGTACACCTGCACTGCGCGAAAATATTTCAAATATAATAGTTTTGGATAAAAAGCATCCAGGGATTTTATGATCATAGCCCTACCCAAAACATAGCCCCTTTTCTACGTTTAAAGTAGTAATCAATTGTTTTTAATGATCCTATTACATTGTCCTTAAAGACCTTATAAAATATATTTCTTCCGAAAAAAATTATCTTTTAAAAATGTTTATAAATGCAAAATAGTGTTGTTTCTTACGAAGTTTATAAATCAGAGTTTTATCACCGCAAATAGTTCTTTATTCTAAAAAATTTTATATTTTGTAATACTATTATTAATTTAAGCAAATAGATTATACTAAATATCATTGGTCTATAAAACACTCTGACCATCTTATGATATCAGTTCCAATCTCATCCTATTTTCCCAAAATAATTCTCATTCGAAATAAATATTTTCTTTTTAAAAAATTTAGAAAATAAAGTGATGCAAAATTTTTGTTATCTCTTTTTTTTCCGTGTGCCTTTCCACCGTCTTAATATTCCGTTTTCCTCTTTACGGTTTATTTAGTGTCGAGGTTATGGCGCAATTTGTATTTATGGCCACTGGCAGCAACACCATGGATCGGCTGCACTGCACCATGAGCACCATGAGCACCACCATGTGGCCGCAGTCCAATTAAAAGCGTTTTCCAAATGAGGCGCATGACTCAGGTCAGCCACCCACTCGGCGGGGCACGCCCACTGCCCACTGCCCCCTGCAAGAAGTAAACAAAATCCAAATGTGGGGATCACCACCCCCTCGCCCCCTGCCCATCGCCAAAGGCCACGCCCCACCAGAAAATAGAGAGAGAGAGAGAGCTATTTTGTAAACAGAAATATTGAAATTTGGGGAAGGAGATGGCGCTACAGTGATCCTTACTCGTTTATAAAACATCCCCAAAAAGGTACTCAAATAATTCTTAAATTCTCAAAAACATTTTTTTTATAAAACCTACATAGAAACTTCTTGATATTTTAGAACATTAACATCTTAGTTTTATAATAATGTTTATTGTAAATATTTATAAAACATTCGAGCTTTTCTCTTCATATTTAAGACTACCTTAAATGAAAAATACTTACTAAAATATTGCATTATTCATTTTCTTAAAATAAATAAATAATAAATTGTCCTGTGTGAACTTTGAGACTCTTCAAAAGAAATGCCTACTAAAGTAGCTTAATTTAAAAGGAATTTCCAATACTTTAATTAATTGATAAGAGTAAAAAAATTAAATAATAATCTATACATAACATATGGGCACTTCCAAAAAAAAGTCCACCAAGCCAAAAACCTTGAAACTTGAATAAAACATATTTCCACATAATTTTGCCCCGATATTAGTTTCTAATTAGTTGGATACTGAGCTTAACTACAAATTTGGAGTATAGTTTGATTATTTTTATGACAAACTCCACCAATATACGCAAAAATCTGTTTTTGGCTATTTTTTTTGTTATTTCTTGGACCTGTCTTCTGTTGTTAATTTATCCTATAGGAATGCTAATATGTGACATTTTTCTGTACTGAATGCTTCATTCACATGCTAAACTATTAAGTTAAAAGCAAAACATCCAGCAATTGAGAGATAGAGGTAAAGAAATCCGCTTAACAAAACAGTCGGAAAAAATGTCTCGAGCGACATGTCCCGAGCGAATGTGGTTGAAACTGCATAAAAAAAAACGGCAAAGAATTTTTGGGTAAAACCAAAAGCATTTCACACACCCAGAAAAAAAAATGACCTAAAATGTCAAAAAATGGCCTAGAATTTAGGTAAAATTGGCCTAAAACTGGAGCTAAGTCCTTGAATGGCCTAAAATTTAGGATTGTATGACCTAAAATGTTAGGCCATTAATGGCCTAAAATGGGGTAATTTTTGGCCTAGATTTTAGGTAATTGGCTGCCTTAAAATATGAGAAAACCCCTATCCAAAATGTTAGGCTTTCTTTGGCCTAAAAATTTGTACTGAAAAATGATTCATATTATAAAGTTAATACAGAGAAATTTATAGCTAACTCGAGGTCAATGTCGGCTTAGTCTTCAAGAAGTCGTCATTATGCCAACACACAAAAACGAGCGAAGAGGCTTCACTGTTCAGCAGTGAAATCGCTGTTTTATTCAACGATCGAAGTGGGTTACTATGCAAGCCGCGCTATAACTGGTTGGGAATTATAGCGTCGCTAGAACGGTATCAGAGTTCCGTGCAAATTTATTTAGGTAAAATGCATTAATTTTAAGGCCCACGATGACCTAAAATATTAGGCTATACGGGACCTAAATAGTAGGGCAAATATACCAAAAATTTAAATTTTTAGGCAGTACATGACCTAAAAAGGAACTTTTAGTCCATTTAAAATGTTTTAGGCTATGCATGACCTAAAATGTTGTCCATCATTTTTCTGGGTGCAGCGACATGTTTGAACAACATTCTAAAAAAATCGCATTCAAGTATTCCATCAGAATTCGCTAATTTCTGGTGTTGTATGAACTTCCCCGAAATCCACTTCTATTTTTGTCCCGAGCGAATACGGCAGTTTTTTACCGATATCTTAAAAACTAAAAGTGGTACAAAATCAAGATTTTTACCAAAAATAGAGCTTGGGAAGAGTGAAAAGAAAAGCCCATAATTAAAATTAAAATCCATTGTTTTACAATTTTGTTTCAACTTTAAAAGTGTGCAAATGTCCCGAGCGACATTTTGGAAGTGCCCATATCCTGTCTTACTTTCTATGAACTATTTCTTGTACATAACCTACAATGGAAATATCGATAATAAAGCCCCTAAGGGTCCGATCATGAGATCTATCCAAACTGTAGCCTCACTGTAGGCCACATCTGGTAAATGCCTTTCTCGCACCCTACGCCCAGTTCTGCCCGGCATATTCCCTGGATGTGTCCTACGATACTGTAAGATCTCAGAGGAGACAACATATGTCGACCCGATCCGCGGAGGAGGAGGCGGCTCGGCCATTGGTGGATCGATCGGTTCGGGGACCGAGTCTAAATTTGGATGCGGCTGGCGGCGATTGGCGGACGGAGATATGGGGAGATGATACGATGATATGTTCTCGAGATCTCTTCAAGAGGCTGTGCTGTGGTGCCCCGAAACGATCGAAAAGAAACGGCAGCTCTCATTCGGCGGACCAGCGCTTTACGGAACGGATGTGTGCGTGATCAGAGATCTCGGATAAGATCAGATCAGATCAGATCAGAAAAGTGCGGCGGACGCGATATATACGGATAATCAGTTCGCACTTGGCCGGAAGAAGGTGGCAATTGAGACAACTCAACGCTTTCTGATTCTGCCAGGCGAAATAGAAAGAAAACAAATAAAAGAAGTTCAAGTCAATCAATCAGCCAAATTCGAAATACGAAAAAGAGGAAATTTTCGCCAGTCAACGCGATCGGGCCATAAAAACATTCGAGCCAAGAAAAAAGGAATTACATTTTTTTTTCGATCTCGATTCTGATTGACAACTGCGAAAGGTTGCGGTGATTTTTCACACCCATTCGTTCGGCGATAGAACTGTTTTTATTTCACCATTTTTTTTTTGCGGTGCACATTGAGTGAGTGAGTGAGTGAGATGCAATAATCAAATTTGACAACTGCGCGAAAAACGTTTGAGATCAAAACAGCGCGCAGCGAAAACAAATCAAATCGGAATAAATGGGCCAAGAATTTAGTGCGATTTCCTTTTTTTTACTGTGAGCCCCCAGAAGATATACACAAACCAAATATATATACATAAATCCCATTCGCGATGACGCACTTGATGGGTCCCACGGAGTGTGCCAGCGCCATGATGACCACCTCGATGCAGTTCCTGGACACCAGCCTCCCGGATTACAACTGCTACGCCAACGACTACTGGACCTCGCCCTACATGACCGGCGGCCTCAGTCCCATGAAGCAGATCGAAGGTGAGTCGGGGACAAGTGAGTCCTTCAGCTAAAGGGGATTTTTCGGCAAGTTGGGAAATCTCTGAGACTTTTCCAAAATTATTAGGATTTCCCAATGCCCATCTATTTAAAATAATAAAATAGAGATTTATATCTTTTTGATTGCACTACAAAACATAATTCAATTCAAACTACTGTTTTAATATTGCATTTTATTTTGTATTCACTTATGTTTGATATTTGTTAGTTCTAATTCAATTACACAAGACTATATATGGGAAAAAAATTGTTAGATTCGTAGTTGAAGTAATATTTTAGTAATTCAAAATTGCACTTCCTTACTTTAATATTTTGATTATACAAGTTCAAATTTGTTAGTTTTATGATGTTCAAGTTTGCACCTTTAATATATGGAGTAGAATTTAAATACAAATCAATGGATAATAGAGGTATAAGTCCAACAAAATCAACCCGAGGTCCCTGCTCTTTTCCTAAAGAATCTAACGAGAGTTTTTGTAAAAATGTTTACTTTTTAGACCATTTACCATTGTATCAAAACAAAACGACACCAACGATTTTTGGCGCATTCAATCCAAAAACCTTATCGAGTTTTCTTTTGCGTTGTAAAATATAAACTAAAAGAGTCCCTTATAAGAGAAATCAAGTCCTTCCAAGCTTTGACCCATATATATACTGAAATATTTCTCTCTGTTCCGTTGAAAATTACTTTTTCAAAGTCTCATCGAACCACACGTTTTACTAACCAAACATTTATGTCTGCTCAAAATAATCAAGACATTTGAATCAAGTAAGGATCCTGTCCTGATCATAACGTCTTTAAAACAGACCTCAAAACCCTTCTTTGTATAGAACTTCTGTTGTTTCCGAACTTGTTTCTCCAAAACCTTTATGTATTTTGCTTTTCTCATGTTGAGTTTTTAAAGTAACAATAAAAAAAACTAAAATAACATATTTTTATTAATTTTTTACGATTTTTTTGTTGCTAATATTTTATGGTATAAAAATGCTATAATGGTCATGACTTTTTATATTAATTCACTAAATTGTGTCGAAATATAAATATAAGTGTAAAATGCCTACAAAATAATTCTAAAAAATTATACTATTGACTAAATACCAATTTCGTACCAATTGTTTTGAATTCAAGTGACCCAAAAAACCGAAAGAAAATCCATTTCCGATACAGTAATTAGCAAAATACACGGACCATGGCAGCGTCGGCAGAAATAACAAGAAGTCAGAAAGCCAGAAAGTCAGAAAATCAGAGAACCAGAAAACCCGAGCAATTAGCTCCGAATTCCCGGATCCCAGATTCCCGATTCTCAATACTCGACTCTCGTTTTTCAAGTGGCATTTTTTCCGTTTTTGTTGTTGTTTGATGTTGTACGAGATGGTGTGACAGAAAAACGATTTGTTGTGCCAAACGTTAATTGATTTTAGAATTCATTCGTGCAGCGGAAAAAAATGCCGAAAACGAAAAACGAAAAAAAAACGTAGCGTCTCATTAAGCGATAAAAAGGCGACCTGTCATGGGTCATTGGCAATTCCCGCGACTCCGCAACTCCGCGATTTCGAGATTTCGAGACGGTGACAATTAATTGCAGAAAATCCGCTCGAAAGGCATCCCCCATAAGAAGGGATCCTAAATTTAGAGCAACTTTAGGGCAACTCAATCAGCAGCCGCTGCTCTGACGCCTTTTTATAATTGGACATGTTGTCCCATTTGCCCGTAACTCGAAATTACATATTACATTGCAGATGTGGATAGTTGGCGGAGGAGGTAGTATATCAAGTTGTAATACCAGGGAAATCTTTAATCGGGACTCTGCGCCTGCGTGGCGTCTCCGTGTTGTTCCCCGATTTCCACTTTAAATCGCATAAATCACATTAAATATGAAATTAGCAAATCCCAGCCTCTATATATAAACCCATTCACTTGGCATACAATATTTACTTATATTTGTATGCGGAACGTGTTTGATTTATAGCCGCATATTTTCCGCCCATTTGTCAGGGATCCGGAAAAGTAGGTTAAATTAAGATCTTTATTTTATTTATTTGACTGCATTTGCCGTTCGGCACTCAAATGAGTTAACTATAATTCTCGTTTAGGGTAATATTTTATTTAATATCTTTTAAACTTTAAAGAATGTTCGAAAGGGGAAACAGAAATATTAAACATTAAGGCTAGAAAAAATAGTAAAATTTTGATGTTTTTAAATATATTAAATTTAGTATATGTTTTAATTTTGGTTATAGGTAATTTAAAATTACCCCTTGCCTCTTAAGAGAATAATTAAATATTTTGTATTTACACAATTTTTGTAACGTTTTAGTTCGTAAAATCTGTTATCTTCGGTTCTCGTTTCGCTATTACTTAATAATAATTGTTTAGAGCCCTGAAGGTAAAACGTAATAAACATTTTTAGGACCTTGAAAAATACAAAATTCAAAGGTTTTAAATTCCAGTGTTCTGAAAATGTACCCTTTTTAAGTAGGTACTTGAAATATTTCTTGCTTAAAATTATACTTAAATAGAAATGTAATGTATTGTATTATTTTAATTTCTTTATCCGAGTTTTTTATCCATTTAATTTTTCAATTCATATCCAAAAATGTTGTGAATTATTCATTATGAAGAACCTTCCTCCTTATTTCAGTATTTCTTATGTTCCTGTAATCTTTTAAGGATAACCTCCCACTGCATATTTACACTCACATGCTAAATATTCAACTAATAACACTGTGCAGCATTTTTAGTGCTTTTTAAATTTACCTCGATGGATGCTATATTTTTGGATTCGTTACGAATTCCCAAGTTAAACTGCGTTTTCCAAAAAGTTCCCCGACGCAAGGATTCTTAGCAAAAGGACCTCAAAGTTCAAAAAATGCTGAAATTGGCCAACTTTGCGGAGCTCTCAGAGGCAAATGGATGCATGGTTTGATTCGATGTTAAAGTTTTTTAAAAGATACACCATTTATCTTTTAAACCCCATACTTAAAATATTTTTAAGATTTTTTTTAAGGCAGAAACAAATTCTAGAAAACATAGTCAAAAAACATAAAAGTATACAGCTTCGGTCAAAATGGTAGTAGTGTTGCCGCCCTGTGTATTTAAAAGTTTGTTGTTGTAATTGATCTTTTCCTGGTAATATTGTATTGATTATAATTTTACTATTAGACTATTTGGATAAGAAAAAATTACAACATCAAACTTTTAAAAACACAAGGCGGCAACACTGCTACTATTTTGACCGCAGCTGTATGTTTTTCAGTTTTTTGACTATGTTTTTTGGAATTTATTTCTGCCTTAAATAAAATCCTAAAATTATTTTATGTATGGGGTTTGAAAGATAAAGGGTGTATCTTTTAAAAAACTTTAACTTCGAACCAAACCATGCATCCATTTGCCTCTGAGAGCTCCGCAAAGTTGGTCAATTTCAGCATTTTTCGAACTTTGAGGTCCTTTTGCTAAGAATCCTTGCGTCGGAGAACTCTTTGGAAAACGCAGTTTAACTTGGGAATTCGTAACGAATCCAAAAATATAGCATTCATCGAGGTTAATTTTTGATGCTGCATAGTGTAATTATTGTATATAAGTTTTATCAATCTTTTAAGAAATTGCAAGTATACAGATTTTTGCTTCCTTTATTTTTATTATTTTTACTAGACTTCTAGTTAAGTTCCTGTTAATTTTACACGCCAAACTTAAACCAGATGTGAACCCGTAATTTCAGCCTGCATCCAGACAGCTGGCAAGGATCGCAGTTCGTACAAGCCGCTGGAGCAGATCGATGCCAAGTTGGCGGACATCGAGACGCACAGTACAGGTAGCACTGGCACCGCGAACAGCAGCAGCAGCAGCCTCTCTAGCGGCAATCCCATCTCCAATTCCAATGCGAATGCCAGTTGCCAGGAGCAGTCCTCGTCCCTCCTTCAAAGCGATTATCCCGGCGGCAACAGTGAAGCCTCGACGGCAGCAACCTCCTCCGATGGCACGACGGCAGCAGGATCGACGGCAGCGGGAGGAGGAAGTGCATCGACGGGATCCAAGAAGCTCAAGGGACAACACAAAAAAGACAACAGCATTGGGGACAATAATACAGGGAAAGCCAGCAGCAATATTAGCAAAGGGGTAAGTGGAGTTTTGATATGATATAAGATATATCAGATCAGATAATAGTATTATTATTTGAGTATAAAAAATGTTATCACTTCACTTTAACATAATTTTATTGAATTATTCTAGGGTGTATGATAGGTCCCTTTCTAAAATATGTTATTATTACCTATTATTTAATTTCTTAAGTTAATATCGGAATATTTAATTATTACTTGAACGTTAAAACTGCTATCACTTTAAACTAATTTTCTTCAACTTTTCGAAGGTAGATTATATATTTTTGAGGCTTTTATAATATATATATATTTTTTTGTAATCCAGGACTCGGAGCCAGTGCATCCATCGCTCGCCCAGGCTATCGTGGTGCTGGAGACGAAGGCGCTGTGGGATCAGTTCCACGCCCAGGGCACCGAGATGATCATCACCAAGACGGGCCGTCGGATGTTTCCCACCTTTCAGGTGAGGATCGGCGGACTTGATCCGCACGCTACCTACATCTGCATGATGGATTTCGTGCCCATGGATGACAAGCGGTATCGCTACGCGTTCCATAAGTGAGTAAATTCTTGGAACAACTTAGTAAATTAAATTTTTCTATGAATAATATTTCAGAAATTATTATTTAAAAAATATTCGAATGTTTTACCTAAACTAATACCTCAGTTATGGGTAGTCTGCAAAATTATTATCAAAACTTATATGACAACGGTTTATTTACTTTTTATAATGCCAAAAACTAAATATTTAACAAATATCACAAAAGGTTCAAAAAATTAAAAAAAAAATATTTTTACTACCTTTTTGTTTACCCGGAAATATATATTCCTGGGTATATTTATAGTTTTTTTTTATTTAAAATTTTTATTATAAATATCTTTTGTGCCTCTCTAGTTCCTGCTGGGTGGTGGCTGGCAAGGCGGATCCCATCTCCCCGCCCAGGATTCACGTGCATCCCGACTCACCTGCCGCCGGTTCCAATTGGATGAAACAGATCGTGTCCTTTGACAAGCTAAAGCTCACAAACAATCAACTCGACGAAAATGGCCATGTAAGTCCTTGAAGACATCTAAATTGTTTAGTTTTCTGTTAGTATTTTTTAAATATTTATTCATTCACAATTTCTTTATTATTCATTTCATTTGATCATGATTAATGCTTAGATTTTTCTCACTTTTTTGCCAAACTATTTGTTTATTTTCTTTTCTACTGCTGTTTGTTTGCCTTTGCCATGTTTTCAGAGTCATAAATTGGCCTAACGCCTTGTTTTCTTGGTTTCTTTTTCTATTCATCAACAGATCATTCTGAACTCAATGCATCGCTATCAGCCCCGATTCCATTTGGTGTACTTGCCACCGAAGAACGCGTCCTTAGATGAGAACGAGCACTCCAGCCACTTCCGCACTTTTATCTTTCCAGAGACGAGCTTTACGGCCGTAACTGCCTACCAGAATCAGCGGGTGAGTACGGGGATTAATATATTATTTTTATGCAATTTTTATTTCAGTTTTATTATTTAATATTAATGATAAAATATTGTTAAGATTTAAATATTTCTTTAAAATATTTTCCTCCTCACTAATTGCCCAATGCAATTCCCCTACGCATTTTCACCCTCCTGATTTTCCCTTGGCATTCCAAAACAAGAGGCCGCGACCATTTTGTGCCATTTCGGCCTTATTGTTTATGTTTCTCCCATAATTTATAACAAACAGCGGCCAAAAGCTCGGAGCCCGGTGCCGCGACCCCATCCATTGCGAGGCAAAACAGCAGCACAAATATATTTGATTATATGTAACAAAAACGTATGCCTATTTGGGGAATTTAAGCATCGAACTAGAAGATACTCTTATTAATGAATTTCTTTATTTTTAATTTAATAACAATTTTTGGGACATCTTAGTTGTTTTTTCTTTTTAATTTTTGGTCATGAAATAATATTCATTTATTGATTTTTATAGAAATTTTATGAAATAACATTTATTATTATATAATCATTATAAAAATCTAAAAATAATTATAAATAATAATAATTTTATAGTTCCCTTTAAAATATGCGATAAACAAGTTCAATGGAATTAACTGTTTCAAGAAGAATGTCTCATTAAAGGTGGTAAATCAGGTGCGCAATGTGATATGGTATACAAAAATAAATATTACACTAGGACAAATACAAAATAAATTTCCAGTAATGTATTTTTTTTTGCAAAATTGACAACCCGAACACCGAGGGAACTCAGAACTCAGCATTTAGAACTCAGAACCCCCTATATCTTATCGCACGTTCTCAAGTTGGATGACGAACCGAGGCAATGCGAGGTGTTTTTCGGTGCGGTTCTCATATTTGTCTCGGGTATAATTCATAATTCTGGCAAGTGGAACGGGGAGTTTCGGGGCCCGGGGCTGGGGGTTCGGGTACATTGGCTATAAATACGGCCTAGACATGCTCGGAAAGTATTTAAATTATTTATGCGCTCAATGTGGGTGTTAACACTTTTTCCACCCGCCCTCAAATTTATTGCAAATCATTTTCCCTGTCTCTCCGCTGGCAGTGGAATGCCGATTGTAAACATTTTTCTCTAATTTGTTGTCTATTTAATTTATTTGTTTTGCTTTTCGGCATTTTTCCCAGTCCAGTTTTCCAGTCCAATAAAAATATTTTTTAATCTCTTTTTGCAGGTGACACAGCTTAAGATCTCCAGCAATCCATTCGCCAAAGGCTTTCGGGATGATGGCACCAATGATGTGTAAGTGGAAACCATATATAGTCAATATCTTTTGACAGGTTCTTAGTTTTGATTACGAAACAAATTGCTCAACATTTCGTTGTGTGAAATATTTAGAAAATATTTTTTTCTCTATGAAAATGAAATCAATTTGCACACATATTTTTGTGCAAATTTTAATGTTAAATCATTTGTCAGAGAAAATGTGCCAAAAAGAATTTTACGTCAAGAAAATTCCCGTTGTCTATGATTGTGAAACGAGATCCAAAAACATGTGTTTTAGTGCGTTCTATATTTTCGCAAGCAGCAATTAAATATATATATTAAAAGCAATAAAAATATATATTGTTTTGTAATTTCGAATTATACATTTTTAAAAATATTTCTTATAAATCATATTTACTTTTCTTATAAAAAGTGGCTAGAATTATGAGTGATTTAAAAATTGACCCACTTTTTTATGATACCATTCCTAAGACCTCAGCTGCTATCCAAAACTTGTAGAAGCACCCTTTCCCTTTCACAAACAAAATTGAAAACTTCAAGACCCGAAGTCCAAGTGGAACTAGACATTCGGTCGACGGGCAGCGACATTCCCGGAAAATATCTGGAAATCTTGAAAATCCGAAATGCCGAAACAATAACTCAAAAACAAAAGAACTTCAGAATGTAGAACAGAAGCCGAAGATGTCGAGCTGGAATGGGACTACCGATGATGATGCTGATGGGACGGCTGACAGATGTGCCGGCGGCATAAACAATTTTCGGGGGCTTTTCATATTTGTCGAACTGCCGGCCCCGACTTCGTAGCATAGTGTAAACAAATGAGCGCTGCGCGATTTTCAATCTTTTGTTTACGACTATGAGTTAGAGTTGTTTATTACAGGGAATACTTCAAATAATTCGAAGTTTTTTGTTACAAACTTTCAAGCATTTGCTCGGGGCTTTTCGTTCTAGCTCTCTATACAATTTTTAAACACAAATATTTATAATATTTTCCGAAACATACTTTTTCACTTAATTGTTATAATAGGCTTTCGAAAGTTTAGGGTTCGAAAAGTTCGAAATTTGTTGAAACTTTTCTAATCATTTTTAAAAATGTTAACATAAATATTTTGAAGAAATATTCTTGCAAAAATACATTTCTAAATACATATTTTAACAAATATTTTTAGTCAATTTTGTTGTAGACTTCTTTTGAAGTTTAAGTTAATTTTTACTAATATTCTTTTCAAATATATTTTGTTTGCTTTTCCAGAACCTCTGGCGGTGGCAGCAGCATGTCCTCCATGAGCCACGAAAGTCAGGCTCGCATGAAGCAACAGCAGCAGCAGCAACAACAGCAACTGCAACAGCAGCAGCAGCAGCAACAACAGCAGCAACTCAAGGAGCGATCGGCGGCAACAAGCAACTTCAGCCTGAGTTGCACCGAGTTGTCCGTTGTGGAGCAGCAGCAACAGCAGCAGGCGGGAGTCCTGCAACTGCCGGCCACGCCCTCCAGCAGCTCCACCTCCGGCAACTCGCCCGATCTGCTGGGCTACCAAATGGAGCTCCAACAGCAGCAGCAACAGCAACACCAGCAGCAGCAGCAACAGCAACCGCACCAGCAGCAACATCTCCACCAGCAGCAACATCAGGCCAACCAGCAGCAGTCGCTGCTCCAGCAGAGCCAAAATCAGACCCAATACGGAAGCTATCACCATGCCTATCAGCCGCATCAGCCGCAGCCCCATCCCCTCACCCCGCACTCCACCAGCTCCGCATCTCCGCCGGCAATTGCAGCGGGATCGACGGCAACGGGTGCAACAGCAACATCCGCCGGCGGAGCGGGAGCAACATCAGCCGTTGGCACGGGCGCAACTCAGGTGATGACCGCTGCCAATATTTACTCGAGCATCGGTCAACCCTACGCCCAGGAACAGAGCAACTTTGGGGCCATCTACCATCATAATGCGGCTGCCGCTGCCGCCGCCCACTATCACCATGGCCACGCCCATGCCCACGGCCACGCCCACAGCCACGGGCCGTATGCCAGCGCCTACGACAAGCTGAAGGTGTCGCGCCACGCGGCCGCCGCCGCCTACGGCATGGGGGCCACCTATCCAAGTTTCTACGGTTCGGCGGCCCACCACCAGATGATGCGACCCAACAGCTACATAGACCTGGTGCCGCGCTAGGAAAGATCGCTGGGGATTGCAGTCCTGAGCAGAGACCATTTCGGTTTAAATAGGCTAAGAAATAACCTTAAACTTGCCTGTAAAAATTATTTAATATCCTATCGCTAAGATTACTTCATCAATATCTAAAAGCACAAAGTATTCCTGCCAAAGCTAGATATATCTGAAGCCAAAAAGTAGTTCTTAAATCAAGAAACCATCAGTTATGAATATTACAAAAAATAAATATTACAAAAAGGCTAGGAAATTATTTCAAATCAAAAATATAGGTCCAATAACTAGCACACTAAAAATGTAAAAACAAATATTCTTGAAATATATAATTATAAATATATATATAATAAAAAAACAAATCCAAAATTAATGTCCAGATATAAATATCTTAATTGTTTAAATTAAAATATAACACAAACATTTACATACAAAATATTCTACAATATATTCCTATATTAAAAAAAAAAAATTATTTTACCATACAATAACATCCAATATTTGTACTACAAAATCAGTGAACTCGAAATAATATAAGGAAAAATGTTTTGAATAAATACTCTTGATTTTAGAACTACCTTTTTGGTCTGCGCAGGATTCAAGTATTAGCAGCCAGAAAACCAAAAGCAACAAGTATTACAAGTATTTCTAAAAAAATTACCAAAATAAATATTGTTTTTTTTCGTAATGTAGTTCTTAATTGTATCGATTTGTGAGAAGAAAAAAAAACAGATAGATGCACATAAAACATGTTTCATGTAATTCGTAGTGTAATTTTAATATACATTTTTTTTGCTTAACATTTTAGTTACTTTGTTTTTTCTATGTAAATACAAGCACATATATCGCTATATATAAAAACTGAAACAGTTTCAAGTAATAAAAACAAGAAATTTAAAAAACAAAACTCAAAACCAAAAACATAAATTAACAAAAAAAGTCGGAATTTTATTTCAAAATGGACGAAGTCAATTGGGAAATGGAAATGCCACTGGGAAATCGATTTTCCATTTACCATTTTGTTTATGCTATATAGCACTTTATCTCTATCTCCCTTGAACGAACGTTTTTTGTTAAGAGAGCGTCCCGTCTCTTTCTAAACAAAATGTGCCGTTGTTTTAATTGAGATAAACCAACGAAAGAGCAGCGAGGAAAAACGGCTGGAAAATGGGTTGGAAATTGGGGAAATGTGTAGAGAGGAGAGAATGCAGAGTAGGAATTGTGGAAAGGGAGGAGTTGTTAATCCAAAAAAAATATATATAGAAGATTTTAATCATATATGTATGTGAAGAGATTGATCGATGATCTATGTTTATCTTATATACCTACTCCGCAATATTTAATTTTAAAGCCATTTTGATTAAAATAATCATTACAAGTGCTAGCAAGATTAGAAAACCACTTTAATAGAATACAAATAAATGTATTAACATTATTTATACTATTATTTACAGGGCAAGAAAAAAAAAACATAGATTAACTTGGGAAAAATCATGAAAAGTGTATAAAACTAAAGGATAAGAAGAAGATAGTCAAATATGGGCACGAAAATGGTGATTACAAAATTGGAGAGAGTTTATGGCGTACAGTTTCAGGAAGAAGGAGGAGGAGAAGGAGTAGTGCTAGACGATCGGGGTCCAAGAAAGGGGATAGAAAGATCGACAAAGGAAGCCATAAAATCGTATCTTCCATTTTCCTCTTCTTTGATTTCCCAGCGACTTTTCTTTGTTATCATTGCGCGTCCATCGACCCTCAAAATGAGTTTTCCACTCTCTGATAAGTTTTCCCCTCGACGATTGACAAGGCGAACGGATCCGCAGCCCATGGAATATCGATTTCGGGGCAGCAGCCATGTATTCGTTTAAACATAGAAATTAAAAATTTGTTGTCATTTTTTTGCCAAAAATGATGAATACAATTTTTAACAAAAAGACTAAAATCGGTGAGGAAAGTGAGATTGTTACCTGTATAAAACTAATGACAGTAAAATAAAACCCTTTAAAAAAAAACAATTTTTACGAAAACACCAAATCCACATTTTCCAACCAAAAAAATAGTATTTTTATCGAAACAACGGAAATAATGATCCGAAAATGGATTGTTAACCTAGTTAAGCTCGTAGTTAAATTCCCAATCGAAAGGCATTGAAACCTGAAACATTTAATTTGTAGCCATTTTTAAAAAAATCCAAAAATTTGCCGAAGATATTGTAAAAAAAAACACTAAGAAAAATTTATATTCTGTCCAAAACTCCAAAATCCTGGCTTTCCAACGAAAAAAATTCGTATTTTTGCGGAACAAAGAAAATAATACCTCGCTGATCTCGTAGTCGAATTCCCATTCGATTTATTGGCAGGCCATCGATCGATTCAGAACGGATTTAAATGCCAAATGGAGGCTTTGAGGTGGCCATAGGCTGTCATGTGCTATAATTTAGGGGGGTAGATAAAATCGAAGCAAGTAATTAGGCCTTTCGATTCCTCATTATTCATTTACTCGAATATATCTGGATTTTTATTAGCTTTTTAGAATTCTGCTTAGCAACTGGTTGCATTTGGTTTAATACCTTTTCAATTGCTAGTATATATATACCAAGAGCTATCAACAAGTTTTTCCTGGGAGTGCGAATTCCATTCCACACTAAATGCACCCATACCATACCTTCCGCCCCTATATATAAGTAGTGGCATATCGTAACCGTATCCCCCGATCCCCACCCCCAATCCCAATCCGTCGGCGACACATCTGTTTGTTCTTGGGCGTTGTTTTTGTGAACAATTTTATGCAAGTGATGAGAAATTTATGTTCTACTTGGTCGCTGCTCTACGGCGAATTGCATGCCAATTTGTTCTTATTTATGGGTCCTCCCATAGGAGCCGTGCCAGAAGATATGGAATTATATATGGCGTTATTAAATTTTAGACATACGCTCGCAGCTCTTTGAAGCTGCGTCCCGTCCCTTTTCGGAATTTCCTGGTCTCTAATATATATATTTGTGTTATTTTCTTGGAGGGGCTGGCCAAAGTTCAATATGCCATACGATTAATCTAAAAACCTCCCATCGTGTCACCGTTTCCGTGTGACTAATGAATGTCGCCTTTGATGGCTTGTCACAGTTTTTTTTCGAGTATTATGTTCGGGCGTGTGAAATTGAGTTTTGAGTTCGCTGTGCAGGTTAAACGTCAGGCGAGTGACGTTACTAATGATAAGAGGGCCATGTGTCGCATGCCCCGCTGATCGTTCCGTTCGATTACTACCTATATGAGTAGATACAGTACTATATATAATTCTTGGTTGGCGATGGAAGGAAATATGATTGATTTTGGTGCTTTAAATGCTTGGATAGCCCAAGATAATACATCATATTTTATTTCCGTTTATTTTTCAAAAAATATAGGATCAGGACTATGAACATTGTATAAAAAGTCTTTATGATAAAAGCAATATATTTATAACTGGTAATTGTTATTTAGAGTTGCTTAAAATTTTATACTAATAGTATCTATGTAAAAACCAAATTGGATGTATTATTTATTCATTTGGTTAAAGTATCTATTAATTAAAAAAAACTGTTTTTAAAAAATCATTGTGCACTTTTTTTATATTTCGACACTATCAATGTTACTCTACATTTTTGAAAACTAAATTATCCTTTATTATAGGTAAATATAACAAGCGGAATAGACTTTTTTCCGTTAAATGATTGCCTTGAATTCAAATGATTCATTCTAAGACAACAAAAGTCAAGTGCGTGTTTCAAAAAATGTTATACTAATAGCATCTATGTAAAAACCAAATTGGATATATTATTTATTCATTTGGTTAAAGTATCTATTCATTAAAAAAAACTGTTTTAAAAAAAAAACTTTTTTATTTTTTCGACACTATCTATGTTACTCAACATTTTTGAAAACTAAATTATCCTTTATGATAGGTAAATATAACAAGCGGAATAGACTTTTTTCCGATAAATGATTCACTTGCATTCAAATGATTCATTTTAAGACAACGAAAGTCAAGTGCGTGTTTCAGAAGAAAGTGAGTAAGAAATCAGCTAAGGACTGACTAATATGGACAATCGGTGGAATGTTGGGGTGCCAAATACCAAAAGGTGACATGCTCATGTAAAACCCCCTAAAGGCCGATCCATTGAATTCTGCTGCAAAATCAAGTGGATTTGTTCATAGTATTTTTCACTATCGCTTCGACACTTTTTGTGGCCTGATAAGTGGTATATGACGTACAATATCACCGATCCGGCTTATATACAGTGCCTATCATTATGTGGTGATAATGGCTAATGGATGGGGTGGCTCGAAAAAATTAGGGTGGGGTGTGCGGGACAGTGGCCACTTGAAATGGCATGAAATATGGTCGGCGGGGATCGGTTTGCTGCCACTGTAAAGTGAATATTGTGAATATTTATTGTCGCCCGGCGCTGTGGTGGGTCCACTCTAAGCACACACACACATCTGCGTCGTTTGTTGTAGGTGTGTAGGCTGTCGCCTGTCGTTTCAATCACTCGCTTGGTGTCGAATTGCTCACATTTTTCCACAGCACTCTAAAAAAATACCGATTAAATTTGTTAAAAATATAAAAAAGAATTGTACTTAAAATAATTAAACCAGAAAATATTGGAAACAACCCAAAAAAAATATTTTTTTTTAAATTCTTTGACTTTTTGTTTTATTATTGAAAGCATTTTTTAATTTAAAATAAAATTTTGTAATTCTTTCCTGGAAAATAAGAAAACAATTTAAAAATAAAATTCAACTGTAAATTTTCTGTATGTACTAGCAAGAATTAATGCGATTTTTCTCAGTGCACAGTGCCAGCAAACTGAAACTGTTTTTCCTATCGGCTGAGCGTGTTTGTTGTCGTTTCGGAATTTTCGGCACAAGTTCGGGGCGCATCCGTTGCTAATCGCTTTGAAAGTGAAACCGTGTTTATGTTGTTCCCTTCGATTTTCCGCTCAACGAATTTTCCCCTCAGATTTCCTCCTTTTCCCGGTTGTTGTTATTGTTGTTGCTGACACTTGAGGCTTTGTTTATGTTTTATAAGGATAGGATATCATTGGGGAATATTGGCCTTATGAGGGCTTAAAAAAATATATAAAGCAATTTAGTTACTCAAAAAAATTCAAATTTAAATTGAGAAGATCCTTTTACTATTTTCTAAGGTATCTAAGAATCAGATATTCGAAAGAATGTAAAAAAGGATATAAAAAATTCGACTATGTAACTAGGTTTATTTCTTTAATTTTTTAACCACTTCAAGTGGAAAAAGGAGATCAAGGATGAAGGCGGGAGAATGCGGATGAGGGTTGTCCCTTTTTGTGGGGACGCATGCGCGACTGTCGAGTGCAATTTTGACATATTGCTGACACGCCCACAAACAAATCTCTCTGTGGATCTGTCAGTTCCCCATGAGTATACTCCCCTGTCTCCACAGAAACTCTTTTTTCTCATCTGGCGCACGTGCTCGAAAGTGCAGCCAACAATGTTGCTGCCGTTTTACGAAGCGTGAAAATTATGAAATAAAAGTTGCATAAAAATACAAAAAATAATGATGAATTTAAGTATCGAACATTTGAATATCCTGACAGCTTTCGTATAAGAAGTAGGCTTTAAAAATCGCAAATAATAGTTTATATTTAAATAATATATAACAAATCTTTAAATTACTTTTATAACTGAATTTTTAGTTCGGGAGAGTTTAGAAAAAATATTAAACAATTTCAAAAGATTTTTGGGTAAACAAAACATTTTTAATAACATTAATCAACCTGACGAATGATAATACCGTCTCTATAAGGCGTAACAAATTCCAAATAATTTGTAACCAAATTTTGTATGGTGCAAAATGATATTTTGATGGCATGTTGGGACCGACCAATTAATATTACTCGATGCGTTTAAAGAATTGTGGGGATTTATGCTAAGGGCTCCTTCGATTCGGCGGAAATTGAGCGCATAATTCAGAAAAATGTCGTGCCATAAAAATCGTGCGTTGAAAGAGGAAGAAGAAGAGGATATGGTCGAAGGAGCCGAAGGAGAGGATATAGTCAGTCGGGCGCACTTACCGAAATTAATGCCATCGATGACAACATAGCCAGCAACAATAAAAGGCAAACGCCAAAAATAGCCACGAAAGCGAAGGGAAAATGGGAAATGGAAATGGAAAAGGGAAAATCATGAATGGGCAGGGGAGGGTGAGGGGGGAAAAGTGTGGGGACAATGTTGCCGCTAGCTGCACAATTATTGCCAACTGCTAACAGATTTGTTGGCAGTGAGAGATCGAGGGGCGAAACATTTGTTTGATAATGATAATGGCCATGTTGAAGGCCCACAAAAGATGCAGTTGCACTTCAGAGCGAAATTGAGTCATTTCCACGCGGAATTATTGACACATGGAGTAGCGAGCTGCTGCGGCTGAAATGGTACAATTTCCGAAATTAAACAGCGATTGCCAGAGCCATTTCAATTTGAAATGTGCGCCACGATGTGTGGATTGTAACAGTCGATTTGTGTGGAACGTATGTGAAATTATGGAAATTTTAAGCGAAATGATTTTGTATTACATATAAATAATTGTTTTGCAAGCTAAATAAAACTTAAAAGAAAATAAAAGATTATTTTTTAGAGAATTTAAAAAAAAAAAAAAAAAAAAAAAATAATTTGTTGATATCACTTGTAACCTTACAATAGAACAAAATTTATTTTGACCAAAAATCCATGTTGCATTGTTTAAAAGTCTTAAAATGAAGCATACCAATACTGAAATAATTGTTTAAAATATTCAAATTCGATAGTTTTTGGCGCCCACAAGCATGCAGACGACCAGTGTTGCCACCTGCAACCGATCGTAGTATTTTTTGGCGCTCTGGCCATGGGCACACTTTTGTTAAGAAATTTACAATTTTTTTTAGCAACTCAGCAAACAACTCCAGATAAATTAAAAGCCCAAAACATTGATCTACATGTCCTCCGCCCAACGATGAGGACACCGAATTGAGCCCACAGAGCACTGAAGACCGGGGCGGTGAACTCCATTCGAAACGAAAAGCTTCCCAAAATACGTTAACCAAGGAACCTGTGGAATCTACCTAATTGTTTTGCCTTATTTACATTTTTTTGCGGCCCGGTAAAAGGTTACACAATTCAAGTGGCTGTGCCATGCTAATCGCCCTCTTCCTCCCCAGATGTCGGACTCCCTGGTCATTTGCGTCTGCGACTACTGGCAGCGGTGCCATTTCCACAATCGTCCAAATCGCGAGGCCGGCGACTCGTGTCCTCCGGCATCGAAATCCCTGAGGAGGCTGTGCATCCAGGTGGATGCCATCAATGGCAACTACTACCTGCGCGAGTTCCTCGAGCAGAAGCAGCTGGCCGAGAGCCTGAGGAGGCAGCACGGCGTCCAGTTGGTTTGGCTGTCCCTGGAGCCGCCCGAGAAGGACACCGTCGACTATCGCTTTGCGGATATCCTGGCCCATACGCTGTGGGAGCACATCGAGGTGGAGCACCTCATGTCCTGGCTCTCCACCCTGGGCGGTGGATTCTCCGCCCTCGGCGAGCAGTTCGAGCGATGTGTAGGTCTTCCTAGTATTTGATCTATATGATTTTATCGCGAACTAGTTGTTCCAAGAACTACCCTTCAATGAAAGGGACTTTTCTAGATTTATCTAACCACATTTATAACGTACAAAGATCCCAGCTTGTCGGAAAATAATAACTAGAATTATTATTAATAATTTTTAAGACGTTTCCAGACTTAAGATATATAATATCTACGATGTATTATATGGTAGGTCATAGTTTTTCATAGTTTATATACCCTCATTTATAACGTCCACTTTCTTGGGAGACACCTAAGATCCCAGTTTGTTCGAAAAACATAACTAGAATAATTTGTAAGTCTTTTTCCAGACTTAAGATATATAATATCTAAGATGTATTATAGTACTTCATACTTTCCCTGCATGATTGGAAGATTATAAATATCTAATGATCAGAACAGTAGCATAAAATGCAGTTAAAGATCTAGATTAAAGTACATTTTAGGGTTTAATTTTAAAAACATTTAGGTAAATGCTAATTTTTGTTTAATTAAATTATAGTAGTATAGGACAGCAGTTATAGGAACTCCCAAATAACACTTAAAAGTATTCCGAAACGTAATCCACCTTCTCAAAGACACCTCTCTAATATCCAATCCACTTTCAGGCGGAGACGGCCGGCAAGATCTCGCTGCAGCAGCTGAAGATCGGACTGCGACTCGGAGATCCCTTCCTGCAGGCGCGCTGCAAGCTGTACTTCAGCATCTCGCTCATTCAGCGCGGCCAGCTGCGCACGGCAAAGCATCTGATCCGAGAGCAGTACGCCTTCGCGAGCCGCAACGCCGAGAAGGATGTGCGCCTGGTGCGGATGTGCCTGGGCATTTGGCAGCGACTTAGCTACGAGTACGAGCAGCGGCGGATGCGGAAAAGGCACTAGGACCAAGACCCGAGTACGCCGATCAAATCATGTATATATGGGGAAGATGGAGGAGAGCGGCCCGGTGTTCCTTTTGATTATACGCCAGTTGTAGGTAATGCAAATTGTTTTCAATATATTTATTTAATATGTAATTGTATATACGTAAAAAATGCATTTACATTATTCATTTATTTCTCGTTCGTATTGTATATATTTTCCACTGACCGCTGCAAAATCAAAGATAAACGTAATTCGGGGTGAAACTGAGAAATTTTCTTTATACTTAGGCGCTAAACAAAAAATTTTGTTGTACACAATTGACAAGGATATTATTAAGGGGAGACACGGACTGATCGATATATTGCAAGTGCATACACCTAGAGGATCGGAAGGTCTGGGCGGTGGAGCTGGTGGTAAAAAGTGGCCAGAGAAAAATATTGTACACAAAAACTGAAAGCGGGTAACTCTCGAACACTTGGATGCCGCTGCTCGAAGATTGCTGCTCGTAAAGCTTTGTATATATCGTATTTAAATATATATTTGGAGGCGCCCGACCTACTGCGCCAGCGTGCCCATGGGATCCCAGGCGGGCAGGACGATCGGATCCATGTCGAACACGCGCAGCACGTCCTCGGGCACGTACTTCTTGTCCACCACCACCTCGAAGCCGAACTCCCTGAACCAGTCGGCGTTCATCACCAGGTAGCCCTTCTCGCCGCGATCCTCGCCCCACGAGTTCTCCACTCGCAGCTTCTGGGCAACGCCGCCCTTCTGCAAATCAAAAGGAAGTGTTACTAGTGTTATTTTCTCCAGTTTATGCAAAGTACTCACGTCCACGGAGACGGCGGTGAAGACCATGGCATGGGTCATGGCCGATTCGCCATAGATTAGACGGTCCGCCTTGGAGAATGTCGTCTGAATGTCGATGTCGAAGACCAGCTTGAAATCGTGGCTGCAAGAGGGGAAGAAATCAAGTTCAGACATTGATAAAGCTATGGCTTTTTACGGGCTAACTAAACTTCTTAAGGGAGGGTAGGGTCTTTGGCACCAAAAAATCGACTAACTTTGCGATTTTTTCTATAATGGATGGATTTAATTCAAACCCTTTGTATATTATTAAGTGTCATTTAAATGACATCCACTAATTTTTATAGCCGATACTATCGGCTAATATATCGGTGGCAAAGCGATTGCTGAAACACTATTAAAAAAGGCGTTTTGCGGTGTTCACTGTACCTCCGCTAAAAATAATCGGATTTCCATTTTGTTTTTACATTTCGATTAGGAATTTAAAAAAACCCGTCCCCTGGGAAGCCCTTTTTTAATTTTTTATTTTTCAGAATTTTTTGTTGATATTTCAAAGTCAAAAATGTGTTTTTCAGCTAAAAAATTTGAGTTTCGACTTAAAAAAATATATTTAAAGTTAAAAAATAAAAATAAAAGGCTTCTATGCGACAAATTTAAAAACGATCGGTTGAGCCGTTTAGAAATGCCGACGAACACGGACTTTCAAAATGTGGTTTCGAGAAAAACGCACTTAAAGATGCACTTACGTTCCTAAAGTTTTAGAGGTTAGGGTACTAATTTTAGCTTAACTTCTAAAGTTTTTGTCCGATTGACTTGAAACTTTTTTTGTATAATCTTAAGATGTTAATCTACAAGAAATGATTAAAACACTCACACGTCCACATCCTCGATGCCCTGCTTGGAGGCAAACCGCTTGCTGACCTCGCAGCCGAACCAAACGGCCTCGCCGGCCTTCAGCGACTTGGTGACCACGGCCAGGAGCAGCTCCACGGACTGGTTGTTGTACAGGACGGGTCGGCCGCCAACCACATTGCCCAGGCAGTCGACAGTGTAGGCCTGGTCATAGCTGCTCGTCGGCCGGGGATCGGTGACCAGGCACACCTTGTCCTCCACGTTGAAATGCGGCTTCACGTAGCGCTCGTAGAACTCCAGCGAGCTGACCGGTCCGATGGACTGGTAGTTCTTGCTCTTGTCGTAGTACTCCCAGGTGAAGGTCTCGGCGGGAATGCCCAGGCAGATGCCCACCACCTTGTAGATCTCGGCCATCTGCTCCTGGATCTTGCAGGCGATCTCCTCCTCCGAGGGGTTCTGGTCCAGCAGCACGCGCAGGTGGCGGGCGTACTCACGGAGCTAAAAAGGAGATGCAAAATTTGTGAGCAAAGAGCTCAAACGAAAAAGGATAAACTACTATAATCACCTTGCTCTTCAGTATGGCGTTCATTCGTATGCTGGACTCGCAGCTAAAGCTCTCGGGGAAGCATTTCTTTGGCATGAGGCCGTGTTTGGTTATCAGGTTGACCAGCATGTCCCACTGGCCGCCGTCGGAGGTGGGATCGAGGAGCAGGAAGGACACCAGACGACCGTCGACCTTCTCGCCCCGCTGCGCCGTCTTCACGATGTTGTTGAGAAAGTAGTTGCACCGCTCGATCTTGTCCCAGTAGAAGAGGAAGGCCTGCGAGAACTCGAACTCGTCCAGATTGTAGTTCTTCATGAAGGGCAGGCGGATGCAGTTGAGGGCCGCAAACAGCCAGCAGCGGCCGGAGCTCCTCTGGTTGGTCACCGGCTTGCCCTCGGTCTCCACCTTGTAGTTGAACACATGGTTGGTCGTCTCCAGCGCCTTCCGCGAGAGGCACACGTCGAAGGGATCGACGCGGGAGCAGACGTTCTGCGCCAGCAGATTCTTCGGTTCGCTGTAGAAGTTCTTGCGCCACTCGCCGAGCAACTGGTCGGTGATCGCACTGGGCGACGACTCCCCGAGGCTGTGCGTCGAGTTCTTTCCGCTATTGGCGCTATTGTTGTTCCCGGAGCCACCGCCTCCACCGCCACCGCCGCCAGATCCGCTGTTGTTGTCAGCTGCAAGTAAATGGGAGTGGCAACGTTCGCCGGATATTGAGTGAGTTGCTCGAACGGATTCGGTCGAATAGCATATCGCCGGCTGCTGCTGCTGCCACATCTTGATTAAATTCGGATTCGGACTTGCACTAGGATCTTGACTCACTCTTGACGGGGTCTTGATCTTGATCTGCTTCACCACCGCCCGCCTCACCGCCCAAACTGGAGGATCGGGTTACCCAGAAAAGAAACCAAAAACGAGAATTTTGAGGTGACGGTGCAGGAGGTAGTAAAAGGAGTGAGTTTGGTGGCAATAGCCGAGGAGGAACAGGGAACAAGTAACGAGTAAATTTGGATAAAAATCTCTACAATTGGATGATTTATTATACGAACCTAGAAAATGTGTAAGTGTAGCTACTTTGGTTAAATGACAATGGGGGGAAAGCCACCTGGATTTGAGAATACCAAGATCAAAGAGAAGAACCTCTTTTATTCTATAAAAAATTAATCTTGAACATAAAAGAAAAACACTCAAATGTTAAACGACAAATGCAGCTGAGCTGTTTGAAATTAATTGGCAATTAAATTGCACAAGAATGTCGCATTTTGCAACTAGACAGACACCCAAAATGCGTGCAATGGGATACAAAAATTCAAAATCTACAACAACTGAGATATAAGTTAAGGAAATTCCTTATAAATAGACTTGATCCCTTTTGAATGCTATTTCTTTGACCGCAACTGTGCGTCTGTTATAAAAAACGATCGCTGAAAAGAAGATTGGATGTGATAACAACGTTCTAAGATAATGCCTCCAAACTTTCCAGAACGTTCTAAAAAATTTACTTTAGCTATGCGTACCAAAATTATAATTATATTCATAAATTAATCATACCAATTTTTTGTCATATTTTCATTTTAAATATTAATTTGTTTCAAAGCTAAAAACTAATTTATTTCAAGATTGTATTTAAAAAAAAATTAATGAGATAAAAATTCTATATTACGCATCTGCAAGATTCAACATTTGGGAACATTATTTCAAGTGAATACATCATTTCAAATATCTCTAAAAACCAGAAAAATTATAGTAAGCTACAAGATGTAATGTAAATAATTAACATATTCACAATCCAGAAAGTTTCAATTGTACAAAATCTATCTACAAGATCTATAATAAACCATGTTTCCGTTCCGTTTTGTGACGCAATCTGGAGGAAATTTGGCAAGGATGGGCATTATTTGCGTTATTTCCTACTTGGCCAACTTCCAGGGTTTCCCAGTTTCCCATCCGACAGTGGGCGTGGCCGGGCGCACAAAGGCAGCAATGCAAAAAGATTGAAAAAGCGAGAGAAACAAAAAGAACAGCTGCTGTTCGGGGCCATTAACATTGGCATTACCATTATGCACTTTGGATCTCTCATCTCTTTCGCTCTTTTCGCCATTTACTGCGCTTTGTGTTTATTATTTATCTATGTATATGTGCGCCTGAGTGTGGGTGATGCTGATAAGCGAAGCTAACGGGTTAAAAGCCGTTAAGAAATACCTATTAAAACCGTTATGTGCGAAAGAGAGGACGATGCAATTAAGCCAGAACCAGTTTAACGGGACTCGCACACACACACACACGCACGCGTGAGTAGCGGGTGGGGAGTGAAAGAACGAAGGAAAAGGGAACAAAAGGAGAGAGGGGCAAGTGCCGTTTTAAAAACTTTCGCGGAAAGCCGGCACAAAAACAATCTAAACAAACCAAAAAAAAAACAACACAAAACACGTTTGACCAGTTCGGCAAACAAAAAAAACAAAAATTTCGGGTGAAATTTTACTTTCGTCTGGTCTTAATTTGTTTTTGTTGCTGGGGCGTCAGCAAAACTTCCATCTTTCTCTCTCTCGCACACACACCCGCACATCACAACAACAACAACAAAAGAATGACGCCCGGATATTCGTTTCGTTTAAAAACTGATAACTTGCTGTTAAACTGGCTGGATTTCTTAGGACTCATCCCTTTGTTTATTAACTTACACATTGTTAACGTTTTTTTCCTTTTTTTATGTGGCTTTTCACTTGTTTTGATTTTCGTCTGCTACTGCGAATTTTGTTTGGCCTAAATTGTGGGTTTCCTTAATTTTCCGGCTGTGTTTGCAATGCTGGCAACTGCGGGCAACTGCAATTACTATGCGCAATTTGGCCCGCTATTATTTTGTTAATAATTGGGAAAAAAAAAGGAAAAATCTTCGGAACAGTGTGACCGCGGAATTAACTTATACCATTTTTTTCTTTCTCAAATATACCGAAAATATTCCAAGCATTCCAAGGTGAAAAATAACGTAAGTTCTATCGATAGTTTTAGTGCACTTTGCACTCGCTATGTATGGTTGGTGTCTCGACTAAACGCAGTGTCTCCGCTACGTCAGTAGGGTGTACCCGGTAACGATGGTGGGTGACTCGGATATTTTTGGCGCAATTTCTTAAACATTATTCCAATTATTTGAAAGGTAATATCGTTTTCTCGACGAGATTAAATGTGAAATAAACATATTTTTATAAAAATAATATAATCCATCATTTACTGTAAAAAAAATTATTACAAAAAGCAATTAAAATAAAATGTCTTATGATGTTAAATTTTATACTTGTTATAATTATTTCGCAGTTTCTACAATCTGATCATAATTTTAGGTCAGTAAAAGCAGCCAATATGCTAACTCGACCATTTGCATCGCGTTTCGTTTACTTATTTTGGTATTTGCAGACGTGATGACGGTGCTATTGAATGCCGGCGTATTTGAAATATTCAACCGGTTTTTGCTCTCTCAACGTTAAAGGTTGATTGCACCACAAACAGTAAATAAAAGCCACACCTGAGCACGGTGGGTTACAAAATGAGTGTTGTTCATCAGAAAGGAAACGATTGAAGGGTATTGAGCATATAAATTTTACACTAATGTTGCAGGCAAGACATTTCAGAATACAATTACCAAGTACTTGATTGCATTATTTGGTTTTTATCAGGGACCGTAAATAATAATTATCGATGTATTTTTCAAGCAAAAGCCGTGGAGAAGCCGTATAAACAAACGAATTATACCAATCGATTACTATTTGTATGCTCTATCCATATCCGCAATGATTTTTTACTTCTTGATTTTTATAAATTTTACTCCATTTTAATAATTATTTGTTGAGTTTTTTTCAATCGCTCAAAGAATAATTATTATTATTTTGAGCGAAAAAATATCGATCAAAAAATAATGATTCTTTTTGAGCTCAAAGTGCAATATCTTTTTTTCAGAGGTTTCTTTGAAAAAATTTTGCGCAGCAAACCCAAAAAAAATATTTTTAGATTTGAAAAAAAAAGTTTAAAAAATAATTTTATACATAAATTTTATTTATACATTTTTTTAAACATTTTTTTTTCCACTGTACCCTGCCCACGAATTTGCCTGTGCGGCCCACTGTGGCCCTGTGGATCATTTGCATACAAAGGGGGAAGAGCTGACAAACTGCTGGAGGCGACGATAGAAGATTGTGGTTCCAGTCCCACGACGACAAAGGTTTCTGGCACTCGGAGGAATCCGAAACCGATTCCGAGTCTTAAGTGGGTCACCACAATGCCACTCCGCAGGAACAAGAGTCCCGCCCATGGGACAATCAAGAGACATTCGCTATTAGCTGTTTCTTTGTTTGTTTAGTTTCATTGATATTTGCCAAAAAGCTTTATTGTACGGTATGTAAATATAAATAGTTTAGTGGTTGTTTGCTCAATGGCAATTTCTTGTATACTATTGCGGGCGTATTGTGTACTGTGAATATATCGGGGTCTGTATATCTATTCTATATAGCTGCACATTCATGCCAAGTTTCAGTTTCGGTTTCATTTAATTGCCATTTCAGACAATTTTGTTCCGCATGTTTATCTATAAAATGTTCCCGCTCTGCGCCATAAATTAATAGCGAGCAGAAGAACACGCACACGCCTCCAAAAGCGAATTATTATTGATATATTCCTTATGAATGCCATACATTATATGATAATTATCGTTAAAATACTCATGCTCTCCCGCGGGAAATCGTTCGAAATTCGCTTTTTGGGGGCGAGGAGCAGCTGACTAAGTGGGCTTTGCTTTGCAGACTTGTTCGATCGTTTTTTAGTTTCAGTTTTAGTTTACAGGTAAGGTTAACAACAGTTTCGGGTTTCGTAGGGTCTAAAACTTAGGGCTATTCGTTGTCTGGTTACAGGGATTCGAGTTGGGTTTTGGACAATAAGTGGTTAACAATCGATGTACATTGAAACGTGTATAATATATATCAATCGCTTAGCCAATAGGGTGTACAAAATACGTTTATATACAATAGTCAATAGTTAGTATCAAAATTACAATCTATGCATGTTGGTGTAAAGTATTCGCTGCCTTTGTCTCAGTCATTCGATAATTTCATATTCGATTCGTTGCTTAGGATCAAGAAATAAAGTATAAAATACACAGAAAAGAAGGCATTTTTCTCCTTGATTATGTACAAGTAAATGGTAAATAGTAAATATATATATATAAACAATCGACTCCTACCAAAATCAGCACATTCGCTCTTTAGTACGGTGAGAATTAGTTTTGGCCTGAACACTTTGGAAGTTCTACTACATCATAATACAAATGTTGCTGACGCACGTTGAACGTGTGTTGTTGCAAACTCGAGCAATAAATTAATTAGCAAAAAAAATAACTAATTGATTAAATAAAAATAATGAGAAATAATAATTGTACTGCATTGTAGTTTCTGCGTTTTCAAGACCTAAAATACATAAAATACGTTTGGGTTGGGGGAATACAATTCAAATTTGGCGCCACAAGTTGCAAGAGTTTCGGTTAATGTTAATGTGTGTGTGTCTACTGCTTTATCATTGTTTAATTAAGCGCGCTTTCTTTTCCAACCATTTAACCTTGATCGATAAGTATCGATGAACTTTTGATGATGAATTTGATTGTTTCCGCGTATCAGTGTGTGTGTGAGTGTGCGCAGCGATTTTGTTTATGCCTTTGAGTAAATAAATTTTGTTTGTTTACTCTGCCCATAAAAAACATTTAAAAAATTTTCAGCCGAAAAAGATTATGCGCCAAGCATAAAAATAGTTTTAGTCAGTAAAAAAGTGATTAGGCAATGAAAATGTCAAATACACAGTCTCACACACACACAAAGACTGGATGCAATCAGTGTCAAGTCAATGGAAATCGGGGAATTCAATTCCAGAATCAGCTAATTTAAATGTTAAACATCCGAAATGTGCATGTGTGTGTCGACCGTTTTTCTCACACTTGAGATTTGAGTCAGAAACAGAAACAGAAAAAGCAGAGCAGCGATCTTAGCTAAACAACAACAAAAGTGCCTCAACAGCAAATTCCTTGTGGTTGCCTCACACACACTTCTGTTGTTTTTGTGTACATACATACATATATTGTTGCTTGGAAGCGCTTGGAAGAAAGAGCAACAATAGCTTGTTTTGTTTTGTCTATTGTGAATTCCTGTCCGGCTGCACATTCCAGGCATTTCGCAACACTGGCCAGTTAGAATGTGTTAATGTGACCCGAACTGCTCTACCGTTATTCTGCTTTTACTGCCTCTTCTTCTGCCTCTCGCGATTATGACGATGAATAAAATAATACGTTTCTTTTGTGCTGGCTCAAATTGAAGTTGAATACTGGCGCACACCGAGTACTTTTTGTTCCACAGCGGTTGTTGGCCGATTTCAAAATCACGCGCAAGGCGCTTACACACACACACACAGCTCGCACAATTAGCTGGTCAGCTTGGTCGTCGCTGCGATTGCGCAAGTGTGTGCCGCCGCCTCTCGTCTCGAAACTCCAGCTTTAGCAGCTTTTTTCGTTTTGGTTTGGTCGTTTTTTTCTTCTGCTTGCTGCCTCTGTGCTGAGCTGCCCATTGCCATTATTTCGCTCGTTCGAGGTCTGGACTTTTGTATCCGGGCCTGACTTTCGCATTGTCGCTCGTCGTCTCAGTTGTCTGCAAAAAAAAAAAAAAACGAAAGAAAGGGGCACAAGTAAGTACAAATTTTTTATATGCGTGCGCATGTAAGTACAGTGCGGTCAAAATATTAGCACTAAGAAGCAGTGTTGGAAAGGGCACTATCATGCGGCGTCCTGGCATTTCGATAACGATAATGCTTGCTTTATGTTTTATGATATTATTTAACTTAAAAAACATTACCTAACGAATCGGAAAATATCTGTCTAAATATGCAAATCTTCTGTTTCGAACTTTCTTGGCTGAAACATCTGTGCATTGCTCATAATCTTTCGAGAAAGAACAACATGGAGTAATCAAAATTTCCGAGATTTATTTTGTTTTTCACAATTCTTGGAAAGCGATGGCAAGTGCGATATGATCTTAAGTGTGAACCATTGGTCAAGGGGGAAAACTAGTTTCTTGCCCAATGCAATTCAGCATTTCCAAATCGCAATGTTATAAAGGCACTTAAAAGAAATTAAAATTAAATAAATACATTTTTCTATTTCGTTTAATATAACTAGAACTATAGTACTGCATAGTACATATAGCACTACCCGCAACTGTGGCTGCATCACAACAATACCCTCCCCTTCCTTGCTTCCATCGACGAGGAGTCAGATGACGACCGACGTTGCAGGCACAAATTAAAAAAATAATGCCCTGCGTAAAATGTAAATGGGCCACAGTGCAATTATAACTTGAAAAACTGCAGAACGTTCAAATTAAAAATTGCCGCTAAACTCAAATTAACGCGAAGCATGTGTGCGTGTGCGATTGCGTCTGGAGATGATGGACATTTAGCATTCTTACGGCGAAATTTGTGCTAATTTGTACGAGAGTCAACACAGGATGGATTCATTACGCACTGACAAGTAGTGAAAACTTTCAAATATCATCGAAAACTATGAAGATAAAAGGTGACCCAGTTGGAAACTTTAAAGTTCTGACCTCTTCCACTCGCTTAAATAACTCACAGCGAATTAACAGTATCTCATGTTTCACGGCTAAATTTCAGGGGAAGTGCCGGTCACGTTCAACAATGAGTAAGAATTATCTGCATTTATGAAAACATCAAAAAAATATATTAGCTAAACGAATTCCGTCGACAATGAGCTGTGGTCCGTAATTCTAAAAAGTTGGTAATTGCTTAATAGAACAACAAACGAAATGACTAAATTATTAAGTGCTGACATGGGTATAAAAAGTGGAACTCAAGCGCGGCCAAGCTATTAGTTTTCATAACAAGCCGGAGATGTAGTTTTACGCTATTTAATCATCATGATTACCCGCACAAGATAATCAGGGAAATTATTAATTAAGGAAAGTGATTTTCGGTGTTCCAAAAAGTTATTGTAGGGGAACTGCTCGTTTTCGCTTTTTATTTGAGAAACTGAAATTTTCATTAGAAAATTTCTTATTCTAAGAATTTTTTAACAAAAGATCTTCAAACTAGTAATTAGTTTAAAACAAAACTTTAATCTTTAAGAAATCAATGTTTGTAATGTTATCTAGCTTTAATGTGTTTGCAATAGAAGAATGTAGTTAAGAAATTTATTTATTTATTATTCATCTACTTAACAAATTGTGACTGGCGCAATAATTTTATAAGTATTTTTTGTACTTGTAGCGTTAGGAAGAAATAAAACAAAAGTTAAAATTAAATTAATACAATTAATATAAAAGATTTGTTGTAGAAATATTCTGAAAATTGTAAATTAATGAAATACACATTTTTGTTTCTTAATACTGCTAGTACTGCTTCTGCGGCACTATAATTCCCAACTGGTTTAAGCCCAGTGAGTTGGCATTTTCGGGGCTAATGATCAAGTGCGATGATCCCTTGTAAAACCATGATCAGCTGAATCATTTGGCTGAATAACAATATATATATTTCTCGTACGTTTTCGCTCGTGCATTGTACATTTGTGCAATTTGGTTGACAAACGAGGAGCGCACCCTGCAACTCCATTTCTGCACCGTCGTGTTGTGATGAGCGTGACGGGGACACGCTGCTCTGGGATTATGCAGATGAACACAAATGGCACAGCAGCTGCAGCTGCAGTTGCAGTTGCATTTTCCGATGCATTTTCAGTTGCAGTTGCAACACACGCACTCCTCGCATGCAGGTCACAGTTTGAGAGCGACTGCTTTCGCCCCGACTTATTGCGTGCGAGCCACGATTTCAGGGGCCAGGCCAAATAACTCGGTTGCATAATCCCCCGAAATGGGCCCATGGGCCAAAAACCCAGTGTTTTTTTTGTTTTGTTTTCTCTTTCGTTGGGCAAAACCTCAGATTCGGACACACAGTCATCTGTTTCCCCTGACAGACGCGGATCCCAAAAAAAGTGACGCGATCAGGGCCCGTAAAAAAAGTAACAAAAAAACACGAGGGCAAAGAAATACAGTCGTACAACAATAACTGGTACTTTGCTGCCAGCTGTCACACTCTAAAAGAAATACATACTGATATAATTACACTTTTTGTATACACATATTTTCTCTTCATTCCTTGTAATAAAAAAAGGAAGCATTATCGACCATTATGTCTGTTAGATTATTTTAAAACAGAAATGATCGAATTCAATTAAACCGCGAATTCTTCAGTTGCTCGGATGGCAAACTTCTTGGTCAAGAACTTCTTCAGTGTCTTTACTCAGCCCTCAGTTTAAAATAAATTAGTAACACATTTGAATAGTTTGCAAAGTAGATGAATACCTAAAATACTCGTAACATTTTGGAAGTGCAAAAAAGGAAACTAATAAAGGTGTCTAGTGGATATACAGTTTCTAGAACTGCACTTCCTTTATCATACCGGGCTGAGATATCTATGTTTACAAACGATGGATAGTTTGTGTCGAGCATTGTTTGCTTGCCAGTGTCGAAGACCGACTGTAGTTTGCGTTGGATCATTTGGGATGTGTCAAAAGCACTTGAGGGAAGGGAAACCAAGCAGAAATACAAACAAGACAAGACGGAGCGGTACGCTTATCGTCGTCGTCGTCGTCGTCGCCGCCGGTGAGTCCAATTTAAACTCAATTTTCCCTTTTTTTCGGGTTCAAATTCAAACTGAGATACGACGGATGGCAGAGAGCAAACGTTAACGTTAACGCAACAATCCCGGGATCCCAATTCCGAGATCCCGTCCCGGTTTTCCATTATCTACGCTTGCGTGTGTGTCAAGGGTTGCGCTGATTACTTTATGGCCATGTGGAAATCGACAGGAAATCGGCCGACCCGGCGTCAGAGTTTTCCGATGAAAAACATAACGGCACAGCGGCAACATTTTCCATCTTTATGGACATTCTCGAGCTCAAGTGCTGCACGCGAAATCGTAAACTTGGCGCATGTTGTAAATGGCATTTGGGCAATGGGAAAATGTGAAAATGTGAAATGGAAAATGGTCATGCAAATGGAACTGACCAACCTACAAGAGTTTTTCCCAAAACCATAAAACGAGGGACAAAAAAAACGTGCTGGACTTTTCACCCGGCGCCTGGTTGGGAAAACGCCCCAGGTAGCGAGAGGAAATCTCGAACCCTGAATTGCATCTGGATAAAATACGGCAGCACGAGGGGGGTGAATGGCGATTCAAGGGGTATTTTCCAAATCGAACAATACTCGAAACGTTTTGAAAATAAAAAGTTTACTCGATTTACCCCCAGGAAACCCTAGATAACGAAAACCAGTTTTCTAGGTTTCGGTCTCCAAAGGTGGTGGTTGGTCTATAAAAGTTGTCAGCGCAAACATGACAAATCCCGAGTTTCCTACTCGTATTGGTTTCCAAATTCTGTAACTGCATCATTGGTATTTGGGTCAAGTCTGTAGACAGAGTAATTATCACACATGTGAATCTCAAATTAAAGAGAATAAATAATATGGCATATGTGATAATCACATTATCTACACGTTTAGTTATATACCGGAAAATCCGGCTGATGTGTTGATCTATCCACTTATTCACAGATTCTGGTTTACTTTCGAGGTTAAGACTAGAAAGAATGTTAAATTCGTAGAGAATACATGCTTTTTGAGAGCTGCTCATAATCCCTATAAAGATTTTGACAAACTATCTTATGTAATCCAAATACATATAATATATATGACAAATTCAAAAGGTGTTTCTTTAGTAAAAATTATATTATAGTTATTAATTTTAAATGAATGATTTTCTTATGATTTCAAAAATATTGGACTAGCTCTAAGATTAATTTAATATTATATAATGAAATAACAAAATAAAACCTAACTTTCAACGACATCCGACTGAACTTCGATGGAACTAATGCTTTGAGAACGTGTACTTTATAGGATCTCTATAGGCTGCGAGGCATGACACAACCGGAGCACAAACAACGCAACTCACTGAGATACTTTGCATTCCTAGTCGGCCCTGGAGCCCATATAAAGCCGATAAGTCTATCAGCCAGTGTGTGCTTAATGCTTAAAGCCACCTTTTTTAAGCCACTTGGCAAACAGAGCTATCTGCTCGGAGTTACACCGACCATAGCTACACAGAAAAAAAACGATATGAAATTGGGTTATTTCTACCTTGTTTCATATCAATAAAAAGCCGATATGATTTATGTTAAATTTAAGATTCAAACATGTCAACATGATACTTTATCATATCATAAATAATACCAAATGTAGTATTTTTTGAGCAAATAATATAAAAAAAGATGAGCATAATCTTTATTCATATCATTTTGATCTTATTTCTACCTTTATTGATATCAATAAAAAGCCAATATGATTTACATATGTCAAATTTAAGATTCAAACATATCAACATGATATTTTATCAAATTTAGTATTTTTTGAGCAGTATTTATTTATATCATTTTGATCATATCAACATGATATTTTATCAAATTTAGTATTTTTTTGAGCAAATAATATAAAAAAAGATGAACATAATCTTTATTCATATCATTTTGATCTTATTTCTACCTTATTTCATATCAACAAAAAGCCTATATGATTTACATATGTCAAATTTAAGATTCAAACATATCAACATGATATTTTATGAAAATTAGTATTTTTTTGAGCAAATAATATAAAAAGAGATTAAAATAATCTTTATTTATATCATTTTGATCTTATTTCTACCTTATTTCATATCAATAATAAGCCGATATGATTTACATATGTCAAATTGAAGATTCAAACATATCAACATGATATTTTATGAAATTTAGTATTTTTTTGAGCAAATAATATAAAAAGAGATTAAAACAATCTTTATTCATATCATTTTGATCTTAAAAAATATCAAATTGACCATTACCATTTTTTTTCTGTGTATTATCTATCGGGTGTTGAACTTACGTTTAGCAAACAGTCTCCATTTTGACGCCGGGAACGGGGGGAACTGGGCCCTTCTCCGGCATGTCATCCTCCAGTCCGCTGTCCGCCGCTGGACTGCTGGGCATGGTGGTGTTCTGGGTGATCTCCGTGCCGCCGGCCAGCGAGGGCAATCCCTGCGAGCTGCTCGAGTGCTGGACGCCGTTGGTGGTGTTGGTGATGTCGTGTCGCAATCGCGGGCAGAAGATCCGGCGGCAGGCGGTCCACACCTGCGGCTGGCAGCCCACCACAATGAAGATGAAGACGCCTTGCAGGGCGTTGATGAGGTCGGTGAAGAACCAGACGCCGTGGGGTCCGCCCACCGCCCACGAGAGGATGTCCGCAATCCAGGTGACGCCCATCACGACCACCAGCTTCAGGCAGACGCGCCCCAAGGCGGACTTCTCCGACGAACTCTTGACATCCTCGCGCTTCCACAGGCCGCAGGTCAGCTGGTGGGTGGTGGACACGAAGAGCGCTATGTTGGCGCACAGCAGCAGGCCAATTGGACCGTAGAAGTAGGCGAAGATGGACAGGTTGCGGTTGTCGAACCAGCAGTACAGCTGGCCGAATCCCGGCCGCAGCAGCGTCGTCTCCGGCAGCTGGTCCACGCAGGCGGCCACGAAGGTGATGAGCAGCGGGCCGCCCCAGGCGTACAGGGAGTAGAGGTAGCGACGCAGCGCCTCCTGGTTGCGCTCCAGCGAGCTGGGACGGAAGTCCCGGAACGTCCACCAGATGTTGAAGCACATGGTGTTCAGCCAGAAGAAGGCGGCCAGGAAGAAGAACTGCATCAGGATGGCCAGCGTGTGGCAGGCGGCGCTGCCGGGCTGCAGGCTGGAGCTCAGCTCCTCGATGGCCAGCAGTATCTTGCCGAGCAGCAGGCAGCTGATGTAGCAGATTTGGCACCGCCAATGCAGCGCATGATGGGCGGTGGGCAGCAGGAAGCCGGCCACCAGAGTGGCGGTTAGAAAGACAATGGATACGAGTATGCCGCCAGTGAGGACGGCCTTCTGCAGGTTCTGACCGCCCAGATCCTCGACAGCCTCGCCCGGGGCTGCCATCTCCTCTGCGCTAAACAAATGCTGGCAGGCTATGATCTTCACCTCGCCCTCGCGCTCCGTGTGCTCCAGGCAGTACTGGTCGGCGCTGAGGTTCTTGTGCGGCAGCTGCAGCCCCGCGGTCGTCCTGTCCAGCCGGGCATCCTGCCAGTCGCCGGCGATGGCATAGCCACCGGAGCGCGGGCAGACGGGCAGGCCGTAGCTGGTCAGGTAGCTGCCCGCTGGGAGCTGCGGCGCCAGACGGAGCAGCTTCTCGCGCTGCGGCTGCAGGTCGCAGTTCTGCAGCTGCGTGTTGTAGCTGCCCCAGCGGCCGCAGCACTTGCTCAGGCGGAGATTGGCGGGGCCATGTTCCGAGTGGTTCGCAGCTGGAGCCTTCAGGGCGTCGGCATCCTGTGGCTGGCTCTCCAGACAGACCAGGGCCACCTCCCAGTCGACGCAGTAGTCCGGCGGCTGGACGAGGAGCCCGCGTTCCCTTACGTACAGCGTGCCGTTGGGGAAGAGCATCACGTTGCCGCCGCGACTCCGGAAGAGCTCCGTCCGCCGATCCTGGCCGCACTTTGGCCTCGTGTTGGGCAGGAACTTGAGGAAGCGCGGAGCGGCGCCGTGGGGCTCGTAGAAGCGCTGCTGCTGCACCAGGTAGACCATGGGCAGCCATAGGGTCTCGCTGCCCGCGAGGCAGGCGCCGCTCGTCTCGTTGAGGAACTCCCCCGAGTGGCAGCACTTGTTGAGCTTCACGGTGGGCGGTGGCGAAGGTCGTGGGGGTGGATTTGCTATATTGGCGGTGGATTCCTCGAGGGCCCAGGAACTGGACTCGGCTATTAGCAGCAGCAGGATGATCCCAAAGCCTTCCATCTTTCTCTCGTTTTTTTCAGGCGGCCTCAATCTGCAATTTATGTGCTATGTACACACATCTTCAGATTCAGATTGAGATTCCGATTCAGATTTTTCTGCCGTTCCGCCTCGTCGATCAACACTTTTCACTTTTCCTCTCCTTCGGCCAGCCAGTAAACAAATGGAAAATGGGAAATTTCACCTCCGTTTCACGTAAGTCGAGCAAACAAACAAACAAAATCGAGGCGTCCGAATAAACACACGGCGCGTTCTTGTTTTTCTTGGCCTCCAATCAAATAGAGTTGTCAGCGAATTATGCACATATCACCGTTGCATTTTGCTCTCGGCGCGGTAAAGGCAATACAGCGAGGTTTCGTGCTCTCGTGTCTCAGTTTTCAGTCGTAAGCACTGTGCGCGGCGTTAAAAAAAATAAAATAATATTATGCGCTCTGTTTTCAAGCCACCTTTCCTCGCGTTTTTTTGGAAATACTTTCGATGGTAAGAGGGGAAAACCTTATATGGGTCTTTTGGGTGTGACCCGTCGTGCCACGCTGCCAAAATACCTACAGTATTATAGTATGGTCACACAGCTAAAATGTTTGGGGTATTCCCTAAACCAGCGGTGCTCAAAACTGCCTTACGGCAGTCCATTTACAAACACAATTGAAACCCTGCAGTTCCCGATTTCAGACCGAGCGCTAAATTGCACGCCGGCAGAGCCTCGGCAGAATCGACTCTCTCTCTCTCAATCTCTCTCTTTACGAAATTAAGGTGCTGAAAAAAAGCGCCAATTTCTGGCAGTGATGAGCCCCTAGGACATGGTGGAACTATACAAAGTGGTCTTGTCAGCTCTGCTGAGGACGTTAAATATGTTTACCTCTCTGTCTCTCTTAGGCGATAGAATGACAATAAACGTCAAATTTTGACCGATTTCACCCTATTATATAAGCACGCGCTTTTACCCTGATCAAGGTATGCGTAAAAGAATAAGATTCATGTCAAAAGCTCTTACACTGAGCGAAATATCTTTTTGTGAAAGCTAAATCCGATTGTTCCTATGGGAGCTATAGGATATAGACATCCGATCGGGTCAGTTTTCAAACTTGATCTGCGTACACATGTTTTAGGACTGTTTATGACTGTGAAAGTTTGAAGGCGCTAGCTTTTAAACTGAGCTCGCAAACGGTATTGAAACAGACATACAGACGACAGACGGACATGGCTATATCGACTCCCCTATTGATCCTGATAAAGAATATATATACCTTATGGGGTCGGAAACTTCACTGCGTTACAAACTTCTGACCAAAAGGGCAAGGGCATAAAGTTTATCCAACAGTTTAGGGAATCCCCCTACTGTCTTTGGGCAGGGTCTTATAAAAGTGTTGCAAAAGGCTACATTTTGAGGAATATCATTGCCATAAAGTGTGACCAGACGGAAACGAGCCGTAGTCGATACTATCGCCAGCAGCCACACCACCGCTGTACAAGATTGTGTCATCACTACCGTTAAGGCCGCATTTTTACTAGGTTTTCGCGTTTTTAGCAAATTAAAACTCAAAGATGTCGAAGGCCCATCCCCCAGAGCTGAAAAAGTGAGTGAAACAGGGGACTTGTAGGCTGGCTCTTTAGGCAAGTAAACGGATATTCATTCCAGGTACATGGACAAGCGAATGATGCTGAAACTGAACGGAGGACGCGCCGTCACCGGCATTTTGCGAGGCTTCGATCCCTTCATGAATGTGGTCCTGGACGACACGGTGGAGGAGTGCAAGGACAACACGAAGAACAACATCGGCATGGTGGTAAGACGCCAGTCCCCCAGCCAGAAGGCCTCCATTCTCATTCATTAATTCATATCCCCCACTCTTCTGCCAGGTAATCCGCGGCAACAGCATCGTCATGGTGGAGGCTCTGGACAGGGTTTAGCACCCGCCTCGGAACCCGATCCCCTCCAGCTCCTCAATCGTTAGCCGTAGTGTCTAGTCTTAAGGCTCCGAAACATTCATGCGCTATAGACCGTCAAGAAAATATACAAATTCGTAAATAAATTATATTCTACAGAGACAATGTAATCCCTCGCCAAACCAAGATATCTCTTTTTTATTGCTTATTTATTATGTCCTTAAGACATAGTATATGTAGTATTTGAATATAACTCCAGCCAGAAGTTTGCAATGCGGGAAGACATCGCCATCCCTGTAAAATACGGATTCGCTGGGACAATAAAAACCAGTTTTAAACATTTTCGGTGAAAAGATCTACAGTAGTCTTCTGTGTACTGAAAATCGGAAGAGAGTATTCTACATTAAACACCTTTAAAGTTGAAAAAAAATTGGAAAAAATGGATTTTAATTTTAATAATGGGCTTTCCTTTTCACTCTTCCCAAGCTCTATTTTGTATAAAAATCTTGATTTTATACCACTTTTAGTCTTTAACATACCTATCGTTAAAAAACTGCCGTATTCGCTCGGGACAAAAATAGAAGTGATTTTCGGGGAAGTTCATTTAACACTAGAATTTAGCGAATTCTGATACAATATTTGAATGCAATTTTTTTAGAATGTTGTCCAAACATGTCGCTGTGAAATGGTTTTGGTTTTACTCAAAAATTGTTTGCAGTTTTTTTTTTATGCAGTTTCAACCACATTCGCTCTGGACATGTCGCTCGGAACATTTTTTCTTGGCGTTTTGTAAAGTGTATTTCTTTACCTCTAACCCTCAATTACTGGCTGTTTTGCTTTTAACTTAATAGTTTAACATTTAAATGAAGCATTTGCGTATATTGGTGGGGTTTGTCATAAAAATAATCAAACTATACTCAAAATTTGTAGTTTAGCTCAGATTCCAACTAATAAGAAACTAATATCAAGGCAAAATCATGTGGAAATATGTTTTATTCAAGTTCCAAGGTTTTTGGCTTGGTGGACTTTTTGGTGGAAGTGCCCATATATCATATAGCTGCCATAAAAATAATAAAATTTGTTCTTAGCATATAACCTCCTTCTTTTGGAAATACCCTTTTTTTTTATCTAATTTTGATTTTCGAATTAAATTTTATCAAAATCGGACGACTATATTATATAGCTGCCATAGGAACGATCGGAAAATCGGAGAAACATAATTTCTGGTTTACCTTGCAATCGTATTGAACTTAATTCGAAACATATAAGAATATCCTAATTAACGACGAATGCTTAGGCATATTTGAGCTTATTTGTAACGCTTGTTTCCAAAATTAATGGGTTACACTTTCGGACATGTCAGTTCTATTATATAGATTAAAATAAAAAATCAAGGGCTGACATGGCTAGATAAAAATTGGTTTTAATGTGAAAAATGCCATTCGACTCTCTCAGATATGAACTTACCTGGAATACTAGTAAATGCGTATACGAGGGGTTACTTTAAAGGCGTATTGAATATCCAAAATTAAATATTTACTTAAGTAGTTGCATTTTACAATGATTGTAGAAATGCAGGTGTTCCATATAAAGGGCTATTTTAAACGGCAATAGATCAAGTTCCCACCAAATATGGGGAAGTGAATTAATTACCATCCTCGCCCTTCTTTTTGAAAATGAATTCTTATATTTTATAGCTTTCCTATTTCTCGCCTGCTACATGGTTAAATTCTTAAAACAATTTATCATTTGTATCTCCTAAACAATTTAAGTAAATTTAAATCATATAAAAGTTATAATAAAGCTTGTACGATTGAAAGTGACTTGAATTGAACAGAACCTGCAAAGTGCAAGTAAAATAGAGCTTTTGAGGTGCCCTTTATTGATTATCCAAATTTCTAGCCATCTTTTCATGGCAACAAATACGTTGGCAGACTTTAAATTTGGCAAATTAACTTGTTCCTGAAACCTAGGGTAAGAAAGTGACCACCTTGCTGTTCCGACATCTGAATAAATCGCATATCTATGGTTATTTGGTTTGTATATTACAGTAGATGCCTAAAAGAGGCTATTTAAGATTTCTGACAGACTTTTGCAAAGGAATAGAACATCTCTACGTAGATATAGCTTCTTGGCGACCTTACATCTCGTACATACTTAAGTATAGTTCCAGTTTATAGCAGGCAATAAAGGTATCGGGCATTTGTAGACTTTTACAAATTGTGGTTGGTTTTATTTTCTCTCATCTCTTTCGTGCAAACAAAAAGCGCATACAAATGAAGTCTAAAAACGCGATTTTAGAATTCGAAAAGGGCGCCGTGTGTCGGTTTACTTGGAAATAACAAGGGGCCCGGTCTGCTTGGCGGCGTCGCGCTGCTTCACGACGATCTGGTTGGCGATACGGTCCAGATCCCGCTGTCCGATGGAGCTCAGCTTGCGGCCGCCGTCGGGGTGCTTCTCGACCAGGCGGGCGTGCTCCAAGGCCTGGAGGGCCTTGCGGGCAGCACCGTCGGCGGCGCGGCAGAAGTGCGACGGATGGACGCCGTTGCGCTTGCGGCCGCCGTAGATCTTGGTGATGGAGCCCACGCCAGCGGGACTGCGGTGGTACAGGTGGCGCAGGATCGAGGCGCAGCGCACGTAGAACCAGTCGGGATCGTAGGGCGCCAGCTCCTTGAATTTGGCGGTCTTCACGATGTCCATCTGGTCGGGCACCTTCAACTTGCCAGTCCTTTTTGGGTTTTTGCGATTTCATGGGGATAAACAAATGGGTTGTGAGGTTATGACTGCAAACCGTGTAGAGGGTACTCACTTCTTCAAGAAGACGGCCACCGCCTTGGTAACCGCGTGCTGGTCAATATCCTTCACTGTGACGCCTGGCATCTGCGGGGGAAAACCAAGAACAGGGAATCTATTAAAACTTTGCCAAAAACACGTTGTCTCGCGTTCTTCTTCTTCAGCTCTCTCGCACACACAAACACACGCGCGTACGGCGTACGCTCTCTCGCACGCACACACTCGCAGGGGCACAACAAAAACGGCCAGCCGGGGGTTTTCGCCCCTGAAAATCACTCTGCTCGTGCTCAACGCCTGCCCATGCTGTCGCTTGCCGCCTGGCGGTGGCTCTTTCATTCAATTTCACCCATTCAAAACATAAAAAAAATATCAATTCACTCGAAGGAAATCGTGCACAACCTTTCTCGTTAAAGTCAACCGGAAAAAAGAACAAGTCGCGTGAAGTTGGCTGCGCTTTAGTGGTGGAGAGGAGAGCTGTGGAGGTATCGATGTATCGCTAGTGGCGAGTATCGATGTTTATAGTTCGCATCTCGGCTTTATACCTTGAACACCTAGGGTAATTTATGCTTAAGTTCTTAGAAAAGCGATATAACTTTTCGATTTCTCGAGCTCTTTCATTAAAAACAGGATAATATATTTAAAATCGAAATAAAATTAGATCATGAAAGGCTTATCGATGTTATCACAGCCCAGCGCGGCGTTGCCACCTGTTGGCTTGGGTATTTTTGGTGTTCTGCCGCCGCCCACCTTCGGCCACACTTTACCAAAGGAAAACTATCGATCATCACTCCGATACCCCACCTTCGATATGTAAACATAATTGCCATCTCTACCACAGCACCGAACCGAAAGAAGAAGTGCAACGCGCAGCGTCTAATTAAAACCAAATTGATCGATTTGGCCGCGGCCGAAACTGGACATTCGCAATTTGGGCGGTCAGCCGCCCCCGTCCCGTCCCGCCCCCCCGCGCGTTTCCCGCTGCCGCCTGCGTACAGCCCGTCGGTGTGACGCACGTCTCGGTGTGTGTGTGGTGCGCCTTGTTATTGTTGTTGTAGCATTTGCTACGTTCGCCGTTCGCGGTGCGCTGGTGTGCGAGCGAGCGAGGCGACAGTGTGTGCGTGTGTGTAAGGTATCGTTGGAATTAACAAAAAAGAAAAAAAAACAGAAAAGAAAAACAAGATTGGGGAAAAAACTGCCAAAAGCCGAGAAACAAAGCTAATCCCTAGCATCGCCAAGCTCAGTGGCAGACCAAGCCAACTGTTGCATGCCGAGGATTGGGGGGGAAATCCTGGCCAGCAGCCCCTCTACCCACAGAGGCTTCCAGGCACCTGGGAAGGCCCCGGGAAGGCCCCGGGTGCTCCACTGCGTCCGCATGTGGCGTTGGCGGCACTCCATCTCCAAACTGAGCCAAACTAACGCCGTGACCTCATCGCCGGAACCAGAACAACAGAGCTGCCTTCTCACTTACCACTAGCAATCCCCGAAAGCAGGTGAATATACTGTCTCCTTTATAACAACACACACACTTAAAAGCCTTTTTCCAGGAGCAGCAGCAGAGCAGCAGAGCAGCGGAGCAGCAGAGCATTTGCATGCCAGCTGGACTAGAACCCGTGACCAGCCGGCGCAGCATGGATGTGGAACGAAGGCGCCGGTGAGTGCTCGAGATGGCGGCCCAAAAGCGACTGCTCCACTCAGCTAATTGTCAGCACAGATACGTGCGATTTGTTCAACTTAGTAGCAGGCCAAAACAAATCAAAAGCTGGCCAACACAAACACCTTCCATATCTCATGTTCAAAGCGACAGCGCGGCAATCAAATTGACAAGCGAGTGAACAAAACAGGGGGGCGACTTTATAATAAATTTGCCATTTTCGCATTAAAATTTGTAAGCAAACCAAAAGCAAACTGAAAAGCAGCCGATGCTGTGGATGCTATGGATGCTGTGGATGCTGCAGCCGGTTGTCAGTCAGTTGCCAGTTGCAGGCGTCGCGTTGCATCGGCTGCATCAGCTGGATCGAATAATAATAAAGCCCTGGTTATTACCTGTATAGTTTTTAGGGCATGTGGCCATGGCTAATGCCCGCCGCCCTCCATTCGAGCGAGCCGGAACGGTACGTTGCTCTATAAATTCCGAAAATTCCCCAGTTGCACCTACCTTCCTGGCGAAAAACGCAATTCCCCGGCTTCAACTATGCATATAAATTCTTTAATTTTATTACCCATCCACTCGAATATCTGTTCTGTTCGCACATTCGTGCAAACGCCACTAACAAAGGCTAATGGCTAATTGCATTCTGCGCATTTGCTCATAAAAGCTTGCTTTCCTTTGTGTAATTCAAATTATTAAGGTGTTGAAAAGGGATTCTGAGAGATTCTGCAGCGCAGATCGCGAATTCAATGTGCAAAGTGTTCAATTTGTTAGCTCAACTTAACGTAAGACTGCCATTTGCTTTTCCAGATCAAATTTGGCGACGTTGTATAAATTAAATTGAAAATTATATTGTCTATAGGTGACGATAATGTTGTCGTCGTCGTTTGCCGTCGCTTGCCGCGGTTATTATGTATTATTATTGTTGTTGTTGTTAATAATTATGTTGTTGTTGCCATTGCCGCTTTGGCCAAATCGAAATCAACGGCAGCGGCAAAACGAAACGAAACTAAACGAAACGACGAAAATTCATCAGCAGCATTTTTGAAAATTCCACTTTCCCAAGTTGTTTGCGTTTGTTTGTGTTGCTTGGACGTTTTGTTTTTGGCTTTTCTGTCATGCCGTAAGTGGCGATGATGAAATCACAACAATTCAAACACCTTTTAGTATCAATTTTTAGCGCCGACTGTCATCGCAGTTCGCCTGAGCCTAGCGATCGGTTCGAAATTCGAAACTCCTCCACCTCCGAACTGAGTTTTGGGTTTTGAGTTTGGGGGCAGTACAAATATTTGCCTTTCTGTCAGAAATCTTAGTTACTCTACAGACAGGCAGTCAAAAAATGTAGGGAACAGCCTAGTTTATCCAAAAATCCCTCTTAATTTCCCTGCTCCTTTCCTTATAAGTATTTTAATTGTCCCACGGTCCAGTAATCTTGTATGCAAAAAATACCTATTCGATATAATTAATTCACCAAATGTACCATAACATCTCAATTGGATTCTTTTCCATTGATTTTTAGATTTTACTTGCGATGTTTTATTAATTTCCAAGTAAAAATTGTGATTTTTTGTAAGACAGGAACTTTGTTTATGTTTTTGAGATTAAAAAATTAATTTGTTTTAGATACCAAACTATTAAATTTATTTTGCTTACATTTAAGTAAGCCATAACTCAACATATCATAATAATAATAATATAACAAAATAATACATATAAGAAATGTGCATATTAAGAAGAAAAAAAAAGAGAACCCACACTTACTGATTAGAGAAATTAGCGTACTATGTTTAATATACTTTCATACTATATTTACGCAACATATGTATTGTATAAAAAAAACAAACAAAACAATTTTTTTGAATGAAATTTCATTCACTAAAAATGTGTTTGGTGATTAATGATAATTTTTTTTTGTTTCTGAATTATAAAATATTTTTTTTTATTTCATTCACAAATATCCAGCTTAAAACGCTTTATTTCCATGACATATTTAAGGTTTTGAGAAGCGGTAACTTATTTGATTTTAATATCTGGGTTACCACACACAATCCACTCTATCTTCTCTTGATTTTTCCTTGGCCACTGTGTGCTGTGTCCATATCTGTGTACATAAGTCTAGTTTTCAATGGGTGACAGCCTGAAGGTGGCCGCTGGTTCGCTTCCATTCCATTCATTCAAACAATGCAATGAAAAACAAAAACCAGAGTGCTCACCATCGTGGCAGCTCCCACTGCTCCTCAAGTGGGCCGTATCAACTGCATATGCATTCCTTCCACGTTTATCAAAGTCAACAGAGAGCAGGAGAACAGCAGAACAGCAGAGTGATAAAGTCAAGGCCTCCTCTTCCTCGCTGGTCTCCCCAAACATCCGGGCAGCCAGGTCATCAATGGAGAGCAGTGTTCTAAAAAAGATAAGGCATGTGCCGCCAATTTGTCTGCCACTGAGCTCAGCCAACCCGACCGCCAGATTGGGACGAATCTCCGGGGCATTCGGTGGCCACTGTCCACTGTCCACTCCGCTCTGACTCACCGCCACTCCAAGTCCAAGATCTGAAAACTGAAAACCCATAGCATTTCGACAGCTTGGCTGTCTCTGCGTTTTGTTTACATTGTCAGCGCACACAGTTGCGCTCATTTTGATAGCATTTTTGAAAGTGTCATTCAATTACGGCATTAGATATCCTAAATCTATATTATTATAAAAAATCTATAATATCCCTATTAAAACCTCTATTACTTAAAAATTAGGGCACTACATTTTTAAAAATCTATATTATTATAAAATTTTTTTTTTAAGGAATATACACAATATATTAAAATCTATATTATAAACATTTTAGGGCACTAAATTTATATAAATTCTATATCATTATACAAAAAATCTCTATTACTAAAAAAAAGAGCACTACATTTTCTAAAATCTGTATTATTATAAAAATATCTCTATTATATACTCTATTAAAATCTATATTATTAAAATAGATATTAATAATCATTATAAAAGCTGTTTAGATCACCGTAAAAATATAATATCTTTAGGTTCTTTTTTTAAGTAAAAAAATGTAGAAGCCTTATGCTTTACAGATCCTCTCATAATTCTAATACCCAATATTATAATGGCAAAATAAAACAGCGCATATGTTATCTGCTAGCAGCATGGCCAATTAAATTCGTTGAAGCAGGAATAATAACAAATCTTTCATGCAGACGATGTGCAAAGTTATTAATGCCATTACTGGGACCGCAGCTGTAGGTTTGGGAAGTGGGGGTACCGGGAAGTGGTGTTTATACGACCATGAGTAATCTGCGCACTTTTCCCCATAGTTCCTTCTCGCTTTTTTCCCCCGTTTTCTTTTTTTTTTTTTTTGTTTGTTTATGCGAGCGATTTGCATGACGACCAACGGAAGAACAGTTGAACAATCAAACACTCATCGAAAGTAAACAATGAACGAATATCGCGCAGATGATTAATTCGGCTGGCGGAGTACCTATAGTCTCCAATTTCTAGTTTGCTATTTAAACCTTTTAACTTTTTCCTTTTTCCCTTTATTTTAACAGGGCGAATACGCTCGAGCGCGAGATGCGCGATCCGACCAGCATCTGCAATGTGGACTGCCTGCTGGACACGGTGTCGGCCTTGGTCAGCGATTGCGACCACGACTCCCTGAGGCGGCTTAAGAACATCGAGCAGTATGCGGCCAAATGTGAGTTATCCATCTATCTATAAACCTGTATGAAATCCATCAATAACCGCTCTACTCCGTATTACAGATAAACCACTGGCCCTGCAGATCAACCAGCTGCGCATGAACGTCGAGGATTTCGACTTCATCAAGCTCATCGGCGCCGGCGCCTTCGGAGAGGTGCAGCTGGTGCGGCACAAGTCCTCCAGCCAGGTGTACGCGATGAAGCGGCTGTCCAAATTCGAGATGATGAAGCGCCCGGACTCCGCCTTCTTCTGGGAGGAGCGACACATCATGGCGCACGCCAACTCCGAGTGGATCGTCCAGCTTCACTTTGCCTTTCAGGTGAGAGCAGACAAATAACAGATTTTAATGGTTAAGTTAACCTAAGGTTAGTTAGACCCTAAGCTAGTTAAAATCGTTTTGATAAGCCGGCAAAGCTTTACTTTGCCCTTTAGGTGAGAGAGGAGAACAGAGAAATAACATATCCTAATGGTTAAGTTAACCTTAGGTTAGTTTAACCCTAAGCTAGTTAGAATTTGTTGCGATAAGCCGGCCAGCTTCACTTTGCCTTTCAGATGAGAGCAGAGAGCAGAGAAATAATATAACCAAATGGTTAAGTTAACCTTAGGTTAGTTTAACCCTAAGCTAGTTAGAATTTGTTTCGATAAGCCGGTTAGCTTCACTTTGCCTTTTTAGGTGGAGCAGAGAGCAGAGAAATAATATAGCCAAATGGTTAAGTTAACCTTAGGTTAGTTTAACCCTAAGCTAGTTAGAATTTGTCTTGATAAGCCGGCTAGTTTCACTTTGCCTTTCAGGTGAAAGCAGAGAGCAGAGAAATAATATAGCTTAATGGTTAAGTTACCCTAACCTTAGGTTAGTTTAACCCTAACCTTAGTTAGAATTTGTTTCGATCAGCCGGCCCTGCTGATGACTTCAAATCATTTCACCATCACTTTATATCTAGTAGCCCCAACAATACGTATTTATAGATTTGTGTCTGTAGAAAATATAATACAAAGCACCAAAACAGTCAAAAAACAAAACAACGCGTGGAATAGTTGAAGGATAAAGAAGAAAGTATAAAGGATAACCTAGCCATGCAGAATTTAATCAAGAGTCGTGCCCTCTTCGAGATCCTCAAGCACCCATTGCCGGATAATTACTTTGATAGCGACAGCGGCGAGGAGGAGATAGTGGAGTACCATGTGGTATTGCCTAGCGATTGGGATCTGCATCTGGCTGGACAGCCGAGTACAGTGAAGCTATGTGCCGATGCTCCCGAGTTCGTGCCGCGCTCCATGAAGATTCCAAAAGAGTTTACCCAAGATGAAGATGAAGATAAAGTGGACTTGACCGAAATTAAGCGAATGTTCGAGTCCTTGGATGAGCTCAAGATGATGGAGGCCAAGGCTCAAGATGAAGATAAAGACGAGAAGGTGGATTTGACTGAAATAAAGCGAAAGTTCGAGGCTCTGGATGAGCAAAAGGTGGCCAAGATGACGACAATGCCTTGGAAGGGATTCCCCAAAAGACAAGCGGAGAGAAGTAACAGAGTTTTTTAGTTCTCCATACATTTGTATGCCCTAATTACCCTCTCCCTTTGTAGCTGCTCGTAGTGCACAGGTGATTTTGTTAAACGATTCGGACTATATGATTGTTCCCCGCAACAAGGGAAAGAAAAAGTCGTCGAATATGGAGAACTTCCCGGGGGAGAATACCGCTGAGTACGAGGAGAATGTGGTTCCTTTTCCATCACATATCCTAGCCGATTTGCCGCCTGCCGACGAGAGGCTGACGAAGGCCCAGGAGAAGCGTCGCGAACAGGAACGAAAGGTGGCTTTGGAGGCCTTGAAGCTGGTTGAACAACGACGCATGCGAGGCCCTTTAGTTTCCAACCCGGATGAAGGCAAATCCGATAATCCCGAGAAACCCCAGCCGGTTGTGCATCTCTCTCGTTCGCCCATAAGATTTTCGCCGGAGGAACGGATCCAGGTGGATCGTTTGAGAGTCGCCAAGAGGGAGCGCATCGAGAAGGCCCTTCTGGAAATGGCCAATGAGAAGAAGAAGGAGCAGGCGGTGCTGTCCACCAAGAGATATATACCCACGGCCAAGGAATGGGACGAGCAACGTCGGGCCAAGCACTTGGCCCAAATGGAGGCCGACAAGGAGAATGTGAACTGCAATCGTCTGGCAAACGCCAGAGCCAAGCAGCCTGTAATGAAACCCAATGGGCAACCCAGCATGCCATCGAAATCTATTAAGAAAGGGGATCCTGGTGCTCCTGCCAAACAGCTCTATTGTCCACCGGGGGGCAAACTACTCAAAGACGAGAAACGCAAAGGAAATCTCACACACTACCAAACAACTCGCAAATGGAGCAGCCGTAAATGTAGCAAAGCTCCCATGAAGTTGGTTCAAAATCCAGATGGAACTGTCGTGAAACGCTACAGTATTGAAGAGCTGCTGCAATTTGAACCGCAGCCGGAGGATCTTGAAAAACCCCATGTCGATGAGGCCCTCAAGCGATTCGGATTTCTCATTTAATGACAATTTCCATGAGCTTTCTATTCTGTTTGTTTAGATTTTCTTAATTTCATTCGTTTCGATTTTGTTCCTTTTCAATTTGTTTATTTTTTGATTTCCCATTTCAAAAACCATTTATTATCCATGAGTTTTCATAGTACTTTGTATTATGTGCTTAGGCTGCAGATAAAATGTCATTCCAGAATGTACGTTTTAGTAAAATAAATCATTGTTAGTCTACTGTCGAACTGGAAATATTGTATTTTACCAGAAACAGGGTTTTTTTCAATAAGAGAATACTACCCTACATGCCTTTTCAAAGTTTAATTTCTAACTGATTTTATGGCTAGTCTACTTGTATTTATTATATGTGATCATGATGGTTTCCCTTTCCGTTTTTTAATTATTTGAATCCCTAATAGTCACTTTCAAATATTTAATTATTGCTTTTTTATCATGATTTCGTTTGGTTTATTATTATATTATTAATATTTTATGAATATTTTTTATTTTTTTCGTTTTTCAAGGAGTTTTTTAAACGCAGTTTGCCAAAGTGTTTACTTTTTCGGTTTTGTAGATATTTATTTGTTTTGTTTTTTTTTTGGCAAGTAACGAAATTACTTTGTAAATCTTAGTGTACCTATAATTACAATATTTTAGAAATGTATTTCTAAAAACATCAACAAATAGATTTAATATCTAGTTTAATATTAAGTATAAACTGTTTTAATAGTTATAATTTCGCTTTGAAAGCTTTAAAAGCCGTGAAATTGTGAGGCTTTAAGTATAATTATCAAAATAATATGGTTTAAATTCCCTAAACTCATCACTGAATTCCTCACTCCCTCTCTCTCTCTCTGCAGGATGCCAAATACTTGTACATGGTGATGGACTTCATGCCCGGCGGCGACATAGTGTCGCTGATGGGCGACTACGACATACCGGAGAAGTGGGCCATCTTCTACACGATGGAGGTGGTGCTGGCCCTGGACACCATTCACAACATGGGCTTCGTGCACCGCGACGTCAAGCCGGACAACATGCTGCTCGACAGCTATGGCCACCTGAAGCTGGCCGACTTCGGGACGTGCATGCGAATGGGCGCCAACGGGCAGGTGGTGTCCAGCAATGCGGTGGGCACGCCGGACTACATCAGCCCCGAGGTGCTGCAGTCGCAGGGCGTGGACAACGAGTACGGGCGCGAGTGCGACTGGTGGTCGGTGGGCATCTTCCTCTACGAGATGCTCTTCGGCGAGACGCCCTTCTATGCGGACTCCCTGGTCGGCACCTACGGCAAGATCATGGACCACAAGAACTCGCTCAGCTTCCCGCCCGAGGTGGAGATTAGCGAGCAGGCCAAGGCCCTGATACGCGCCTTCCTCACGGACCGAACGCAGCGCCTGGGACGCTACGGCATCGAGGACATCAAGGCGCATCCGTTCTTCCGCAACGACACCTGGTCGTTCGACAATATACGCGAGAGCGTGCCGCCCGTGGTGCCGGAGCTCTCGTCCGACGACGATACGCGCAACTTCGAGGACATCGAGCGGGACGAGAAGCCGGAGGAGGTGTTTCCCGTGCCCAAGGGCTTCGATGGCAACCACCTGCCCTTCATCGGCTTCACCTACACGGGCGACTACCAGCTGCTGTCCAGCGACACCGTGGACGCCGAGTCCAAGGAGGCCAGTGCGGCGGTGAACAGCAGCGGGGCGGCCAGTAACAATCACGGTCACGGTCACGGGCACAATCACCGCCACCGGCCGTCGAACTCCAACGAGCTGAAGCGCCTGGAGGCCCTGCTGGAGCGGGAGCGCGGCCGCTCGGAGGCCCTGGAGCAGCAGGACGCCGGTCTGCGGCAGCAGATCGAGCTGATAACGAAGCGCGAGGCGGAGCTGCAGCGCATCGCCTCCGAGTACGAGAAGGATCTGGCCTTGCGGCAGCACAACTACAAGGTGGCCATGCAGAAGGTCGAGCAGGAGATCGAGCTGCGCAAGAAGACCGAGGCGCTGCTCGTCGAGACGCAGCGCAATCTGGAGAACGAGCAGAAGACGCGGGCACGCGACCTGAACATCAACGACAAGGTCGTCTCGCTGGAGAAGCAGCTACTCGAGATGGAGCAGAGCTACAAGACGGAGACGGAGCAGACGCAGAGGCTGAAGAAGCACAACACCGAGCTGGACTTTACGGTCAAGTCGCAGGAGGAGAAGGTGCGCGACATGGTCGACATGATCGACACGCTGCAGAAGCACAAGGAGGAGCTGGGCCAGGAGAACGCCGAGCTGCAGTCGCTGGTGGTGCAGGAGAAGAATCTGCGCTCGCAGCTCAAGGAGCTGCACAAGGAGGCCGAGAACAAGATGCAGACGCTGATCAACGACATCGAGCGGACGCTGGGACGCGAGCAGAAGGCCCAGGAGGACAATCGGGCGCTGCTCGAGAAGATCAGCGATTTGGAGAAGGCCCATGCCGGCCTCGACTTCGAGCTGAAGGCCGCGCAGGGCCGCTACCAGCAGGAGGTGAAGGCCCACCAGGAGACGGAGAAGTCGCGACTGGTGTCGCGCGAGGAGGCCAATCTGCAGGAGGTCAAGGCGCTGCAGTCGAAGCTCAACGAGGAGAAGTCCGCCCGCATCAAGGCCGATCAGCATTCGCAGGAGAAGGAGCGCCAACTGAGCATGCTCTCAGTGGACTATCGCCAGATCCAGCTGCGCCTGCAGAAGCTCGAGGGCGAGTGCCGCCAGGAGTCGGAGAAGGTGGCCGCCCTGCAGTCGCAGCTCGACCAGGAGCACAGCAAGCGCAACGCCCTGCTCTCGGAGCTCAGCCTGCACAGCTCGGAGGTGGCCCACCTGCGATCCCGCGAGAACCAGCTGCAAAAGGAGCTGGGCGTGCAGCGCGAGGCGAAGCGGCGGTTCGAGGAGGACCTCGGCCAGCTGAAGGGCACCCATCACGAGGCGCTGGCCAATAACCGGGAGCTGCAGGCCCAACTCGAGGCCGAGCAGTGCTTCTCGCGGCTCTACAAGACGCAGGCGAACGAGAACCGCGAGGAGAGCGCCGAGCGGCTGGCCAAGATCGAGGACCTCGAGGAGGAGCGCGTCTCGCTCAAGCACCAGGTCCAGGTGGCCGTCGCCCGCGCCGATTCCGAGGCTCTGGCCCGCTCCATTGCCGAGGAGACGGTGGCCGATCTGGAGAAGGAGAAGACCATCAAGGAGCTCGAGCTGAAGGACTTTGTGATGAAGCACCGCAACGAGATCAACGCCAAGGAGGCCGCTTTGGCCACGCTCAAGGAGGCCGAGATCGAGCTGCACAAGAAGCTGGGCCAGAAGGGCGTCGAGTGCGAGGATCTGCTGCAGCAGCACAAGAAGCAGCAGGAGGAGCTGGCGCTGATGAGGAGCAGCAAGGACGAGGAGATAGCCAAGCTGCTGGACAAGTGCAAGCAGGAGGTTCTGCTCAAGCAGGTGGCGGTGAATAAGCTGGCCGAGGTGATGAACCGTCGCGACTCCGACCTGCCCAGTAAGTATCTGTATTTGTGGATCCCTGGCGCCTTAACTAATCCCCTGCTTTTCCTTACAGAGCAAAAGAGCAAGGCCCGCTCCACCGCCGAGCTGCGCAAGAAGGAGAAGGAGATGCGCCGGCTGCAGCAGGAGCTATCGCAGGAGCGCGACAAGTTCAACCAGCTGCTGCTCAAGCACCAGGACCTCCAGCAGCTGTGCGCCGAGGAGCAGCAGGTCAAGCAGAAGATGGTCATGGAGATCGACTGCAAGGCCACCGAGATCGAGCACCTGCAGAGCAAGCTCAACGAGACGGCGTCGCTCTCCTCGGCGGACAACGATCCCGAGGATAGCCAGGTGAGCATCCACATCCACACAAAGCTAAGAACACACGACACTCACCACTCACTCCACACTCCAACACATATGCTCCTCCCGCGCCGCCTCTTTAGCACTCCTCTCTGCTCTCCCTCACACAGGACTCGGTCTTCGAGGGCTGGCTGAGTGTGCCGAACAAGCAGAACCGGCGACGTGGTCACGGCTGGAAGCGGCAGTATGTCATCGTCTCGTCGCGCAAGATCATCTTCTACAACTCGGACATTGACAAGCACAACACCACCGATGCTGTGCTCATCCTGGATCTGAGGTGCGTTATTTTCAATATTTTTTAATAGTTATACACGTTTCTTGTAGAAGGAAGCGACCCTATAAAGTGTATATATTCTTGATCAGATCTCGGAAACTAAAAAAGCTAGAAAGTTGGTATTAACCACACATATTCTTGGGCTTTCGACGCACCGCAAGTTTGTTTCAGTTGAGCGCCACGCCCACTCTAACGCATTTAAGGACCTTTTTCTCACTTCTTTGAAGATTTTGAAAAAGTATAAATGCAATTTTGTTGTTTTAATTAATACCTGTCCAAATTTAGAAGAAATTTTTCAAATCGGACCATTTGTTAAAAAGTTATGAGAAAATAGTGGAATTCAAGCTCCATCTCTCTCGCACTTCCTTTGGCTGAGTAACGGGTATCTGATAGTCGAGTCTGTCTCTTGTTATACCCGTTACTCGTAGAGCAAAAAGGTAGTAGCAGGTAGAAGGAAGCGTTTTCTACCCTATAAAGTATATACATTTTTGATCAGATCTTGGAAACTACAAAAGCTAGAAAGTTGGCATTAACCATATATATTCTTGGGCTTCCGACGCACCGCAAGTTTGTTTCAGCAGAGCGCCACGCCCACTCTAACGCATTTAACGACCTTTTTTCAACATCTTTAAAGATTTCGAAAAAGTGTAAATTGCAATTTTGTTGTTTTTGTTAATACCTGTCCAAATGTTGAAGAAATTTTATTTTATTTTAATATTTATTTGTTATTTATTTATGCAGCAAGGTGTACCACGTTCGCAGCGTCACTCAGGGCGATGTTATACGCGCCGATGCCAAAGAGATTCCGCGCATCTTCCAGCTGCTGTACGCCGGCGAGGGTGCCTCCCATCGTCCCGACGAGCAGAGCCAGCTGGATGTGAGCGTTCTGCATGGGAATAGCAATGAGGAGCGCCCGGGCACTATTGTCCACAAAGGTGAGTTGGCTAGTTGAGTTAGTAACTTGAGGGAATCATTAATTTTTCTTTACCAAAAACAGGTCACGAGTTCGTCCACATAACCTACCACATGCCCACGGCCTGCGAGGTGTGCCCGAAGCCTTTGTGGCACATGTTCAAGCCGCCGGCGGCTTACGAATGCAAGAGGTTAGTTTTATATTTATACATATATATTTTTTTTATTAAGACCGCACAATCTTCTGCGTTTCAGATGCCGCAACAAGATTCACAAGGAGCATGTGGACAAGCACGACCCGCTGGCGCCCTGCAAGCTGAACCACGATCCCCGGAGCGCAAGGGACATGCTGCTGCTGGCCGCCACGTCCGAGGAGCAGTCGCTGTGGGTGGCGCGGCTGCTGAAGCGTATCCAAAAGAGTGGATACAAGGCCAACTCGTCGAACAACAACAGCAGCACCACCGATGGCAGCAAGATATCGCCCAGGTAAAACGAGGCCCAGGCGCCAGGATTAAGCCCTTGACGTTGCCAGGGAGTTAAGGAGTGTTTCGAAGCCCTAGTGGCAAACCCTACTAACTGATCTAAATTGTGAAATTGCGAATCCCCCAACGGCTTTTGTGTATCCCCCGTATCTGTATTGTGTGTCTCTAATCTCGATTGGTATTTCTCTTTCTCTCTCTCTCTCCCCGCCTCGCCCCCAAAAAAACCCAACTGTCGCTGCTAACCCGCCATCAACTCATCATGATCATGACCACTATATCATCCAACCTCATCATCTGTTCACTCATCGCCCGAACCTCGAATCGGCAGCCAATCGACGCGCTCCTCCTACAAGCCGTATGCGGTTAATGTGCAACGCTCCGCGACGCTGCCAGCCAATTCATCGCTGAAATGAACGCCCAACGATCCCAGATCCCAGATGGCAAACTGCAGCTGGAGCCGGGAGCCAGCCTCCTTCAGCCCCAACGAAACTAAATGCTATGCAAAACTGATACACCGATATATAGAGAGGAAAATAGCAAGAGAGAAAGAGCAGCTGCAACTTGAAGGGCAACTGCAACTACTATCTTAAATATACGCTCTAAACATACATGCTACATGCGCTAGTAATCTACAAATATTTTTTGAGTAATTTACAAGCTAAAACTAAACTACAACTAAACTGAAACTAAAACTAAAACGAAAACTTAAAACAAAAATACTAAATACTAAAAAACTGTATCTTAAAGAACATGTAAAGCCAATGCAACTCGTTTAACGCTTACCTAACATCAAACTGGATGGTGAGAAGGTCTACATAGAACATAAAACATAGAACACAAAAGTGGCAACGTCAGGCGGCTCAGAAGCGATGCACTTTGTTGTACTTTATATTCTATATAGTATATACATATAAATATAAATACGATATGGTATTGTACGACTTGCTATTGTATTCTGTCATCGCATTCAGCACAACGATGAGAGCTGTATTTAGTTAAGTGAATCCATATCCATGTCGCTGCAAAAGGTGATCCTTCACCTTTTCCCATATATCAAGGCCTTGTAAGAACGTTTTTTTTTTCACATATATATACCTATATACATACTGTTGTTGTTGTGTAGCGAATCAGATTGGCCAAACGTTGTTCTTAGTTGTAAAGAAACAGAGCTATACAATATATATTTGTAGAGATATATACTAGTATATATACTCCTCCAAGAGCATATCCTGTAAGCCAATTGCCAGCTAACAACAAACGAAAAGAATCGAGCAACCAACAAAAACCAGAACTAAGTTAAAGCCACTTTACAAAGCTTTAACTTGTATTCCATTTAATGAGCACTCTTTTTTACATAAATAGTATAGATTTACGTGTACAAGATGGAACGAATTGCGCGATGATATCGATAGAAGCGAATATCAATCAGTTACTTAAATAGCAAACGCGAAAGCAACTAAAAATACTGTCCTGTTTCGGTTTGCAGTTCCGATTCCGATTCCTAGTTGCCTTGGAGGCAAAACGAAAGTTAATTCTACAGTTTGTATTTTTTATTCTTAACGAACGGGGAACCGGAAACGGAAACGTAAACGAAACGGAATAGAGTGTCTCTAGCCATGGACAGAGCGAAACATGAATCGAAACTAAAACTAAAACTAAAAGTAAAAGTAAACTAAACTAAAGTCTAAAGTAAAGTAAAGTACACCTAACTATACAAAACGAAAGATGCGACACCACAGTGTTGTGTGCAAAAGGCTACATCTAAGTATTAAATATCCAATATGTTCTAGTTGTAAGCTAAGCAAATTATTTATTTATATCCCTGTTCGATGGCGCCATCTGGCGTTCGACAACAGAAACGGCAGCAGCAGCTTAGCACTCTCCAATTTGTTTGTATTTGATTTGTATTCCAGTAATGTTGATTTTACCTTACCTATCTATCTATGATTTCGAAGAACCCGTTTTGAGTTTTTATAATTTTATAATTTGAGTAGTGGTAGTTTGTTTTACAGAGTGTACAGAGTGAGAGGCGCCAGCGAATTGCATTTAAAAAGTAACGATAATAGCGATATATTTCCAAGTTTCGGGCCTTCTTCAAACATCGGTAGTCGGTTATTGTTAATCGCCAATCGCCTATCGATAGCCGCAAACGGCCGCAAAGTTCGGACTTGGGACTTTGAAATCGAAGCGCCGCTTTCATTTTTTACTTTGTATCTTATTTGCACTATTATTATGATCATTCGTATTACGTTTATGTTTAATTGTACTCTCTAGTTTAACCACGTTTGTAATTGCATTTGTCCTCGAATCTTATCGGCAGGCTTCCAAATGGAATTGCAAGCGTCAAGCAAATAAAACGATAATGTGTATAAAATCAGTATTCATTTGGTTTCCGTTGATCTTTGTTTTCATTTCATTTCCTTTGGTTTGGTTTGGTTATCCCTGTATATTGCATATTCCCCCCATATCATAGATCTTCTGGAGCAGCAACGATGAGACTGTCCAACTGCCTTAAAGGAAAACGGGAAAAATCGACAGGAATCGGAATCGGCAATTTATGGCCATATAGAACCTAACCTAGAAAAAGGTCTGATTTTGTAAAATGTAGTTTAAACTAGAGCTAAGCCCAACGGAAAGTCTGATCCAGTGCGAACTAAAGTGGTTGATGAAACATTGCATAAACTGCCTTTTATTTGGGTCCGTATCTATATCTCTATCTGCAACTTTATCGGGCGGCATTAATCTGGCCCCTAAATACGTGATGGGCATGAAAATATGCCGGAGTCATCAAGCCGGGGTCCATTAGCTCCATTTGCATGGCCATTTGCATTTGGATGGGATCTTAATGGAACTGGGATGGAAATGGAAATGGCAGCCATTGTCCCACTGCATATTTTATTAATATTTTTAACAAGTTTCTGGCTTATGCTTTGCAGCATTGTTTCTGTCTATCTCCCGATCTATGTTTCTCTCATTTTTATTTTACTGTACAGTGGAACTTACATAGCCTAAACTTCCCTAATTTATATATATATTTTTATACGTTACCGAAAATAGTTACTTTCTAAAAAATGGTTTAGCATAATGATTTGATAATTACAATAGTTAATATAATATAATTTTTACTATAATTGATTCAAGGAATTTACATTCGTCTTAATTTAAAACTCCAAAAGATATTTTTATAAACCTTAAAACTAAAAAAAAATGTACCTAAGCAAAAAAATGTTTCAGATAAAAGTATCTAAGTATTCAAAAGTTCTGATACTAACATTTATCATTTATCATTTACACGTAACTTAATAAACTTTTTAAAATTTTACCCGCACAGTGATGGCGGTTCGAGGTATGGAAGTTTAACTGTATTTATTTTTCATATTTTTTTTTTTGGCATTTTGGCTGACATTTTGTAGTTCAAGGTGAGTTGGCCAGTCCGCTGGAGCTCGGAGCTAATTAGTATGGCCCACAGCCAAGAAAAGAGCCGCCAAAAAATCAACACCTGGCCGCAGAACATCTGCAAGTGTTCAAAGCGATCGTTAGCTGGGTGTGGAAGATTAATTAGCGCCCATCATCGTTGTCACCCATTAAACGTCTGCAGTCGTCTGCAGTCACCCATCAAACGCCCCTCCCCGCCCCGCCCCACCCTTACTCCGCCCCTGATCAATCAGTTCAAGGCCGCGGCGAACCCACAAAATATGCATAAATATTTCTGGCTTTATCTTTATTTACAGCTTTTTAATTTTGTGCCATCCTATACCTTGAATTGGTTCAGGCCCTCTCGATTTCGAGATGGATTTCAGCTCTTAAGCCACTTAAATTAGTTCTATCCGAAATGCACTCAAAGGTTTTTCAAGAAAAATTAAAGAAATTGTTAATTTTTGTCTTAGTACAGAGATTATAAAAGAGGTTTTACGTTCCTCAAATATTTAGACCTTTTATCGTTTTATTATTGTCATACAAGAGGATAATCGTTCCTTTCCTTTTCAGAGCTTTCTTCAGAGAAATTAAAAGAACTTATTGTTTAGCTTGTTTCAACAACAAATTTATGGGCATTATAACTCTATAATAAAGTGAAGGATCATTAATATATCAACCAATTTTCAATAAAGTGGTGTTTTGTGTGAGGCCTTTGGGTTTACAATGTTGAGATAATTGGAGATAGAAGATATAACTTTAAGGGTATTCACATTTCGATGGCACTTGGAGATCGTCTGCTCCCTTACTTGGTTTTTGTGTGTTTCATTGGCGGATTTTGATTTTGAATCGTGAACCAAGAGATTTACATGCGGGACAGATGTGCCCTGTGTTTTTGGATGACGGGGCATCGGAGATGGGGCTTGGGTAGCTCTCGATCGGGATTTACCAGATCGGCAAAGAGCCGAAAACAACAATTGGCCTAAAATCAATAAATTAATTAATAAAATATACAAATTGCGAACGCTGCGTTGAGTTGGCTCCGCTCAGCTCGGATTGGATTGGCTTGACTTGGCTGTGGATTGGCTGTGGAGTGGATTGGGTTCGAAAAACCTGTCATAACCAGAGCCCAGGCCCGTGACAAATTGGCTTCGAAAAACCAGAAGTACTCCTGCACTCTCTGCCATAGCATAGATCGGTGCATGGGCACACAGCAAAAAAAGGCAGCATCAGATATTAAATAATTTGCATATTTAATAACATTTTGATATGTTAATAATGGTATCGAATGCTCTATTTCCAGAAAAAATGAAATATAAAAAAATAGGTATTAACAAAGTGTGCAACAAAACATTGGTTTTCAAATCCCCCCATAAACAAGTCCCAGGAGTTTTTTTTACTCCTGTTTGCCTTTTAAGGATCAACAAATATATATAACTGTTTTGAAGATCTTTGAATTTATATTTAAATTATTTTCAAAACTGAGAACTCTTCACCAAACTCTTACTTTATAATAAGTTATGCCGTAAATTCACAAATCATTAAACTAAAACTGTAGGTTAAGGTGAGTATTCCGAAAAGTGCCCTCAGCGAACCTCAAGAATTCGCGGGGTGATTTTCAATTATTTTTTTCTGTGCAGAGCTTTGAGCGAAGGCGGAGGAAGAGGAGGAGGTGGAGGAGGCGGTGGCCACGGGTTGGAGGTGCAGGCGGTTTGGCTAGGGCGGTCTGAACCTGTTGCTCGGCCGCTGCCGCAGTCTCCGTCGAAGCCTCCGTCGAAGTCTCCGTCGCTGCCACAAAATATTGGATGGCCGTAGGTTAACTGTGTGCACACGGCATAAGTAACGTTCAGTCTGCCTCTAGAAGTCGATCGTGATCGTGGCCAGTCAGTTCCGCTCGCTAGCACTAAAAGCCGTAGCCCTCCAAAAACCCCCCCTCCAAAAAAAGCATCTACAAAATACAAGTGTTTTTTTTCTAGTTTAAGTTTAAGACTCGCGCGCGCTCTTCGAGTTCTGTTTTTCTGTTGTTGGTCCCAAGCCCCCGCATAAAAACACACAAATATCAAGACAAAATGAAGTACTTCAACATGTGAGTGATCCGTAAATATATAAAACCCATTAATATGTTGTATTTTTTTTTTTTGGAAATATTGAAATATTATGTTGTGACTGTCAGAAGAGATGTTATATTTTTTTTTTGTGATTACTTAGAAACTGAAAAATCTGGAATATATATATTAATTTGCTGTAAAAACTTCCCTGGGGAATCATTTAAATAATATCTAATAATTTTCACTTGTTAAGGGGAAGTATTTTTCAATTCTTCAATTTCTCTGGGGTATCAGGGGAAATCTCTGAAATCTGAAATTGCAACTTAGTTGCCAACTGTCGAAATGAATTGGCAATCGGCTCGGTTGCATGCTGCAGGTTGACTTGCAACCTTTTTGGGGCACGACCACATGCAGGTGTAAGCTGTAAGCTGTAAGCTCGGCTTAATGCCAATTTGAACTTTAACACGCCGCAGCCGCCGCCGCCGCTCCAAACTGGAACTGGAAATGCCAAAGTTTGGTCATGACGATCATCACGATGATAACGATGAAGTGGCGACTGATGAAGCTGTCTTGGGGATGTGAGGCTGGCATTTTGCCGGCAAAGAAATGGCAAAAGTTAAAGCTTAAGCTGGGGATTGTGGCGAAGGAGAAGGGGGTGAATATAATTCAAGGTCGCCAGCTGATGCGGCTCCTCTTTCGGTGACTACCAACCTTCCCTCACCCGCCAACCCCTTGCTTTCCTGGACTTTCCGCAGCTGCAGCAAATTAAGTGTATTGGATTAATTACTGCGCTTGTCTTATAAATTAACGGTTGCATTTTTAATGCCAGCTGACAGACAGACAGACGAAAAGACCGACCGACCGACCGACCGCATATCTGCATGCATTTATCGCCGCATAAATGCAATACCACTCGGTTTTGGATCGGCTTTTGGTTTTGGTTTTGGTTCGGGTGTGTAACATATATATGTGTGTTAATCGCTGCGTTGTATGCGGGAATTAATCACCCAGAGATCGAGATCGAAACAAAAAAAAAAAAACGAGAGGTGGAGGAATCAGGATTTTCCATACATTTCGCATATTATGCAAGATGTATTTCAATTTCAATTTAAATTTAAATAAATAAAATATGCGGTGGATGCCTGTAAGATTCAACAGTCAACATCCAACATACAAGATTCAAGGACTTTGGCCATATGCTGCACTTCATAGGCCAAAGCGAATTCAATGCGAACGCCGAACGGCGAACAAAAACATAAACACCACTCTGGGCCAAATCAAAAGACTTAGGCAGCGAACTCGATCGATTTGGCATGCAGCCAGCGACAACAACAAACAGAAGGCAACTAAACAAAAAACCAAAACACGTACTTGGCCAACTAACAACGACACACAATGCACCGTTATTGAACCCACTTGCCTTAAGCCACTTGGCTCTTTTCGCCTTAATTTTAAAGCAGCTCTTTTCGAACCACTCCACTCCACTCCACTCCCCAAACTCCACCCAAATCAACCCAACTGGCTTCTGATCCAACGCGGCAGCAATAAAAGCAGTTACAATCAAATTGAATTCGAATTTGAATCCGATTCGGTGTCGAATGTGCACGTTTGGCCTGTAATAAGTGGCTACGGCTGCACATATGCCACAAGGGGGGCAAAGGGGGGTTGACGCGTAATGAGGGCGCCAGGGCAATTAGAAAACGTGCCCTGGATTAACTGGGGCAGGTGTCGCCTTTGAAGGTGTCGCCCTCAAGATCAACACTTTGGTTAACTCTATAACTGATATATCAGTTCGATTTACTTTCTAAAGCTGAGCTGCTTTTAGTTCAGATTTCGAAAAATTATAAATGCAATTTTGTTGTGCTTATTAATACCAATCGAAATGTAAAAGAAATTTTCCAAGTCGCACCATTCATTGAAAAGTTATTAGCAAATAATGGAATCTGATAGAACTGATAGAACTATAGCGTTCTCTCTTGTTTTTATTTTCACAAGAGTCTCTAAAAATATGGTAAAACATAATTTAAAATAATTACAACAATTTAAAAGCTCTTCTAAACATCAAAGTTAACTTTTCACAATATTCTAGAAACCATTTTCTTAAAGAGATTATTATGGATTAGTTTTTCAAAATTACTAAAATCATTGTTACATTTAAAATTCTTTGAAATTGCATTTTAATTATATTGATTAAAACAAAACAAAACTTCGTCCGAAAGACTTAATAAAAATTGATTTAAAAAATAAACATAAAATATCCATCGAACTTCCGGTATTGAAATTTGTTAAGTGCTTTTGCTTTTGCCGCATAAATTACTTTAGGCCATGGAAGTTCTTCTTCCATTTCCATATCCGCAGTAGGCCCAATGACGCCATCCCATTAAATCGAACTAAAAGCCAGAAAAACCGTGAGACAACAAAACTAAAAAATAAAATAAAATAAAGAACGAAGCCAAACAAAAGCGAAATGAAATGAAATAAATTAAAAGCCAAACCAATTTGTTGACCAAGCTCTTAAAGAGGATGACGATGATGATGATGATGAGGCTGCATTAAATAAGTGGTTCCGCCTGCCCCACGAAATTCTCGCCAACGCGATGCGATGCTTATCATAAATTCGCAACTAATGTCGGCTTATATAACCGGCAGAAACTGGCACTAAAGACGATTTACAAACAAGCCCACAAGCTAGAAATGTGCCGCCTGGTACCTGTGTACCTCCGTACCTGTGCCTGTGTCTACCTGTCCACCTAATGGTTGTGGGTGTGGACTTGGGACTGGGACTGCGACTGGGACTCCAATCTAGTGGGAAACCGGTTGCGAAGAAGCTCAGGCCGGGGCCCTAGTCAAATGTCATGCGCAGGCTTAGTGCCTAGAAACCAACGCTTGGAGACACTTATTTTTTTGGGAATTGAAATTAAATTGCACACTAGAAAAAAATATTCAGCTTGATAAATATAGTTTTACCATTTTAATATCACAATGTTCTTTATTGAATATTGTTCTCATTATTTAACTCATTTATTTCTCTCATTCCTTAATAAATAATTAGGAAAATACTTTTTTTTCATAACGCGAATTCTTAAGCTTCATTAATCTAAAATAATAGTTATTTTGTCCCAAATAATGAAATATAATATTTAATTTATGTATGTTTATATTCCATTAAAATGATTAAAATGATTTTTAAGCTTCATATAAATAGAACCATGACACCTGGAAAAATACAAAATTAAGAGCAAAAAGAAAACGCTTTTCTTTGTAAAAGAAAAGTGGGTAGACGACAATTGTTGAAGCGCCAAACGTGACGTATTATAAATGCAAGATTCAACCCCTTTTGGAAATATTTCTGGGCACGCCTCTGCCTCGGAGGCAATGAGTTCGGTGCAAAGGCTTTTTTTTGTAGAGCTGGGAAGTTGGAGATGCCAGGCACGCACCCACAAAATTGAGCCCACGCCTTTCACCTTTGTCGGTTGCATAATCGCCGCTTAACTGGGCCATCTATAGTAAAAATATCCATATATCCATAGCCAAGACGAGCCATCATCCAATCAGCTGACCCCAAAAGCAAATAAATCCCAAATCGGAGGGGAAGTGCAGCGCAGCAGAAAAATAATAAAATATATAAATAAAATAAAGTAAAATAAATGAACAACGGTGTTGGCTAAAAATAAAACTTGGCTTGCACATTTTACCGTTATTAGCCAACTGCAGTTGGCAGTGTGAGCGCGCACTTAAATTTATTCTGGCGTGGTGCTGGCTGCCAACTGGTTTCCCACTTGGTTTGTTGACTGCCTTTTGCATAAGCACCTGTTTCCTTTGGCCACTTGTCCCTCCCCTTCTCTATAAGCCACCCCCTTTCCAGCAGCAAAAACAACAATACTTGGACGTTGCCTAGGAAAGAATTTCAAAACGAGTTCGCTGCCTAAGTCTTTTGTTTTGCATAAAATATGAGCAATTGACTCACTAAAGCCGCCACCGTCGCCAGCGGCAAATCAAAAAGAAATATAGAAAAAAATCGAGAAAAAAAGGTTAAATAAAACACAAAAACAACATAGAAGCCAAGAAACAGAGCAACATTCATTCGCATTCGAATTTGGCATTAAGGCATTAAAGCATTCAGGCGAAATCCATATCCAAATCGAAATCGAAAGTGAACAAACCCGTTTGCCTGACCTTTACACATTAATATTTGTTAGCACATCTCCGTCCTCCGTCAGCGAGCGACATACAACATACAAATCTTACAGGAAAAATCCGAATCCGAATGGCAACTACTTTTTTTTTGTTTTGCTTAAGGTCCCATAAACAGTGGCTTCTGTTTTTCATAAATTATTCGCATTTAAAATACCAACTTTTATTGCCTTTTTATAAAGCGAAATCGTAAAGTTTTTTTTTTATAATGCCTAAATATTTTCATAGTTTAATCTGCGGTTTGATTAATTTTTATAATTATTTATTTTATTGTTTATATATATAACAATATATATTTTTATAGATTTAGTTAAGAGGATACTATTTCCCCTTTTTTTAAATTTATGGTAAATATATATATATCTATATTTGGTTTTTGTAATATACCAAGTTTCTCCCAGCATATCTCCACTGTATATATAGACGCGGGTAGCAATTTATGTACACAATATTTACGACTTCAGGTTCTGTATTGAATAACCCGTCCAACCAGACTGGGCTGATCGCTCAAGAGTTTGCTTCCAGATTGAAGTCACGAGGATTAGATGCGTGTTTGGACAACCTTGTCCCGGGGATTCAACAGGTCTCATACTTTCATCGAAAATCGAAAATGTATCCCTTTTTGGCTTTGGTTCATTCACTTAAAATCGGTGGATTACATTGTACATTTTTACTAATTGCCTCCAAAGTCTGGGCAAATCATGTTTTTCCAGTAAATTCTGATAATTAATGAAACATTGTTCGTTCAATTAACCAGAATTGATTTCTGTAAAATTTGAATATTTAATGTTGAATACTTGATCAATACTAGAAGGGGCGTTTATGGTTAAATGCTAATGCTGCAGCATTAAACTTTTCAAATAATAATGAGATTAACAAGATTTTTAAATTAATGCCTGGAAACCTTCAGACTAATTTCTTAAATATCCGATAATACCGGAAGTCTTTTGAAAATAATTAACACTTTAATTAGAGTGTGTGAAATCTCTTTAAAAGCTTTAGGAAATTAAGAAAAATATTTTAAAATAAATATTCGCTTACAGCAATTACACTTATACAATTTTGGAGTATTTAAATACATTTTTCAATATTTATTTATAATTTCACTATTGAAATGATTCATAAATTCCCTTGAAATGCTTGAGGAAAAGGTATTTAATATTTATAGGCAGACATAACAACATTTATAGTACCTATTAAAATATTTAAATATATATTTAAATATTCATTTATAATATTCCTATTAATTTCCCCGCACAGCTGCCTGCTCTTCATTGTCTGCGCCCTGTGCTACGGCCTGGTGTCCGCCCAGGAGGAGGGTAGTCCGGCCGTCTCGCCGGCGAAGAGGATCGCCGCCCTGCGCCGGCCCGTCGGCAAGGCGGCCAAGGTGACCACCACGACGACACCGGCGCCAGCTCAGGCGGATGCCGGCGGCGAGGGCGAGGAGTACGACGAGGAGGCCGGCGAGCATGGCGACCACGGCGAGGAGGGCGACGAGGCGGCCTTCGCCAGCTCCACCACCACCACCACCACGGAGGCGCCCAAGAAGGTCGGCCCGGTCATCCGGCCGTTCCGCTCCAACGACGACTTCCTCAACTCGCTGAAGCGCCGCCAGGCGAACGCCAAGAAGCATCGCGCCGAGAAGCCCCCCAGTCCCAGCAAGCCGGCCAAGAAGAGCGAGGAGTCCAACTCCGGCGAGCAGGAGGAGCCGGCCTCCGCGCCAGCACCCGCACCCGCCTCCAGTCCCGCCAAGGGCTACAAGGGCAATTCGGCATGTGAGTTGGGCAGGGATGGAGGGGCTTAGTCCTAGTCTACAGCACACCTACAAAGCGAGTTCAATCCTTTTCAATAGTTATTTTTTTATTGCAACATTTTCATATTTAACTTTCTTTTATTTTTTCATTTATTATTCCATTTTTGCTTTCTAAAGCTTAAAGTTAAGTTAAGTTTTTGTTTAATTTTCTTTAATTTCCGTTTTTGGAAATGCTCTTGATCCTAAGTATTTGCATAAATATAAAAATCCGTCGATTTATAAAGATTTTTGAGAATAAATTTAAGTCAAGTTATTTTTATGAAAACACCAGAAGATTTTTTTTTTAATTTTCCACCCAAAAAAATTAGTATTTTTAATGTAACAGAAGAACTAATAGCCATATGATGAATTGCCATACCTCGACGAACTCATATTCCCAATCGACTGTCATTTAAATCTGGAAATTTTAATTTTTGTCCATTTTTTTTACAAAAAATCATGATCCAAAAATCAAAAAATTGCCAAATTGTATATATTTTTACCTATATTATTAGCTGCACAAAACAGTCGTCCTTTTAACCTATTTTAACAGAATTAGGAAGAAAAAGCGAAGAAAAATTCCTGTTTTTGCCATAAATTCTTGATCCCAACATAAAACCATTTCTTGAAAAGCTGGATAACGTGTCAAATGAGTAATTTTAGCTAGAAACTTTATTTATAGTTCTAATGCGATAAATATGAAATTTTAATATTAATTATCATCTAACTTTATTTATAGAACATTTTTTTTCAAATGAGTTCTATACTAATGTATTATTTTTTTCTCCCCAGTGAGCCGTCGCAAGCTTTCGAAGCCCGCCAAGGCGACGCCCGTGGACGCGGTGGAGGATGCCGCCGCCGAGGAGTCGGAGCAGCAGCAGAAGGAGGAGACGAAGCCCAAGCGCCCCATCGGTCGTCTGGCCCTGCGGAAGCGCAACTAGGCGGGATTGGGACCAATCCAACTACCATTCCCCATGCCACAAATCCCAACTTTCTCTGCCCTTTCCTTCCTCGCCACCCCATCAAATCATATGGCTAGCTATGTGGCAGCCCGATCTGCCCTTTAGTTCTTAGTTCGCAATTGATTTTTTGTGTATGTAATATATTTGTAATTTTATGTTGTAAACAAAATCACACGCACACACGCAACACTCACTCAATCACGCCCACAACCACGACCACGCCCACAATCCAGAGCCAGCCCCCATCCTCCATGTCGGTGGTGAATACGCCTATATATTTCGCGAATATGTAGGCGGATATTTACACGGGCACAATTATGTATTCTTCACATCCATCAATCAATCAAACAATCAATCAACCAGTAATAAAAACAACAAAATCGAACATTGCATTTACTTCTATTCAATAATTTCAAGTTACTACGGAAGATCGCTTGAAGATATAATACTTTTTTCCTATATAACCCGCAATTTGAATGTTACTAAGGATTTGATAATAAAACCTGTGAATTAGTTATTAGTTCCATATCAATCGAACAAATACTTTAGTCACAGTACTAAAAATTTATTATTACTCAGTAATTAAAACAACAAAATCGAACATTTTTGCATTTAGGTTTATTCATTAATTAATAATTACACGGGTTAAATCAAAAAACAGAACAAAGAATGTAAGCTAAAAGATTTAAAATATTTTCGAAATCGGGAATGTGTTTAAATATATTTAAATGTCTGGAGAGGAGAGTTGGCATTTCATGCATTAACGTGGCCAATGGTGTAAATGTTTTTTAAAAATATATGTCCAAAAAGATGTAATATGCTTCTCCATCCATCTCTTTCTCCTTCTTTCTCTTTCGTTTTGCGGCGTTTTCACGCTTCCGTCTCTTTTCGATTCGATTCACACCTTCGTTGTTTCGCTTTGCTTAGGTTTTAGGTTTTGTTTTTATAAAAAATATATGTGTATATATATATATATGTATAGTTCTTTAACATTATATCTCTTAGCGTATATGTATATATTCGAACAATGTTTATGGGCTTGTTAAAAAAAATCAAACACACGCACACACAAATTAATATTGACAAGAGGGGAGAGAGCAAAATGCTGAAGTTATTATATATATATAAATGATGATCCTCGGCCAGATAAATGCTATATCGATTTCTGAACTCGATCTCTGTTTTTCTGTTTTTGAGGCGGGTGAAAGGCACATTGCATTCTCTTCCGGAACGTATGTAAGTGGTAGTGTGATAGAATTAGTGGCTAAAATGCGGGTGTGCTGGGCTTAAATGACTTTACAACGTTTCGAGGGATTTTCGGGTATATAAGTACAGTTGCCAAACTGAATGTTAATACTAGAATTTGATAATGATGGTTGGGTTGGCCCATTCTATGGATGGTGTCGCGCATTGCGCATCAGCGGCACCAGCAGCGACGGCGGCCCCGCCTGCCGCAGGAAGGGATGGGCCAGCAGCTCGGCGGCCGTCGCTCGCTGCGCCGGATCCCGCACCAGCATCCGGTCGAGGAAGGACTGCAGGCGCGGCGAGACCTTGTGGGCGTTCTTCAGGTTCGGCGGCTGCATGTCCCGGATGCGGCGCATCGCCTGCAGCGGCGGCTCGTTGAAGAACGGCGGCTCGCCGTCCACCATCTCGATGACCATGATGCCCAGCGACCAGATGTCCACCTCGGGGCCATAGGGCAGGCGTGAAATGACCTCCGGCGACATCCAATATGGCGTGCCCACCAGACTCTTGCGCTTCGGCAGCTCCTGGGACACCTGGGCGCAGAATCCAAAGTCCGACAGCTTCACCCGTCCATCGGCGGCCAGCAGTATGGAGTCCGACTTGATGTCGCGATGGATGACGCCCTGTTCGAGGGCAGCGGAAGCATCGGGAAGAGACGGAGAGAAGGGAAATTAGTTAAAACAGTGCTCACAGTTTGCGGTTTTCACCCACCCTTTCTCCCAGACACTTATCGCATTACACGAGCCAACGTGGGACAAAAAAAAAGAAGAGTGCACACAAAAGAAACCAGCTCAACCCTGTGACGCCCGAAAAGAATTCCCTGCTCATGGGAACTCGAGTGTTCGCGTTCCCGTTTCCGTTCCCCTTGCGTGAAAAACTACACCTAACTGGTTCTAACTGTAATTTAAACCAAATAGATCTCTAGTTTTGAGCCATTTTGGGTGATCTAGTTGTAGGATTGATGGTAATATAATAATTTATAACAATATTAATAAGTATGTCGCCTTTAAAATTGATAGTTATTATGTTTATCATACCTTTAAAATTTGTAAAGTTAAGGTTTAGAGCAAATAGCGAATATATATCATTATAAAAATGAAAACATAAATCAATCTTGCGTGAAAACTACACCTAACTGGTTCTAACTGTAATTTAAACCAAATAGATCTCTAGTTTTGTGCCATTTTGGGTGATCTAGTTGTAGGATTGATGGTAATACAAGAATAAATCATAATTAAAATAAGTATGTTGCCTTTAAAATGCCAAATTATTGTGTTTATCATACCTACACCTTTTTTAAAGTTGAGGTTTAGAGCAAATAGCAAATATATATCATTATAAAAATGAAAACATAAGTGTAATAAATCTATATTTTCAATTTTAGTTGTTCTAGTTATCTGATTGATAGCAATATAATAATAAATCATAATTAAAATAATTTATATGTATAAATTTTGTAAAGATGAGGTTTAGAGCAAATAACAAATATATATCATTATAAAAATGTTGGTTGTTCTAGTTATTGGATTGATAATAATATGGAAATAAATAATAATTAAATTTGAAATATCACAAATTCTGGCCTTAAAAATGACAAATTGTTATGTTTTAGATCAAATAAAATCAGTGTAGAACTGAAATCTAGCTTTTAAAGAAACTAGTTCTTGAGAAATTCCAACTTCCTAACTTCGTAAACACCATTAAAAAGCCCTCTTCGCTTTGCCAACCAAATTGTTTTGGGGTAGGGCATGCACGTGCGATTTCACCCGGCACTTTGGTCGTGCCACACAGGCAATTGCCCCACTGTGCCTGCCTGCTGGCCGACGACTTTTGTCGGTGACAACATTTAGAAATTGAAACCAAAGCCACGCGAAAGCGGAGGGCGAAGAAAGCGCCGCAAATGGCAAGCCGATGGCACAAAGTACATGCCCAGTTTGGCCAGACAATGAAGTGAATAAGAAGCCAGCAGAATGGAGAAGGGAAATGCTGGTCACGCACCTGTGAGTGCAAATAGGCCAGAGCCTTCAAGCACTGCTTGCAGACGGTGGCTATCTGCTCCTCGTCCATCCGCGAATGGGTGACAATGTCGGTGAGGGCGCCGCCCTCGAGGTACTCCATCACCACCCACAGCTCGTCGTTGACCAGAAAGCTGGAGTATGTCTCCACGATATTGGGATGATGGTAGTCGCGCATGATGACCACCTCGTTGAAGAGCAGCTCGCGTCGCTGCTGTTTGCGCAGGTCCATCTTTTTGACGGCCACCTGGCGACCTGAAAGCGAGAAAGAAACCAATGGCCGTTAATTTAATTTCCAGAGGGGATTTTCCTATTTATTTCTATATTCCTAACCTGTCGACTTGTCCGTGGCAATGCACACAGTGCCCGTGGAGCCCTCGCCAATCTTATTGAAGTGGTCGAGATTCTCGCGCGGATCTCCCGCCGAGACGACCATCTGGAGGGCAGCACGGAACTGTTCGTGGGTGAGTCGCTGGTCCTGCTTTGGCTGCCCGGCCGCCTGCTGGGCCGCACTGCTGGCTCCTCCACTGGAACTGGAGGCCCGCGAGGCCGACTTGGCCAGGTGCTGGTGGGGATGCGGATGCGGATGCGTGTGCGGCGGATGGGCATGTGGATGCAGGGGGTTTTGGTTCTGATCGCCGCCCTGTTTGGCCTGCTGCTGCTGCTGCTGCTGATGGTTTGTGGGATACATGGGAGGATAGCTGTTGCCATTGTTCGTGTGCGAGTGATTGGATCGCGTGCCGCTGGCCACCGAGCCCACCGGCGAAGTCTGCTGGGGAATGGAGCCACCGCCACCGCCGCCGGTTGGCGGAATGGCCAGATTGCTGCGGTACTGCTGCTGATCCGTGCGCACGGCCAGCGGTCCAGTGGCTCCATTGGCCTGCGCATGCTGACTGTTGTAGAGCAGCGGCTTGAAGCCACCGCCTCCTGATCCTCCGGCCGTGGGAGGAGCCTCCTCCTCCGGCACCGAAGGCGGCACATTGGCCACCCGGCGCACTCGCGGCGGACTGGAGCTCCTCAGCGAATTGGACCTGGCCACATGCGAGGTCTTGGGCAGGATTATCCCACCGCCGCCGCCGCCCGCTTCCGGTGGCATCATCATGCCGCCGCCGCCGCCGACTCCTTGGCCCATCAGGGGATGCGAACCGGGATGATTCAGCGGTGCGCCGCCCATCATCATGGTGCTGCTGCTGTTCAGCGACGTGGTGTCCGCCTTGTTGTTGTTGTGATGCGGACGCACGATCGTCTTGAGGTCCAGGATCTCGGTGGGCGTGATCTCCGAGGGATCGACGAGCGGCAGCGGGCGGTTGGAGGACTTGAGGATCTGGTTGTTGCCCACAATGGAGGCCCACTGTAGGGGCAGGCCCACATATTTGTTCTCCCTCTTATCGAAGCCCGTGTGCACGCGATGCTCAAAGTTGCTGGGCATCGAGATCAGCGGTTTCTTTTTCTTCTTCGAGAACATCTTTTTCCCGTTTCCCTGCTCCAAATTTGCGCCCTTTTCTTCAGCTGCTGCTGCTGCTGCTTCTTCTTCTTGCTCTTTCTTCCTTTTTATTTATTTTTTTTTTGTTGCGTTGCCCGTCGAGGGGAAAATGCACAAACAACAAACGATGGCAACGGCAACTCCAGCAGCAACAACAACAACAAAAACAGTAAAACAAAAAACAACAACTTCTCTTCCCGATCCGATCCGATCTCACTCGCACACACACTTGCACGGACACGGGCGGGCACGCACACACACACACATAGCAGCAGCGGACGCGACTGGGAAACTGCGATTGGTTTCGGTTTCGGTTTTGGTTTTGGCTTGTCCAAATCGAAAATCCGCCACCGATTTGCCAGTCGTCGCTCCTCGGGTCAGCACATATCGCAGGAGCGGCACGGCACAAGCAATTCGGAGAGCGAAAAATAATATAAACTTGGGGAAATAATTGCCGATGCCAGAAATAGTGGTGGTGTTTACCGTGACAACTAGCGATGGCACGGCAATCGATGGCGACTGTTCGCGGCTATCGGTTATCGGCTGTTGGCCGGCCCGTGTGAACGCTTAACGGTCAAGGTGAGTTTCCCTGTGGTCAATTGGCTTTTTAAATTGGACTAACTACCTGTAACGAATAAATCCATTTTCTTGCGATTTTTCCTTATATTATTTTCATTTACCCCCAAAGCAAAATACAGGGCTTAAATTATCATACCGCATATATTTACTTATTTACATTATGATACCTTTTCTCTCAACATTAAGACTTCTGATTTCCATTTCTGTTATCGACTTAAACATGATCAATTTAAAATTAAAATAATATATTCAATGTTTTTTTTTTGTTTATGAATATATGTATACAAAAAACATGCATATAATCGTAACTATTTTCGCTCTCCTTCCGCATCTTTGCCACCCGTCTGTCTGTCTCTCTCTATTCCCACAATCTTATCTGTTATCTGTTAGCTATAGGTTTTGTTTGTTTACGTTGCTAGATAGTTGTTGTTGTTGTTGCTGTTGCTTGCTTTAATTTGTTGGCCTTCCACCTTGGCTGCTGCAGGACTCCTTTTCGTCCTTTCAACGCTGGACAGGCAACACAAGGGTCGTATGATTGGTATATAAATCTAAAATCTAAAATTTAAAATCTAAAATCAATAACAAAAACTAAGACTTAATGCAATCGTACAACTCCTTCTATTTCTCTGGCTGCAACCTTCTTATCTTCTCATCTAGCCAGCTCATCGGCCGATCGATCACTCTGCGTTCGAAAATTGTCTAAACAGATGATTTCACTTTAATATATGTTTTTATATATATATATCATGTAGTTTACGTTTTTTGCGCTATTACTTTCTTTCGCATCTGTTGCAGCAGCTTTAGCTTAATCGCTTCTTTACAATTTCACAAAATAATTATTACATAATTATCGGTAGTATTATAGCATTATAATCAACAAAAATTAATTTAAAAAAATTATATATAATATATTAATCTTTAAGTGTAGACACACGATTGGGTGCGGGCCTTTTTGGGGCGCCTCCAGTAGCCCCAAGTGCGTGAACAAACCAACAAGATATATATAATTTGTAATCATGTATGTGTATATGTAGTGTGCGGCATCCTATATCCTCCTTGTGGTCCTCCGCTCCTTTTTCCTTTTTCCTCTTTTCGCAGGTTGCGCAGGTTGGGTTTTATCCTGGTTTCTGAGTCTCATTCGCCGGAACGTCGCCGTTGCTGCGCCGCACCAGCTTGTAGCGGCTCCTGAGCACGTGTACATATCCAGATCCTGCTCCTCCCGTTTGGTTGTGGCTGTGGTTGTCCTCCTGGTTGACTTGGTCGCGTGTCGGCCGGTGCCGTCTGTATGGATATGGTGGGGCTGCTCCCGTTTCCCATCCTCTGATCCTGGAAGAGTCTGCTCCTGCGGCCTCAGCTTCCGCGCTGCCGTTGCGAACAAAGCGGTACTTGTTGCCACGCTGATACTGATCATTCGGTGGCCGGCGACTACGTTTCTGGACCGGTCTCTTGATCCTGCTGTTGCTGTTGCTGTCATACTCCTCCGCTGCTGCTCCTCCGCCTCCGCCTCCTCCTCCTGGCAGCACCCCCCATCCTAAGCCTAATCCGATGGCGGCCTCAGCAGATGCATTTGCTATCTCGACGGCCGACTGCGATGCCATTTCTACCGGGGCGGCAGGCGGCGCACGGGAGTCCGGATCTTGCGACGAGCCATCTGAGAATTCTGCGCCGAATTGCCAGCGGCTGGCGGATTGAAGCTGCGGATAAATAGAGGATTAGTTTCATAGTTTCAAGCATCGATTTTTCGAGACATCTGCGGGCGGCTGTTGCGGAGCGAGCGTATTTATTTTCTTTCAAGTCTTCACACAACCGCAAAATACTAAAACAAAAATCATTAATCAAAGGAAATAAATAGATTATGGCAACGAAATGGCAAGTGCTCTGTGGACAAAACGAAACAATGGAACACACAAATAAGACAAACACAAACTGTAGTGGAACATGACAATCAAAGGGTCACGGAATATCGAAAATCGTATATCCTATTTGGATAGACATATATGTAACATTACAGTACAATGCATTCCTATTCCATGGTGGGAAAATGGATGCGATAGGAATATTTCAAGGCAAGATGAAATATACAAATCAATTTTAACTATGTGGCGGCTAATCCCCAGTTCTGAAAAAAATGATATAGGTATACTTTTTCCGTAGTGCTTTTCAATGAACTGTCCAAATCATATGGTGTATTATTTTCTTATGAAAATGCAATGTTAACGTTAACTAATATGTAATTTATACAATTCTGATAGTGGGTTATGGTTGATAATACATGAACCCATAACATGAATTAAATAGAAATTCACCAAAAATCTTGTTGACTTTTGAATGGGAATGTATCTGTGAGATCTTTTAAAATTAAATTTGATGGAATGTGATACATACATATCGAGCTTTTGGCAATATTATGCTTTATTTCTAGACAATTTTATCATCGACCCATCCTCTTATTACATTTAATTTGTCGGATTTCAATCTAGGTTAACATAAACTTGCACACAAAAAAAAAAATTGATTTATTTTTTAAACTATTTTCTCAAATTCCCACTAAAAATGGAATTACATGTAGCATTAATCTTGTAGATTTCATAGATTTTATACCATAGATTTCATCTTCCCTTTTTTTCACTGTAACTTGTAACTGTAACTGTAACTAAACAAAGACAAAACAATGGAAGCGCACAAAAAACAAATGCCTTAAAAATTAGTTAAACATAAATGCAATTATAACGGTTAATAATGCAGCTGTGTGTGTGTTTGTTGTGTGTATGCTAAATAAAAGACGTGTGTGCGTGTGGAGTCAGATTGTTTGATTGTGTTGATAAATTGACCAATTTTAAATTGAGAAAAAGGGGAGACGGCAAAAAAAAAAATAGATGCGTGATCATCTCCTTCTCCCTTGCCCGCTGTGTGTTCTGTCTCGCTCGCACCCATCCGTGGGGGCGGGAGGGGGATGGGTTTAGCCGCCCGCCAACGAATCAGAATCATCCGTCTCTGTCTTACTTACGCAAATATATTGGCTGGCGCTGGGGAACCGGCGCTAAATTGGAACGGTGCATTGGCATTCGGCGTTGACTGCAAGAAGAATATTTTTGGTTTGTTTTCCTTGTTAAGTTTGTTTTGTTTGGCAAGTATTTTTTTCATAAGCGACGACGCTTCACGATGATGGTTGGTGGTTTTTTTTGTTATTTACAAATAAAGAGTCTTAATTACTCTGGATCGAGTGCAAAAAGGAAAAAGGAATGAAATGGCTACATGAAAAGTGACAGCTGGTTTGCATCTGTGTGCGTGTGTGTCTGTGTGTGGGGGGTGAGGGGGCGCTGTGCGGTGCATGTGTGAGTGCTTGTCAAAATATTACAGTAAAAAGCATGCCAAACTACACCTAAAACAATTGACACATCAAACACAAACTAATTTAATTTTATTCTAAATATAATTGTAATTAGGAAAAAAATTTGACAAGCCCTGCGACACGTGCACTCTTTGGTTCAAGTTCAAGATCTACGGAAATACGGTTAAACTAAGCATGCGATTAAAGATATTGCTAGGGCTAAATGGAGCATGATGAGAAAAGCACGATATAAATGATATATTTATGATTTTATGACCGGGGACTGTCAAAGAAGTAAGTATTTTTTACAACATTTTAAGATCTTAAGATCATAAGTAAGATCACAAATAAATTAAAATCTAGTCAGATATCTTTGACAATCCCCTTGTGGTACGTTTAAATGCATATGGTGGTCGAGATTAGCAATCGGGGGGGAAAATAGTTTCAATCGAGTCGACGGATCTCTCTCGATATTGACCATCTCTTCGCATTACCTGCATCTGCGGCGCCGCGGCGGCGGTAAAATTGAATATGGGCATACCGCCGGAGGTGGAGTTGTTGTTGGCACCTCCCGCTCCACTAGCCTGGCTATCAACCACCGCTAATGGATTTCCAAATTGGAAGATGCGCGGCTGCGACTGCGACTGCGAGTGCGTTTCGATTCGGATTGGGATTCACACATTCAGATTCAGATCCATTCGATTCAAGTTCATTTAGTGGGTTTGTTCATTCGGTTCATTGGGTTCATTTTCATATTCATTTAGTGGGTGGTTCGTAATCATAATCGTGGTAATCATAGGTGGTAGTAAGATGGATGGTAGTAAAGTTGGTTCGTGCCCGTGCCCACATAGGTTTTCAGTTTTTTTTTTTTTTTTTTCAGTACAGTACAGAAAGTTGCGTAGTTAAGGAGTAGTATACATAAATTACATGGTATACGACAATTTTTCAACAGTAACAACACGTACGATCGTTTGTGTGTAGAAAGGGTTGTGGAAAAAGATAAAGATAAAAAAAGAAAAGGAGAGAAGAATACAAATAAATATATAGATATATATATATGTATATAAGTTGGGAGTTAAAATCAATACATAGTTCTAAATCAATGTGATCGGTCAGAAGTGTTAGGAGGATCGTTCGATTGATAAGCGCAATGTTATCATCGCTATAACAGGAGTGGGCGCATGCAAATCGAAATCAAAAGGACAGCTACGACTACAAACAACCGCAAACAAATTGCTGCATGGATGAAGGTGAGAGATTGCTTATCACACATCGATCACCTCTTGGTTTTATTGCAATACTTTGTAAGTGGAGGTCAGGTCAGGTAGTTGGATGGGTGGTGAACTACTTTCAATTGCAAACTTTCAATGCAATCGTCTACTTACATCGCCGCCGGACAGACTGGTGGCCGCCGGATTGGCCGAGAAGTTGAAGGTGGCCGCCTGAGGAGTCGAGCTCGCCGCGGAGCCCGTAAAGTTGAACGCAGGCTTGACCGCCGGCTCATTGGTGGTGCTTCCAAACTTGAATGGTGCACTCGAGGGCTGCTTAAAGGCAAAGAGAAAATAATTATTAAAAGGTTCTTCCATATTCCATAGCTAATAGAGCCCTGCGTAAATCATTCAATTTTTGTTTTATCATTGTATGCCATTAAATCTCTGAATTGTTTAATTCAATTCTATGTGAAATAAATTGAATGTTTTTCTAATTCATTTCAAATTGAATTAGAATCATTAAATTTTCATTCAATTTTTTTTTATCATAGTATTCCATTAAATTTCTGATTTGTTTAATTCAATTCTATGTGAAATAAATTGAATGTTTTTCTAACTTATTTCGAATTGAATGAATGAATGAATAATTTTTATGAATTTTTTGATTTTTGTTGCGCTTTCTTTTGAGAACAAAAAGTGGAAAATGTTTAACAAATCAATGTTAACTGCTTAGAAAATAAAATTCATGCAGATTCAATCACAAAATAATGGCTCTTTCTTCTTCAAAAGAAATTGTCGTTTGCATTACTTCGAAATTCATGCCATTCATTCATTCAATTCTATTAAACTCGAAATTCTAATGAATTCATTCACATAAAACCAAAAAATGCTAAATAATTCATTGAATCCAATTACGAAGGCCTCTAATAGCTAACTATACTCACAGCTGGCGCGGCTGCGGCTCCTCCGCCAAAGTTAAATGCTAGCTTCGATCCCGGGCCCGCTGTTGCGGCCGATGTGGCAGCTGCAGCTGCAGCTGCTCCGAATCCTCCGCTCGTATTGCTGCTGCCGCTGCCAAAAACAGGCGCTGCCGCCGCAATGGGCGTCGGATGGCCAAAGATATTGGCCAGCGGAGCAGCGGTCGAGGCGGCCGAGGCAGAGGTAGCCGGCGTGGCGGCTCCAGGTGCTCCAGATGAGGCAACCAGTGAGTTGCCCACATGGCCAAAGACCCCGGCGAGGGCTCCGTTGCCACCCAAACTAGCTGCCGGTGTGGCCGCCGCCGCCGTTGTCGCCGTCGCTGTCGATCCAAAAGGTGAGCTACTGGTGGTGCTGATGGTACTGCTGCTGCTAGTAGCTCCAAACATGGGACTGCTGCCAAAGACCGGCGTGGCCATTGTGGAGGCCGACGAGGATGACACCGCCGCACTGGTGATCTTAGCCGCCGCCGCGGCTCCATTGCTTGACCAGCCGAAGCTGGGCGTGCTCGTCGTCGTTCCGGATCCAAAGGTGAATGCCTTCGTTGCGCTGCTGCTGCTGCCGCTGGTCGTCGTCTCCGTCGTGGTTGTCTTCTTCTCACCCCAGTTGCCAAAGAGCTGCGGGGTTGAGGCGGCCGTGCTGGTGGTGGTTACACTTAAGCTGGAACTGCTAGTGCTCGCCACTGTTGATCCAAAGATTGAGCTCACGCTGGCTGGCGTTGCTGGCGTCGCGGCTGCCGCTGGTGTCTGGCCAAAGAAGAAGGTTCCAGCGGACGACGTCTTCGGCTGACTTGCACTTGCACTTGTTCCAAAGCTAAAGTTGGCAGCTGGAGCAGGTGCAGCTTGAGATGGAGTTACTGCCGGTGCTAAGGCAAAGGCTGTCGTCGAGGAGGCTGTCGTCGTTGTTGTAATGGCATTCGAGGAGACACCAAAGCTGCTGCTGCTGCTGCTGCTGCTGCTGACTGCACTGCCGGCTCCCGAGAAGCTAAACATGGGCTTGACAGCCGTGCTGGCCGTGGAACTGGACACAGTCGAGGATGAAGATGGAGCGCCAAAGCTAAAGGCTGCCAAAGCAGGAGCAGTGGTGCTACTGCTACTGCTGCTGGTGGTTGTGGTAGTGATTGAGGTGGCCGTGGTTGCAGTGGTTGCCGTAGTTGGTGCTTTGAATACAAACTGAAGGGCTGGTGCAGCTGCAGCTGGAGTTTTAGTCTCTGTATCCTTTGTATCCGCCTTGAAGCTCACCGTCTTGGGCTGATCCACTTTGCCAACGCCGAACGCAAAAGTCTTTGTGGCTTCCGTCGTCGCCTTCTTACTGTCGGCCACATCCTTGCCCACACTGCTGCCCCCAAAGCCGAAGCTAAACTGGGAAGGAGCAGCTGCTGGAGCAGCCGGAGTCTGTTCCGCAGCTGGCTGCTTGACCACCTCCTTGACCGTCGCAAAGCCAAAGCTAAATTTGGGCACCGAACTGGCGCTACTGTCGGAGGAGGAAATCGAGATCACGGAGGACGTGGAGGCGGGGCTGGCTGCTCCCGGCTTCAGTTGCTCACAGCAGATGCACTTGACGCGCGACATATCGTTCTGGGCCATGCAAGCATCGCAGTCCCAACTGGCTGCCTTTTGGGCTGCCACCAGCTGCTTGAATCCAGCATCCTGCTTGGGCGTCTCCGTTGCAGCTGCTGATGCTGATCTTCCTGGGGAGGATGCACCCGAGGCTGAGCTGCTCGACGAAGAGGATGAACCCGAGGATGAGCCCGAGGATGAGCCAGAAGATGATCCCGAGGAGGATGACGAGGAGGAGGACGATGTAGTTGGGCTACGGGCGCCTTTGGCTTGCGAATTTGGCTTGGGCGACTGGCAGGCCACGCACTCGGCGGCACTGGACTTGTTCATCACCAGGCACACCTGGCACTCCCACGTATCCGCCTTTGGCTTGAAGGCCATACCAAAACCGGAAACTCCACCCGAATTGTTTATCATCAGCGGAAAGTTGTTCACCTTCGGAGCCGCAGTCGCAGTCGCAGTCTTTCGGGGCGTCTCGCAGGCAATGCACTTGCTGGCCTCCGCCTTGTTGGACAGCATGCAGGCGTCGCACTCCCAGGCGGAAGAGGATTTCTTGAAACGATCCCCAAAGCCGGCAGAAAGTGGCACAAATGGTGCTGCCTGTGCTGGAGGAGGAGGGGGAGCTCCAGATTTCGCTACCGGTTTGGCCGTCTCACAGGCCACACACTTGCTAACCTCCGCCTTGTTGCGCACCATGCACATGTCGCACTCCCATTCCTTGGCGGACTTTTTAAACTGCTCACCGAATCCCATTGCTCCATTCATAGTGGGCGGCTGTGGTTGCACCTCATTTAGTGAAGCCGGTGAAGGGAAGTAGTATTTACGCTTGATATCCAGCTTGTCCACACAGTTCACCTGCGAACTCGACAAAGGTGTGGGCTCCGAGAAGCTGAATGTGCGTCCCATTGGTTTACTAGCGGCTGCTGGGATGACGTTTCCATTGGCGGAAGAGTTAACAATGGGAGCCGCAGGCTGTGGATTGGCCAGGAAGTTGGGCAGCTGCTTATTACTAACGATTGGGAGCACGGCAGATGGCTTGGAGACTGGCACCGTCGTCGGTTTGATGACCAAGTCGAACTTTGGCGCACTGGCCATGTCCGGGAAGCTGATCTGCGGCAGATCCGGCGGCAGGGGTGCCTCCTCCAGCTCCGTGCGCGGCTCCTTGTTGCGCGTCTGATGCGAGAGTCGCGAGCGCATCTTGTTTGTGTGCTGCTGACTATGGCTGGCCGGCTGATCCACCGGAGGAGGAGCAACATATTGTTTGGCCTTCTCTGGATTTGGATTCGGGTTTGCGTTTGGATTTGGCTGGTTCTCCACGCGCGAATTGTGCACCACATCGCGGGAGTTCTGGGTAACGCGATGCAGGCGCCGGCGTTCCAAAAGCTGCTGCATGGTGGGCACCAGCAGTTTATTAGAGCGCAGCTCGGCCAATTCGGTGGACAGATTGGGCGTAGCGCGTAACGCCGCCGCCGCCGCCGCCGAGGGACGTGGATACGGCGATGCGACCGGAGCTGCCTGACGCTGCTGGCGACTGCTTTGGTGCTCCTTGAGGGTGCTGCCCATGCGCTTGGCATCGATCAATGGCGTGGAGTAGCTGTCCAGCAGGTTGAGGATGCGCAGCGTGGTGTTCGACAGGCCGGAGCCGGACTTTTTGCCGCCACTCTGGCTTACAGATGTTTCAGAGAGATTACCACCTGCGGCGGCAGTTGGTCGCATATCCACTGCCTTCATCCCGTAACCAATGCCACCGGCGGTCAACGAAAGCGCCGGTGAACTGCCAGCCGAATTAATGGCCAGCGTGGAGGAGGCGGCCGAGGAGCTTAGATTGCTGCGACTAAACACCCGATTGTTGGCCGAATTGCCGCCAAAGGTGGTGCGTCCCTGGTAGAACGGCGAACTGGAGGCCGAAGCCGATGCCGAGCCAGAGGTTGAGGCACTGCGACTCAGCAGGCGACTGTCGCTCAGGGCCGACGTGCTGCCGTAAATGGAGGCATTGAAGCGACGCCGCTGGTTCAGCGAGTTCAGGGACCACGTGGAATTGCGATGCGATGATGGCTGCGCGGTGGCGGCGTTGCTCCTGTTGAATATCGACTTGGTGCTCTGCAGATTGCCGTAGAACTCCAGATTGCTGTTGCTGTTGTGATGCGACGACGGTCGCAGTCCCTCACCATTGTCGTGGTAATCGTTTACATCGCTCTCGGACTGCGAATCTCCACCAGCTCCTCCTCCTCTTGACTTTGACTTGATGACATTGTTGTTATTATTATTGTTATTGTTGCTTATGTTGTTGTTGGTCTTGCTGATCCTCAGCAAATGATCGAGCCGCTCGCCGTCGGAATTGGATATTGAGGAGCCCAGACCCGTTTCATCCATGGCCACCAGATCCCTACGATGTGTTCGCTGGCCCAGAAGCGAGGGTCGCTTGTGGTTGGGAAGGCTGGAGATGGCGGTGCTGCCTCCGAAAGGTATGTTCAACGAGCGACGGATGCTGAAATGATGGATTATTGATTAATACTACGCTCCTTGAGTGTTAATAGACTGCATTTACCTGTGCGGCAGATCCCCGGTGATGCCCTCGGCGGCTTCGTTGCCCGTGAAAAAGTTGTAGGCTGGTTCGCGCTGCCTTTGGCCGCCGTACAAGTTGAGGTGGTTGCGCCGGTGAGGAGCCAACTGGCTTCTGCTCCTGGCGCCCGCCAACTGCGAGGAGGAGCTGGTGGCACCTGCAAGAGGGCCGGCAGCAGGCGTGGATGACAATAAAGGCAGACGACGCAAGTTGACGGTGGTCTCCAGCTGGCAAAAGATTTAGGATTCGTTAAGAAAAAGTAGAACGAATTTATATAGTAAAATAACCCACCTCCAGACGCCGCCTTTTGGGCTGCGCTGCGGCTGCCTGCAAGAGATTCTCCTGCTCCTCGTCGTCGTCTTCCTCCTCGTCATCCTCCTCCTCCAGTTCATCCTCCTCGGCATCGGCCTCATCCTCGCCAGCGGCAGCAGCGGCGGCATCCACCGCCTCGCGTCGCTTGCGCAGCAGGAACACATTGTACTCGCTGCGCCGCGTCTGCTCATCCTCGGCGGCCAGGTCGTGCTCGGCTATGTTGTCGGCCAGGGCCACCTCCTCGTAGTTGAGCCCCTTGGCATCGGAACCGTCGTCCAGGTCGTCGGCTGCATCGGCATCCGCTTCGGCCAGCATGATGCGACGGCGTCCGCGTTTCCGCTTCGTGGTGGAGCGTCCGTTGGCCTGGCGAGGCTGGTGGAGATTGGCTGGGGAGGATTCGGGGCCACCCTTCGATGAGGGCGAGAACCAGCCGCTCAGGGAGGCGGGCAGAATGCTGGAGACGCGCATCTTCATCTTGCCCATGATGGACTGCAATGGGAAATGGGAATTGGTGGGGATTGGAGTAATCGATACCCAGATTGGAGCTATCGACAACTGTACTTACGTTGTTGTTGCTGCTGCTGCTATTGGACTGCTTGGCTCCCGCCGAGGATTCGTCCTCCTCCTCCTCACCCTCCTCCTCCTCCTCCTCACCCTCCTCCTCCTCCTCCTCTTCTTCGGGCATCTCCTTCAGCGGCGTCATCGGATGCAGCTTGGACAGCTCCGCTTGCGAGGATTCCCTTTGCTCCTGACCATCCTCCATTATGCCAATTTCAAATTTCGCTTTTCCTTCTTAGCCGGCGAAGCAACGGCCCAAAAGAGAGACACAAAAAGCAGCCAAAAAGAAGCGCCGCCGCGCACACAACAAAAAAAAAAAAAAAGAAGCACACACTGTTGCAATTCCTGCCAGCGAGTTTGTGTGCGTGTGTAGCGCTCACTCGCTCTGGCTCTTAGCTGTCGCTCTCTCCCTCTCGCTCTCGCTCTCTCTCTGTCTGTGCGTGTGCGAGCGTGTGAGTGCGCTTACGCACGCCGTCGTGGTTTTTTATTCTTTTCTCCCGAGTTTCGCCGAGATTTCACACACGCGGCGATATTTTTAAAAACTATTCCGTTTGGCGCCACAAACTGACAGCATTCGCCTTGGGTTTAACTTTGGCCACCACCTCGTCTATGTGAATGCTGGGCACTGGAAAGGTAGAGGCGGGAAAAAGGATTTCGTACCAAATAGGGGCAAAGCGCTTGGGGTTCTGGTTCTGGTTCTGCGTTCGGACTCGCCCTCCTTACCGCTTTCCGGCATGCCGCCTTGTTTTGCTCCTGCGATTCTTTTCGCTTCGTTTCGTTCCGTTTCGATCGCCGGACAGCACCGCACCGCACCGCCTGCCGAATTTTTTATCGCCTCCCTTTTGTCTTTGTGCTTCTTCCGCCTTGCACACACTGCTTTCGCAATTCTTCGCTCCTCTTCTTCACTCTTCTCACACACACACACGCGCGCTGCGAATCGGTCCGAATTTTGGCATTTTCCTGCGGCCAATTGCACGCACTTGCTGGCAACTTTGACTCGGTTTCGTGCCCGCGCTGGGTTTTCCGTTGGCTGCGCGAAATTAATGAAATGCCGATTGCAACAAACGAAATTTCACAAAAAAAAGCACGATTTGGGAAAAAACGCGTGTGTGGCCACAGTATAGAGCTGGAACTTGAATCGATGTTGGCTCGCTGCTATCGATGTCTCCAGAATTGTGCTACCATCGATAGCTTTTCGGCATCCACCGATTACTTTGGTTCGAATATTACATTTTGAATTGAAATCAAGTAAATAGGCGTAGAGTTTATAATTTGGGCAATATTAGTTGTAAAAAAGGGGGAAAATGAAACTAAAACTACAGCGTACCCCGCTTTTCATTAATTGGTAGGTATGGTAAGAAATTAAGAAATTAATTTATATTTAAATTCAAAATTAATAGGAAAAGGGAAAAATGGTGATTTAAACATATAACTAATTAATTGATTATCCGTGGTTTGAATACAGCATCCATTTTCAATAAAACATGTTAGTCGATAGTTGTCCTAAAATAATCGCATTATTTATTAAGTTGCAGTGTGACTGTGACTTTCTAAATATACCAAAGGATAGGCGATATAAATACTTAAAAAAATACATTCAAGGAGTTGAGGCGCTAAATTTGAAAAGCATTCCTTGGCCTTGCTATTTTGACTTTTCATCAAGCGCACTTGATTTGATTTTTAAAAACGTATTTTATTTTAGTTACAAATGGGTTTTTTTGAAACTTATAACTTAGTTATCCTCCTGTAAGATGAAATTGGTGTGCCTTTTTAGAATTTTTTTTAGTTTTTTTCCCACATTGTTCTACTTTTTTGCAATACTCTTTTATTCAAATTCAAAATGTGATGGAATATAGGGCTGCAACTAATTTATCGGCAATCGAATGTGCCATCTCACTTTTGTCATCCCTAGTTGCTGTTGCTGTTATTATTGCGTTGTTGTTGTTGTTGTTGCTGGGCTGGGCAAACAAGTGTTAAAAACAATTTGTGGTGCAATATTTTCAGCAATTGCTCGCTTACTCGCTTGTCTACGCCAAATAGCCGAGAGATTGGGGCCACTCGAGAGCGGCGGAAGCATAGAGAATCGGTTGGGCAAACAATCTTAATTGCTGCTGAAAACAGCTGGAAAGGTTAAACCCAGAGAAATGAGCCAAGCGGAGGGCACCCCGTCATCCCAATCCAAAATCCCGGACACCTTGGACGCGGCAAGGGGCAGCAGCAGTGGCAAGCAGCTGCTGGAGACGTACCGCGTCTATGTGGTCACCTGGAACGTGGGCAGTCGCTTCCCGGAGAACATATCGCTGCGCCAGCTGCTGGGCCTCCAGGACGTGAGCAAGGAGTCGCCGGAATCGCCGGCGGCCCATCTGCCGGACATCTATGCCCTGGGCCTGCAGGAGGTCAATGCCCAGCCGCAGCAACAGGTGCTCGGCCTGTTCAAGGAGGACCCCTGGACGCACAAGGCCAAGGAGCTGCTCCGCGGCTATGACTATGTGGCCGTCAAGACGGAGCAAATGCAGGGACTGCTGCTCAGCATGTTCGTGCGGCGCCAGCATGTGGAGCATCTGCAGGACATCGAGGCGGAGTTCACGCGCACCGGCTTCGGCGGCATTTGGGGCAACAAGGGCGCCGTCAGCGTGAGATTCACCCTCTACGGCTGCGGCCTGGCCTTCGTGGTGGCCCATTTGGCCGCCCACGATCATCAGCTGGACGAGCGGATCGAGGACTACAGGCAGATTATCGAGAATCATCACTACCATGTCAAGCGGTACCGCGAGATCTACGATCATGACTATGTCTTTTGGTTTGGCGATCTCAACTTTCGCCTGCAGGGCGGCGATTCCTCGACGGAGGTGCGGGATTTGCTGCGCGATGAGTCGCAGCACGAGGCGCTCATCCGGCGGGATCAACTCTACCAGGTGCGCGAGAAGTCGCAGCAGGCCTTTCAGCTGCTGCACGAGCGCCTGCCCGCCTTTCCGCCCACCTTCAAGTTCCGCGAGGGCACCTCGGAGTATGATTTAAAGCGGCGCCCGGCATGGACGGACCGCATCATGTACGCCGTCCAGCCGATGAACCGACAGCCCGGCATGCAGCTTTCCATCGAGCAGTGCTCGTACAAATCGCATCCCGTCTACACGATCAGCGATCACAAGCCGGTGACCAGCGACTTTGCGCTCAAGCTCTATCCGAATGTGCGGGCGCCGGGCGTGGTCTTCTCGCCGCTGACGCTCTGGCGGATTGGCGACGAGAACACCGTGGAGTATCGCAAGCAGGCGGAGTTCGACGAGGGTCCCAACGACTGGATTGGCATCTATCCGGCGGAATACGCCAGTCTGGCGGACTACGCAGCCTACGAGTATGTGAACCAGGCCGAGTCGCCCGCCTCCTCCTCGGACTCGAATCACGAGGCGGATCCGTTCGACACGCCCTCGCATCATCGACGCGGGCGGCATCATCACAAGAACCGGCAGCGGCTGCGACGGCAGCAGGAGGCCAATGCCCAGGAGCAGGTGCGTCTCGACTTTGCCGACGATGTGGAGCTGCGGCATGGCGAGCAGTATCTGCTGATCTACTTCCGCAGCACCGGCGTGCGGGGCGTGACCAGTCTGGCGGGCGTCAGCGGGGTATTTGTGGCCGAGAAGCGACACGGCTCGCCCCATCGGACGGAGTACCACGTGGACTAGCTGGCCGAGGCTCTGGACATCTTTATTCTTTAGTTCAAAGACCGTGTTAAGTTTGCTTGTCCCCCAAATATGTTAATTATACACTTGTAACCAACCAATCATGTTTGTGTTTAATACCCCTCCCTTTTTCCTAGCATCCTGCTTGAGTTTTGTCTGTTGTCATTTTGCTATTTTCATTTGTACGGTCTCATGGCACTAGATATATGTATTTAACTGGTTTCGCAAAGGTTAATTACGCCACCAACAGCTAAATATTCAAGCTATGACACACCCGCGCACAGTGGGTCAAAAAAATGCGTGAATCATTTGAATGGTTTGATTCATTTAGCGGCATTTTAAATATTTCTCAAGTAAAAAAAGGAATATGGATGGGAACTTTAAATATTTAATTTGTTTTCAAATTAATTGTTTATGACACACCCGCGCACAGTGGGACAAAAAAATGCGTGAATCATTTGAATGATTAATTTAGCGGCATTTTAAATATTTCTCAAGTAAAAAAAGGAATATGGATGGGAACTTTAAATATTTAATTTGTTTTCAAATTAATTGACAAAAAATGAGTGAATCATTTGAATGATTCATTTGGCGGCAGTCTGAAAAGTGATATTTTTAAACATTTATCAAGTAAAAAAGGGAATATGCATGGGAATTTGAAATATTTAATTTGTTTTCAAATTAATAGTATTTCTTGGATTTTTTACATACAAAAAAAACAGGTTTTAAAAACTGAAATCGATATTTTCTACCATCTGATTGGTAAATAATCCATTAAATTTATACGACCAATTCTTATCAAGTCACAAGGATAGTTGAGATAAGAACTGCACTTTTATGATAGTTGAAACCAAAATAGACCACTAAGCACTGACTTTTAACCACCGTGCAGTGGGTTATTTGGTCACCGAAGGTAACGACGGGTGTTTCCATAAAGGGGAAGTGTTTCAACCGATTGCTTTGAGCCCACTGTACTCGATCGTTGGAATTTTCGACCAGATCTGTGATCCGAAAACCAAACAAAAAGAGAGCATAAACCTATGCGGTATGGGTCAATTGAAATTCGTGTGGCTTAGTAACCTTCAACAGCAATTAGATAACTATAACTTTAACTACCTTACCCACACACTTAGCCAACGTATTGCATTTACCTTATACCTACTATATATACAGATATATACACACAGTCATAGGCCTTATCAAAGTGTACATTAATCAATTTACCTAATCAAGTGAAAACATTTACAAATGTGTAGTAAAATATATATGAATGCATGCCTAGAACAATTTCGCTTGTGGGATTTCGGTTAACGATCAGCGGGAAGTAATGAAATTAGACTTAATTGATATGTAACGACTATATAAACCGAACCAAAATACCTAATAAACGTAAACTAGCCAAATGAAAACTCTTCTTCGCTTTTTAATAGTTTGTCGTACTAGGAAATATAATGAGGATGATGAAATCCAACTTCCAATTAAAACTATTTGAAAATATAAACGTTTCCATACGCGAATATCATAGAAAACCCCCATGAGGATCCTGTAATTATGTTAAATTAATGTTTAATAAACATTTATTTGCCATTCCTACGAACTTTTCACATTGTTCACCGAAAATAACTGTTATTGTAAATTTTTCTTACCAAAAAGTCATGCACTTAGAAGAGTCCTAAAATTTTTTTAAATACACCATTATTTTTGTTAGCCATTGTAGTTTACAAATACGTAATGATTTTTATTTATTTGATTTTTATAAAAAAAAACTCAAAAAATAACTGTTATTTGTTGATTTTTATGTATAATTTTTATTCCCTTGACATTTAAAAAAAAATTAAATAATTAATAAAAACATGCTAACCGAGTTTTTTATAACTTTTTATAACTGTTATTTGTCAACTTTTATTATAAAACTCATGAAATAACAGTTATTCTTTGAGTTTTACTTTACGAATCCGAAAATAACTGTTAAAATGTGATTTTTAACATAAAACTCATAACAGTTACGGTCCCAGGTTCACATATTTTAAGATCCATTAGGTGAGTATTTTCAATCGAAAAACCCTCCTATTAGCCAAAGATTCATTGTGACGGGGATATAACCCAATGCCTGTTTGTGTTTGACAGTCGATTTTATTGCTAGGTTCTTTATTTTTGCTAAATTGAAACGTCTTTGTCGATTAGATCTCGACGAGGATTTTAGGGAACTGTGGGTTAGCATTTTCTGTGAGGCGCAATCTTGGAATCGTGTTCGTGTTCGGGTTCGGGATAGAAAGTTTTTGGGGTCGACGGTGGCGGACATGGCTCCAGTGGTCCAGTGGCTCCAGTCCAGTTCATTTTGATCATCCTCATCCTCTACGGCGGCAGTCCGAGGGTTTTGCGCACCAGGCGTCGGGCGATGGCGTTGAACTCGTCCCTCCGCTCGCGCCACATGATGGCGGCATCCACATTGGCGCCGCTCTCATCGTTGGGTTCTGTGGGGCAGAAAGCGAGATTAGTTTGGATTGGATTGGATTGTAGGGAGGGTTGGACTGCCCTTGAGTGGATGAACTTGGGTAAGGAAACGTAACATCTTCAATATTTGAGTGCTCTTTAATCAGTTGCTTACTAGATTTATTATCTGTATTTTTTCAGTTGCTAATTTTGGCAATAATATCTTAAATTTCCTTTAATTGGATAGGAAAATCCATTAGGCTACCAAAAATAAATTTTAAATAACCTACTTTATAGTTTTTATTTTTATGCATTTTTTATACAAGCTTAATGAAAGTTTTATTTGTTTTTTGAATTTAATATACTTTGAGAATCTTAAATTTGTTTTATTTGGAAAAGATTCTTTAAGATTTTTTAAAGAAAATCGATACCGATAATACATCATATTTTAAATACACTACTTTACATTTTGATTTTTATGCATTTTTTAATACAAGTTTAATGAAAGTTTTATTTGTTTTTTGATTTTTATATACTTTGAGAGGAGAGAGTAGTCTATTTAAAAGAAATGTTGAAAATTACTATTATTTTCCGTAGCTGTTTATGAGTTTATAGACATTCTGATCTGATCTTAGATAAATAAATAAATATAAAAACTAAAGAAAAAGGAAACTCATAGATAATCTAGGGAATTAACCACTCAAAAGAGAACCTTGAGATTGAAAATAAATAGCACAGTAGTCTTTATAAAATTAATGTTTAAAACTACTGTTATTTTCCGTAGCTGCTTATGAGTTTATAGACATTCTGATCTGACTTTAGAGCAACCAATAAGTAAATAAATAATCAAATAAATATAAAAAGTAAAGAAGAATAATCTAGGGAATTTAAACCACTCAAAGAAGCACCTTGAGATTGAAAATAAATACTACAGTACTTTTTATAAAATAAATGTTTAAAACTAATATTTTTTCCGTAGCTGCTTATGAGTTTATAGACATTCTGATCTGACTTTGGAGCAACCAATAAATAAATAAATAATCAAATAAATATAAAAAGTAAAGAAGAATAATCTAGGGAATTAACCACTCAAAAGAGAACCTTGAGATTGAAAATAAATAGCACAGTAGTCTTTATAAAATAAATGTTTAAAACTACTATTATTTTCCGTAGCTGTTTATGAGTTTATAGACATTCTGATCTGACTTTGGAGCAACCAATAAGTAAATAAATAATCAAATAAATATAATAAGTAATGAACAATAATCTAGGGAATTTGAACCACTCAAAGGAGCTCCTTGAGCGCGCTTTATAACGCCTCCTTACCCGCCAGCATGCTGACCACGCTGAGCAAGATCTTCTCGACGCTCTGGACGGGACTCCAGCGCTCGGCGGAGAGCTCATAGCCCATGGGATCGTCGCCGGGCGCGTGGAGTATTGATATGCAGACCCGGCCGTCGGCGAAGATGTTGGGATGGAACATATCACAAGTGAATTTCATTTTTGGCGGACTCAGTGGGTAGTCGGGTGGAAAGACGAGCCGGGCGGGAAAGACGCCGCCCTCGAAGCAAGTGCCCTCGGGTCCGCTGCAAAGGTGAAAGGTGAAAGGGCAAAGGTGAGTGGATATGATATGATATGATCTGGAGTATCTGGGGATCCCAACTCACGCAATCAGTGCCTCCCACTCGAAGAAGTTGTCCTCGCTGATGGGGCCGGCCACAATGCCCTCGGGCGGGTCAAGTGTTAACTCTGGCGGGGATTAGAGTGGGTTAGATATGTGTATATGTGAAGAGTTGGACTTTCGACCTACGTTTGTATTCGGCCATTAGGCGGCGCAGCGCGGATCCAGCCATCCTGTATGTCCTCGATCTCGATGATGATGGTGGTTTCTCTTCTCCTTCTCCTTTCCCTTTCGTTTCGTTCTTCCTCCTCCTCGCTTGGCTGGCGCTTCCTGCGGCTCCGCTCCTCCTTGTCCTCCCGAATGATGTCCTGCTTGTCCTGCGGCGGCGATCGCGCACTAGCCAGAGATCCTCTGCTCGGCCGAAAGGGTCAAATGCAGACACGTCGTAATATAATAAACACAAGCCTTTCGGTGTTTATTTATATCGAATGTATCGAATGGGTTTTTATGACAGTCTATCTAGGTATGACACTAGACGCAGCCTTGCGGCGATTGCTTGAATCGAATGTATCGCATGGTATGACACTTTATAGCCTATTTACACTAGGGTGGAGTTATGGGGTTATTGACATAACCCGGTTTTTTTTTACATAGGCTGTTTTACATAGGATGTGGGCAATATAAGGAACTTTTAGGGTCTTTGGTTTTTTTTTTGTATTTTTCGGTATATTTTGTATTTATTTTCTATCCCTAGTAAAATAAACAACAATCACTAGATGTCATTACTCGATACTTAGAGTTAACCCAGTGGAAACACCTTTTTTTGAGTAATCGATACGTCACCCCACATAGTGTGACTAGACTATTGCATAGTTATCGAATGGCCCTGGCCTATCGATAGTTCAGTGTGCTCGTATTCAAAACGATTTCTTGTGCTTAAAAATTAAATTAAATAAATAAATTAATTAGAAGCCAGGACAGGAGGCTCAACCAGCGGGCCATGGTGAACCCGCCGGTCAATGGCGGTTCCTCCCGCCTGGCCCTGTGCCTCATCCACTTCGTGCTGGCCGTGATCTCCGGCTGGGGCCTGAAACGGAGCACCGGCAGCCAGGCGATGGCCGCCTTCGGGATCTACTTCGGGCACAGCCTGCTCTGCCTGCTGCGGCACACGCACCCCAATCCGGGTGCACTGCAGCGGCTGCTGTGCGACAAGTCGCGCCGCTACTCCTGCGTCCTCTTCGTCACCTTGGTGGTGGGCGAGCTGCAGGCGGTGAATCCGGCCACCCGCATGGCGGACTTCTTCGGCGCCGACTGGGAGCGTCTGGCCTTCGGGCTCTGGAGCTGCGTCCTCACGCTGGCGGTCACCAGCCTGTGGTTCGGCGGCCCCGGCAGTCGCAGCAGCAGCAGCAGCTCGCTGGGCGCCACCTTCGTCCGGCTGGATGCCGCCCAACTGGGCCTGTGCGTCCTCTGGAACGTCCAGTGCCTGTGGCGCATCGCCATCGTCGACGAGCACTGGTGGTCCCTCGGCCTCGCGCTGCTCGTCCTGCTCAACCACTTCGTCCTGTGGCGCCTGCCGCTGCACTACAACATCACCCAGCTGGAGGTGGCCACCGTGGGCATGTGCTTCAGCACCATCTTCGCGCTGAACGCCATCCAGGAGCAACTGGATGCGGTGGCCAGCTGAGGACAGCTGCAAGGGATTGGGGAACCAGGCACTGGGGACTGGGGCCTCGGTTGCTTAGTTCTAAACGAAAGCACACACATTTATTAACTACTAACCGTTAGCTGTACGTTGTTGATCGATTCTTTTGTGTAATAAACCAGTGTTCTTCATTTAAAGCCATGTTTTATGGTCCACATTTGTATGGGAATTTTTAAAGTCCCAAAAGATAATTTAAAAAATCAAATAATCAAATAATCACCCATACGCACTGTTGCCTTCGATTAATAAGTTTTTCTAATTAAGGTGGCATAGATTTCAACAATTCAGTTTCCTTTTTTTTAACAATAATTTTAATAAAGTTATGATTTGACAAGCGATTTTTTTCGATCAAATTCGAACTGTTATACGTGTCGTATGAGTAATTTTTAAGCAAACTTTGAGGACGATTCGCAAGGTCTAAGTCACGAAATTTTTTTTTTTTATTTTCACATACATTTTTTGCATACTTTAATATACCATGTAAAGGGGTGAGAATAGAATTTCATTTTTTGGACCGCCCTAATGTACACATATTAACTTTTTGCGATTTTTCAAACGTTTTATAGTGTTGTTCTTAGCTTTCTTTAGTTTGTTAGCTTAATGCTATTTACTAGACCTCGGATCTTGCATATTTTTATATGATCAATTTATAGGGATATAGATTCCAATTCCGAAAACACCAAAGTTCGTTTTATTAAAAATAAAGTTTAAAATTAATGGCATATTAACGTTTTTGTGCATATTATTAGCATATTATTGCATATATTTTGCATATTTTCAATATTATTTTATATTTATTATATTTAAAACAAGAAAGGCAGGACAACGGAAGTTATTTTATCCTTCCAGATAATTTCTATTAATTTACAAATCGCAAAAATGTTAAATTCTGTATTATTTTGACATTATTTTTTCTATTCTTCCAAAAGCAGCTATATAATATAGTCGTCCGATTTTTGTTAAATTTAATTTGAAATTCGGAAATATTAAAAAACAGTCATAACCTAGAGTAGAAGAGAATACAATAAAAAAGCTATAATTTATTTCCTACTACTTTCCTATTAATTTTTCGATCGTTCCAATGGCAATGATTCGTCGGATTTTTTTTAATTTAATCCGAAATTCAGAAATATATAAAGAATAATATTCCTAAGAAAAGAAGGTTAAATGTCAAAAAATCACTGATTATTTTTTATGGGAGCTAAAGGATATAGTTGTCCGATAGCTTTAAAACTGAGAGACTAGTTTGCTTAAAAGCGGACAAAAATGGAAAAGTATCCAAAAACCGAGGTCTAGTTATTACTGATGGGAAGATTTAGCAGTCAGACAAATGAATTAATTTTTTTATATAATAAATACATAGGTTAAAGTTTTTTAAAAAATATTTGCAATGATTATTAGGTACTCGTTATTCCCTGGAACACAAATTTTAATGCCAATTTACAAAAATTTAAAAGAAACACACTTCAACGCATTTGTTTTGCATAAGCTTTTTAATACACATTTTGTTTGTTTTTATTTTTTAAATATAATTAATATTACTTCTCTATGTGCTTTATTACATATTGATCTGGGTTTAGAGTGGCTCAGCTCTCGCTCGAAGTGTTTTACGCAGCGAGCACGACGGCTTAGACTCTCGTTGTTAAGGAAAATTACAAGTAGCAAGTATGTTTAAAAAAAAGAACTATATATATATATATCGGTATAGATGATTCCCAGGGATGTGAAAACAGATCCTTGGGAGTACGAAAACTCAACTAATAATTGCGACGAGGGATGACGAGGGGTGGTGGGCTGGGGGATGTGGATTTGGCTGGGAAAATCTCTCGCGACTTAGGCGTGGGTGCTGTCGTCCTCGACAAAGTCCTTGGCTTCCTCGCGGGTCACACAATCGATGTGGCTGACCTTGTTGCGGAATCGCACTCCATAAAACTTGTGCGCGTTCTCCAGCAATTCCGGCCGGAACGTTGTCGTGATGAACTGGGCCGTGTCGCTCAGCTCGTGGATCATGTCCGCCACCGCCTTTCGATGCATTGCATCCAGGGCCTGCACAAAAAAGGGGGGAATTAATTATATAGGTAAGGGATAAGTGCCCTGCGTGAATCATTCAATTTTTGTTTTATCATTGTAAGCCGTGAAAATTTCTAATTTGTTTAATTCAATTCTATGTGAAATAAATTGAAAGTTATTTTAATTCATTTCGAATTAAATTAGAATCATTCAATTTTCAACAAATTTTTGTTTTATCATTGTATGCCATGAAATTTCTGATTTGTTTAATTCAATTCTATTAGAAATAAATTGAAAGTTTTTCTAATTCATTTCAAATTGAATTAGAATCATTAAATTTTTGTTTTATCATAGTATGCCATAAAATTTCTGATTTGTTTAATTCAATTCTATGTGAAATAAATTGAATGTTTTTCTAATTCATTTCAAATTGAATTAGAATCATTCAATTTTTGTTTTATCATTGTATGTCATAAAATTTCTGATTTGTTTAATTCAATTCTATGTGAAATAAATTGAATGTTTTATAAATTCATTTCGAATTGAATGAATGAATAAATATTTTGTATGAATTTTTTGAATTTGCCAGATTTTTTTGTGCTTTCTTTTGAGAACAAAAAGTGGTAAATTTGTAACAAATCAATGTTAACTGCTTAGAAAATAAAATTCATGCGTATTTAATCACAAAATGATGGCCCTTTCTTCTTCAAAAGAAATTGTCGTTTGAATTATTTCGGAATTCATGACATTCATTCATTCAATTCTATTAAACTCAAAATTCAAATTAATTCAATTCTATTTGAATCCGAGGATGCTAGCTTATGCTTAATGTTGTGGAACGAACTGCCACAACGTCTTAAAATAATTGATAGCACAACGCAATTTAGGGACAAATTATTTACATTTTTAAAATCGCAAAGTACCAATTAAAATTAAAATTATAATAAAATAACAAAACTAATTAAATTTAGATTTTCAACAATTATTTAAACTGCCAATTATTATTGTTAATTGCATTAAATGTTAGATATAAGTGTAAAACTCTAATATAAGTAGGGACCTACATAATTCTTAATATTGTTCATGTGACTAGGGCATTAAATTACAAGGAAATCCTTGTAGCACCAGGAAATAAGTAAGAAATAAATAAAAATGAACTCAAAATTCGAATTAATTCATTCATATAAAACAGAGAATTCATTCATGCAGGGCTCTATCAAGTACTCACCTGATCTATCTCGTCGAACAGGTAGAAGGGAGCCGGATCGCACTTTTGGATGGAGAAGATGAGGGCCAGGGCGACCAGGGACTTCTGGCCGCCGGACAGCTGGTTCATCTCGCGCATCTCGGCCTCGATGCCGGTGAAGGAGACCCGAATGCCGATGCCCGTGAAGGCGTCCGAGTTGGCCACCTCCTTCTCCATCTCCTCGCCCTCGTTGTCCTTGGTCTTGAGTATCAAATAGCCGGCGCCCATGGGCACCAGCTTCTTGAAGACCTTGGTGAAGTTCTGGGCCACCTGGCGGAAGGTGAACTGTATGGCCTCCACCTTCTGCATCTCCAGCGACTGGATGAGCATGTGGATCTTCTGATCCCCGATATCCAGCTCCTCTTTGCGGCGATACAGCTTCTCCTTTTGCTCGGAGAAGCTGAGGAACTGATCGAGGGCCTTCTTGTTCACATGATTGTACTTCTTCAGATGCTGATTGGCCTTCTCCAGCTCCTTGAAGATGTTCTTCAGCGACATGCGGCTGTAGGCGGCATCCACCTGGGGAACGGCGCCCAAACTGGCTATCTTCTCGGTGCACTCGTCGATCTTCTCGTTCAGCATGTTCTCCCTGGTCGACCACTTCTCCAGCTGCTTGGAATCCTTGTTGAGATTCTCCTCGGCCTCCTTCTCCTTGCGCACATGCGTCTCGAGCTCCCCCTGCAGCTCCTTCTGCAGCTGCACGGCCTCCGTGACCCGCTTCTCGATCTCCTCCAGATCGGCGTTGACCTTCTTGATGCGCTTCTCGGCGGAGACCAGCTCCGTCTTGCAGTTGTTCAGCTTGCGCTTGCGATCCTCCACGGAGATCTCCTGCAGCGCCTGGATGAGCTCGTCGCGCCGCCGAAAGAGGTTGTTGATCAGCAGATTGTCCAGCTTGTTCTTGCGCACCTCGAACTGCATGCGCTGCGTGAAGGCCTCCTTGTTCTCCTGGTTCAGCCGCCGGATATCGTCGTTTAGCTGGTCTATCTCGCGCTGATCCTGCGACGACAGCGTGGACATGAGCTCCTGCTTGAGCTCGGCCTCCAGACTGGACTTGGTACTGGTCATCGACTCCAGCGAGGCCTTGCACTGCGCCAGCGAGCGCTCCTTGGGCGCCCGATACTGCTCGATGCGCAGCAGCTCCTCCTTCATCAGCCTGATCTCGCCCTGCACCTTCTCGAACACATCCTTCGACTTGCCCTGCTTCGTCTCCGTCTTCTGCATCTCGCTGACAATCGAATTGATGTTGTTCTCCGTGGACTTTAGTTCGTTTCGCAGCTTGCTTAGCTTCTTTTCGAACTCGGCTATCTGTGAGGTGTACTCGGTGCGTTTCTTTTGCATCTCCAAACGCGAGCGGGAGGTATTGAAGTAGCCGCCTGTGAGGGAGCCCTTCGACGACACCTGATCGCCGTCCAGCGTCACGCAATCCAGCCCCGTGCTCTTGGCCAGCTCGGTGGCTCGCTCCAAGTTCCTGCAGATCAGCGTCTTGCCGAAGATGTAGCGCAGCGCCTTGTCGTGCTGCTCGTCGTACTTGAGCTTCGAGATCATCGGTATGGAGTCGGGATCGTCGGGATAGTCGTGGATCTTCACCTGCAGGCGGTTCAGCGGCATAAAGGTCACCTCGCCGGGCAGCTTCAGCTTGTTCATCTCCTTGAGGATCTGGGTGCCCTCGTATTCGGACTCGACAATGTGATGGAACAGCCGATTGGCGGCCGTCACCTCGACGGCCGTGTAGATGGTCTTGTCGCAGCTAAAGTTCTCAATCACTGGGCCGTAATAGGCACGCGCAATCTCCGCCGATTGACCGCCGCGCTCGACGAAGCTGTCGAGCACCTTGCGCACCGAATCGCAGCCATTGAGGATCGGCTTGCCGGCCATGCTGCGCAGCGCCTGGTCGGCGCGGGAGAGCTCCTCCTTGTGCGTCTGCAGCTGCTGCGTCATCTGGGTCTCCTTGCGCCACAGCTCGTTGCGCATCGACTGGTGCTGGTCCTTGGTCTTCTTCAGCTCGTAGTACTTCTTGTTGTGCTCGTCGATCTGCAGGCGCAGTTGCTCCAGTTCCGAGGAGTGCTCCTCGATCTTCTGGCCCAGATCCTTCTCGGAGGTGGCGTCCTTCTTGAGGTCCTCCACCAGCTTGGCATGATGGGCGATCTTGTCGCGCGTCTGCTTGCTGATCGATTTCAGCTCATTGGTGATCCACTTGTCGCGATCCTCGCGCGAGGAGAACTGCGAGCCGCGCCCCTGCTTGGCGTAGAGCTCCTTGCGCTTCTGCTCCTTCAGCTGCAGCTCGCGGGAGCAGTCCTCCTCCTTGCGCTTCATCGCCTCGTACTTGGGCTTCACGTCGTCCAGCTCCTTCTCGCGCTCGGCTATCGTGACCTTGAGGTTCTTGAGCTCCTGGTCGGCGCGCTCCTTCGACTTGTTGTCGCCCTGCACCTCGTCATTCAGATCCACGATGGTGAGATCCAGCTTGGTCTTCTCGCGCAGCAGCTGCTGCTGCTCGGTCATCAGGACGGAGCGCTCCTCCTTGGTGCCCTGCACCTTCTTCTTGGCCTCCTTGAGGTTCTTCTGCACATCCTTGATCTTCTCCTGCGCCCTCTGGATCTCGATGTTGTAGATCTTCTTCTTGTCCGACGACGACTTGCGCTGCAGCTGCAGCTCGTCGAGCGCCTTGCGCGTGTCCTTCAGCTCCGTCTCGTAGCGTATGTACTCGAGGGTGCGTCGCGTCTTGTCCCACTTCTGGTACTCCTTCAGCTCCTCCTTCTCCTCCTCGAGCGTCTGCAGCCTGTCCTCGATGGTCTTCAGATACTCGCTGATCTTCTCCACCTTGCTGTCCGTCTCGCGCAGCAGATTGAGCGACTCCTCCTTCCGCTCGTCGTACACCCGCGTGCCGGCCACCTCGCGCAGCAGCTTCAGGCGATACGAGTCGGCCGCCGTGGCCATCTGGTTGATCTTGCCCTGCTTCACAATGTAGTAGGGATTCGAGCTGGAGAAGCCGGCCGACTCGAGCAGATTGACCACCTCGTTGCGCGGCACCACCTTCTTGTTGAGGAAGTACTGGTCCTTCTTGGCGCCGATCACGCGCCGCAGGAAGATCTCCTCCTTGTCGATCTGTTTGGGAGCAGAGGGAGTGGGTTTATATATATATAGGGGTGTATATATAGGACTACTCACTGGCACCCGGTTGTCCGAGTTGTCGAAGATGATCTCCACATAGGCGGAGATGACGCGGGCACCGGTTCCCTCGTGCAGCAGCGACTGGCGCTGCTCCGGCCGCAAGTGGGTGAACTCATCGCTCAGCACGAACTGGATGGCTGCGGAGGGATTGGATTGGGATTGGATTAAAGATTGTTTCCAGATGCTGTGGACTATGGACTATGGACTACCCACCGTAGAAGAAGTTGCTCTTGCCGGAGCCATTGCGTCCGACTACAACGTTGTGGCGCTTGTCGAATGGCTCCACCACCGTCTGGTCCTTGTAACTCTTGAAGCCTTGTATAATAATCTGGAAACAGAGTGGTCAGAGTGGTAGGGCAATTGCTGAGCTACCGCGGCATCGCCGGCCGTCCAACTCACCTGCTTGATGTGCATTTTATTATATTAGACTGCGATTTTTGCACAAAATCGCGCTCTTTTTGTTTACAACAAATACATAAATAATATCGACTCGGCAGCGCACTTATCGATGTTTTCAGGCTGCTCCATCGATATTGCAATCGAATTGCGAGTCGATAAGAATCGGCAGCTATCGATATAGAATTTGTAAGCATTAAACAAATTATTTAAAAATATAATTATTTTATTTATTTGTATTCATTTATATAAAGCTAACTCAAAGTTAAAACTATAAGCTAACTAAATTAAGAGCTCTTGCAGTTAAGGCCTTCAGCTCGTCTAAGCTGTCGAAATAATTAAATTTTTTGTATTTTTTTAATAGTTGTTTAAATCTTGTAATTAATTTTTTGTTGTATTTAAATTATGTACCAACAGAAAAACAGAAAACATACTGGACAAAGTTTTGCAGTTTTTGAAGTACAGTCCCGATTGTAACACAGCGAACAATTTGAATAATATCGTTATTTTATCAAGGACTATTGGAGCAGAACAGATAAAGTAGTCCATGAAAAATGCATACATACGTTTAAGTACGTTTGATTAAAAAAAAAAAATCAATAAACATAAAAGTACAAGCTTTAAGAAAATAATGGCATATCGGAAATATGCAGTTTTTTAGGTCAAAAAAGGCTAAGGAATATGCTAAGCATATTTTGACCTATTTTGTTTTGGCCAAAAAAGGTGAAAAAAGGACGAGTTTTATTTCAAATTTAATGATATAGTTCCCAGTTTTCACTCGGAAGTGAATTTGATTTCATGCTGGCGGATTTAATTCCGCCTGTACTGAGTATAATTTGTCTTTGCTTTGTTATTGTTTACTACCGAAACAGAATCAGAGTAAAGTAGTATTTATGGTTAATATTTTAGTTATATGTTGTATCTTGTATACAATATTAATAATCATTAGTTTAAGTAGGTTTTTGAGCTTTTGTGATGCAAGAAACAGTTATAATTTCGAATGTACAAATTTCATATGAGAGAACAAACTCTATAAAGTAGGCTGGGTCGATTTGCTGAATTTGGTCTTTGACGATTACATGCCAACTTGTAATATTATATTTCCAACAAGAAAGGAAGCTACCTTCGGCCAGCCGAAGCTTATATACCCTTGTAGATAAAAGAATACTCACTCGGTGTAGTTCCAGGGATTCCAGATTCAGCGTTTCGATTTATTTCAATTTTGTTTTTAAGTAGTCAAGAATCAAAACGCCTACTTCCTACAAAGTTACAATGAATTTTCTTATATTTGTTTGGGAGCCTTAAGATATAGTGGTCCGATCCGGCTCGCTACGACATATGTACTACCTGCAATAGAAAGAAGACCTTCGGGAAAGTTTCATCGCGATAGCTTTAAAACTGAGAGACTAGTTCGCATAGAAACGGACAGACGGACAGACGGACAGACGGACAGACGGACAGACGGACATGGCTAGATAGACTCGGCTATTGGTGCTGATCAAGAATATATATACTTTATGTGGTCGGAAACGTCTCCTTCACTGCGTTGCAAACATCTGACTGAAATTATAATACCCTCTACAAGGGTATAATAAAAATAGGTAAAAAAGGTTGATATATTCCGAAATGTGCTTTTAGGTGGAAGATATGTAAAAAGGTCAAATTTGCAAAAAATATGCTGCGTTCGAAATAATCTACGTTGCATGAAACAAATTTGTGTGCATGTTTTTACCTAAAATCCGATTTTTTCAATCAATATCACTTACATCAATTTGTTTCAATTTTACGAATAACTCTGTCTAATTAGAGCTGGAAATTCCAATAAGAAAATGTTCGTACACATTTTTGGCAGCCCCAAAAAGTGTGCTTTGGGCTTAGACATTTTTCGGTTATTTTAGTAGCGAGTCTTTTTAATTATTTCCTCTTAAAAAAATACCTCAAAATTGTAATGTTATTGATTAATTTAAATTTATAGCCAGCGAGATTAAAATCAATCCAGATTTAAAGCCAAAATAGTTCCATCTCTAGGCATTCCAATGCAATGAATTTCATTGCGTTGTCAAAGCAAACACCCACCTCCAATTGAATTGCTTCATTTTTGTGGCATTATTTTATTTTTTAGATTGAAAAATATAAATTTCGAAATCCAAAACCGATAACTACCAACGACCATCGATAGTGCGTACTTGAAATATCGATATAATTAGTATTTAAATACTGCAAGTACGATAGTCGATATATCAAATATCGATGTTTTGGAATAAAAAAGTAGGCAAAAGAGAAGAAAAACTTTTCGCACTAAACCAGTGATGGAACTCGCATCGATAAATACATAACTTCAAACGCGCTCCGCTCCGCTAACACAAAAAAATAGAAAAGAAAAGCAAAGCAAAAGCTTAAGTCGTCGAGAGTGAAAAAACGAATAGAATTTCGAGCTAAAAGCAAAGCGAAGCTAAGGTAAATTGTAAGCAGTCTCTGTTTTTTTTTCTGGTGCTATTTTCCACATCTCATCCTCCCGCATCCCGCAACCGCCCCCCGCCACCCCCTTCGACCACCCCGCCCCCTTTCAATTGTGCAACACACGCACGCACACAGACGCAAATGGGAGGCTTGGAGCAGTTTCAAACCAACAAACACACATACCAATATACATATGCATACATACAGCTGTATGTGTACATATTCCAATAAGAACGGGCCAAGACGTGAAATGTTTTTTTTTGTTGTGTGTGCATACATACATTAATTGCATTAAACGGGCCAAAAAAAAGGAGGAAAAACGCAATGTCAATGTCCGCTGCTGCCCGTTTCAATTAATTTTCCTGCCGATTTTTGCCCCAAAAAAACAGAAAATACGCGAGTGCAACGGGTAAAATAACATGATACACACAACATGTGTGTGTGTGTATATACTATGTATATAAATATGTATATAGGCAAACATTTTTTTCTCTTATTAGTCATCTTTGGTGTGTGTGTGTGCGATGAAAAGCGATGAAATTTCAGCTGAAGCTGTGTACGTACATCCCCAAAAACAATTTTTTTCGTGTGCAAAAACCAGCAATAAAAGTGAAAAAAAATCATAACGGTAAAAGGCTGCCAAAGGCGACTGAAATGGAAATATCAGTAAAATTCAACAAGAAAACTTTCGTGTGTGGCTGTGTGTGTGTGTGTGTGCAAACAAGAGATTTTCTCGGAGAGAGCCGCACGTAAATTACGGTTCTCCTCGTCCTGCGTGTGTGTGTGTGTGTGTGTATGAGCGGCAGGACACCAAAGCAAAAGCTACGAAAATTTTCATGCTGTGGCAGCAGCACATAACGGTTCTTCCTTCGCTTTTCTCAATGTGTGTGTGTGTTTCTGTTTTTTTTCTTCTCCTTTTGTGTTTTTTTTGCCTGCTCTGCTGCTGCGCAGTCGCTGCCGACGTCGCACACACAGGCAGAAAATTATGATGATTATAAATTAATAATTTAATATATTTTGGCTGAATATTAAAATTATTTTTTTCAATATATATAACAATTATACCTTGCAAAATTAGAAATATTTTGTTTAGATGACATTTTTAAACTCATTAAACGGGCCAAAAGTCATTTTGTTTCAACTGATGTAAAATGTAAAGACAAATTAATTTTTTTTAAAAAACTACTGTTTGTCCAATTTGGCGTTCTCTCTTTGCCAGGTCGCGCTCTCTCTCTCTCCATATCCATCTCCGTCTCTCTCTTTTAGCCTCCTTGCGATTTGTTGTCCTTCGACTCCTGAGCTGAGCTCTCAACTCCAGGGACATGCCACAAGGTTCCACTGTGCGCGTGTTTTCGTTCCGAGAGCTCAGACCCAAGGTCCCTGGCTCATCTCGTCACTTTGGCTCCTTGCTCCTTATTCCCTACTATGATTCCCCTAAAACCCAAACCCAAACCCACACCCCACCTGAAACCCATTGCATTTCCACTCCACCGACGCTGCATTCCGTCCGGCATTCCTCTCAAGCTGCTTCGATTCCCACGAGGAGCGGCCAGGAAGTGCCAAGTGGCGAGCTTGAGCCGGGGACACTGCTGCAATTCAATAATAATTGCGGGGCGTTCAATGCAATCATCGAATAATTGCACCATCGACGTTCCAAGCGATTCGCAATCGACGTTCCGCCATTCCAAATTCCCAGCCCACCTAATTAAAGTCCCACCGCCCACAATTGTCGCCCAATGTTTGTCCTTAAAAGCTGATAACACTCGGTTTATGCGTCAAGCAGTTCGCAAACATACCGAAACTTCTGGAGGATATCCTATAAATTACTGAAAAAAATTCTTAGTTTTGAGGATGCAGTTTCTAATATAGATATAATAAGGACACAGGAGCTTAGTAAAAAAGTTTTGTATTCAAATCCAAAATAATTAAATTTAAAAGGTTTTACAAGCCCTAAAAAGGGTGCTTAGGAGTATGCAATAATATATTTTAAACACAGAAGTTAGGATAATTCTTTTGGGTTTCAAAAACATACAAAACTTTTTTCTTTCTGTGCATGATAATCCCCTACTTATTATATATGGCGCCTGTCCAATTTACAATTTTTAGAAAGTTGCCCAAAAAGTTAATCTAAAGCGACATGTTGAAAAATCCATTTATTTGAAATAAATTGTTTTTTTTTCCCCAAAGACCCTTTCCAATTTTATTCTATGGTATCAGGCTTTTCAAGTTCCAAATAGTTTTTTTTATTCCTGGTACATTTCCTTAGATCCCTAATTAGTTCAAATGGCATTAAAGAGAAAATGTGCCCATTTTAATGTTATTAATGCTGGCCATGCTCTTGTGTTTTTCAATCGATTGTTTTCAATTGAACAGGTGCTTCTATTAAAATCAGTGTGAGAACTGTTTTTCTCCAAATTCCCGGGTGCGCGGCATAAACATGACGGACGGTAATTTTAAAGTAATTTTCAAAGCACTGAAAACGTGGATGTGGATGTGAATGCTTTGGGTGGGCGGTCATTTTCGGTCGACGGCAGTGGAGGGCTTTTTGATTCGACTCGAGTTCCGGTTGTGTCATTTTAAAATGCACTATAGCAGCAGAACCCCGACCTGTACCGATTGTCAATTGAGTGATTACCTATGCAAATATGCAGTTTGACAGCTAAACGGCAAACGGTTAACATTTACCAGTTACCAATTTGCCAGTTAACAACGGTGAGCGCTAATTACTGATACAAACTGAAAACTAGGAATTGTAGCAGGTGCTGTTCGCAGATGGAATTGGAATTGGTAATGGTTTTTTTTGGCATTTTCTGAACAATTAGCTGGACGACGACAATTGCTCAAAGTGCTAACGAGAGGCTGCGTGGGAAGCCAATGCGAAATGACTCACGACGAGAAATGGCCAACCGAACCGACAGACAGAATATAGAATACAATACAATTGAAATGGGAAACGGTAAATGGTAAATGGGAAAAAGGGGGAATGGAATATAAAGAAAAAAATAAAAATATAAATAAATAACAAACTACAAAGAATAGAAATTGAATAGTAAAGCACCCGCCAACACACAGAATTTCAAAGCAGAGCATCGGTGTGTTTTTCTGGCTTTTCGAACACACAAATTGCGCTAATAATAGCGAAAGCGGCAGAAGAAACTATTAGAAGTACAGAGAGTTGCGCCCGAGTTTTGGCTATAGCCCATAGGGGAAAAGTAGCACAAATGGGAAAGCGCGAACATAACAACAACAGCAGCGAAATGAGAATGAAAATGCTTAAAAAAGCCCACAGAACTTGGTGGAAATCTTCCGTGAATAAGAAGTCGGGTCGGTTGCAGTTTTTCCTGGTCCCCAACTATATATACATATGTATACGTATATGAATGTATGTACATGTTGCACTTAAAGAAATTTAAGCACAGATAGCGCTGGAATAACGATAGTCATTAAAAGCGCCCTACTATCAATAAAAAAACTTAATAACCAATAACGTTAGTATTTCAACTTTTATTGAATTGTAATAAAGCTCGCTTCTGCGAAGTAAACCTTAAATGTTTAAAATTATTTTGCTTGTATTCAAGCAAGTATTTATCTTTTTAAGTACTATACCATACATATGTACATTTCGAAATACTATTTATTATAAACTGACCTGCATTCCACTTATGAAAAAGCTTTATTTATAGCAGAAGAAAAATGCATAGAGAACATTAAATTGAACTAAACCATCTCTAAATAATTGAAACATAATCCGGGTTGCTGCGAAAATCTCTTTCAACGCAATTCTAACCGAAAGTATCAATTAGTTTAGAATTTTGTTTGAAGAAAGTTCTCGGCAGCAAAGGAAATAAAAGTAAATATAACATTACGTACTCCGTTGTAAAAATAGACCAAGAAAACTTTAATTTGTAATAGTAATCCATATGAGACTTTAAGAGAGAAGAGAATTTGACCTGAATGGCATGAACGAATCCCAATTATTAATTTTTGAAATTCTGATTAAATATTAAGTTAACCCATTTTCATTGTGAGTAAAGTTTAAAGAAGCGTTTGTTTGTTACTGAATGCAAATATTTTTGTTGGCATGCCCATGCATATGTACGTTTCATACAGCTGTGTTCAAAATAAGAGTCGTGCCATCCGATTTCACTCTATAGATAAGGACACACTTAAGTCCCTATAAATATATTGCTATATTGCTATTATTATTATGGTAAAACTGATGCTTACATGTTTTTATTTTTCCATAAAGAGGACACCGAGAAATAAAAAAAGTATATAAAAATCACGTATACGAAGTGTAGGCCCGCTGATATACAATTGTATGTATTGAACAGTTTCTAAAGTGCGAAAACTTTAAAATTTTTAAATTTCAGGTATTTTTCATTGTTTTCCGATCTATGTATATAGATATCCGTTTACATTGGAAATGGGATACAACTGCAACGGTTTAAGGTTGAAAGCAGGTTGGGAACTGCTATTATTATGAATACAGCTGTATGTACATACATACATATATACAGTTATTCCCAACAGTTTCGGGTCAATTGACTTTTAGTGTAGTGCTGCACACAAATACATGCGTTTTTTCTCAGCTTTGTGTGTGTGTGTGTATGTGAGCAGAGGCGCAGGGAAAAAGGAAAAAGCTTGCAAAAAGTAGCAAGCAACACGGCAACTCTGCTGACGTCGGCAGAGGCAGCGGCAGTGGCAGCGACAGAGCACGCAACAAATCGCCTGAGCTAAAGCCAAAACCTAAGCTCACACAGATACATGTGTATATAGCGCACACAGACACTGACACAGTTTCTCCCTGTCCCCATACACCCTTCCCCCTACTCTCCCACTCACTCCCACCACCCCTCCCCTTACCATTTATTTTTCGCTCGCTCTCTCTGTCCCCGTCTCCCTCTCACCCAAGCGTCACCGCACTGTGGGTGTGATAAGCTCAAACATTGAGCCTTGATTTCGCTACACTCCTTGGCTTGAGTTTTTGAAAAGTTTTCAAGC